AATTTTTCCCCCTGTAAAAACGCGCCGGTCTTCCCTGCTCAAAACCCCCCCGTTCTTCCATTTCTCTTCCCCCCCCCCCCCCCCCCCCCCCCCCGCCCCTTTTGATGGACGTTTCTTCAACTCGCTCATGTAACTCCGTATTTGGCCTTCATATATTTATATTTAATAATTGATAATTTATAAATATATCCTGACCTATATACTTGGCTTGCTCTGCCGTTTTCCCCGCCGGGGAACAAAAACGACCTCAAAACCTCATTGGATGACCACCCATTTGAATCATGTCCTTAGAACACCGTGGTCGCGACAGCGAAGATGTCCCCTTTCTCGACGCCAATGAGACTTCGACTCCCCATCGCACCGAATTCGATGTTGAATCCGACACCGACAGCAACGAGTTCGACAAACCCCCTCGCGATGAGCCCAACGCGATCGATCCGAACCTGCGCATGCGCCTGATGGTCACCCTCTTCACCATGATCTTGGCCGTGGAGGTCGGCCTAGTGATGGCCCACGGCCCCGTTACTCGCATCTACGAATCCATTGTCTGTCGCGAGTACTATGCGCAATACGACCCCACGCAGATCGCCTCCAATGGCCAGGTGGATGAGGAGCTGTGCAAGGTCAAGGACGTGCAGTCCGAACTAGCCGCCGTGAAGGGATACATGGAGTTTTTCGACGGGATTTTGAGTATGTTCGATCCGCGAGCTGACACAGTTCATGATTATAATTGTGTATCTGCATCGGCATTGCGTTCCCTTCCGTTGACGGATCCCGTCGTGGAGTGATTCCGGTGGCTGTTGAACTGGTGTTTACCCTGTTTTAGGTATCTTTTTAGCAATCCCTTACGGTCTGCTGGCGGATCGACGCGGTCGTAAACCGACCCTCTGTCTCAGCATTCCCGGGTTTGCGCTCAACTGTGTCATCCAGTTCGTGGTGATGTGGTACTCCGATATCTTCCCGCTGCGCACGGTCTGGCTATCTTGTCTGACCTGGCTGTTCGGGGGAGGCCCGGTCGTCGCGTTTGCGATCATCTGGACGATGATGTCGGACGTGACGACCGAAGACGAGAGGTAAGTGTCTCTCTGCCCTCTGTATTAAGCACATCTAACCGGTCAGGGCGGCCATGTTCTTCAAATTCGGCGTCGCCAGCATGGGCGCCGACTTCGCGTCCAACGCTGCCAGCTCGTGGCTCATGGCCATGGACCCTTGGCTACCATTGATCCTCGGCTGGGGCGTCACCATCATCGGTGTCTTCTGCGCCCTCTCTTTACCAGAAACGATGCACGCTCGCCCGTCGAACAGGGACTCCGCCAGCGTGGAGCTCTCGCGGCTCTCCACCGGCGACGTCAAGCGTTCGCTCAGCAAGGAACACGATCGTCCAGAGATCATCATCACCGACGAAGACGACAACGACGTCTCGGACCCTCTCTTCGCCCACTCCCGGTCCTCCTCAACCACCACCACCACCGCCAACGTGCAGAAACCACCCCTTACCAGGCGCATCTACATCTACATCCGCAACTATATCGCGCCCTACACCTTCATCTTCCGCTACCGCCAAACCCTCCTCCTCCTCAGCACCTTTCTCGTCTACCGCCTCAGCCGAGGCTCCTCATGGTTCCTGATCCAATACATCTCGACACGATATAACTGGACGCTCTCGCAATCCAACTTCCTGATCGCCTTCAAACCCGCCCTCACAATCCCCCTCTTCCTAATCATCCTCCCCGCCATCTCCCGTCATCTCCTCTCGCACCTCCCCCAGATCAAAAAAGACCTCACCCTTGCGCGCCTCAGCATCATCTGCCTCGCCCTCGGAACCCTCGGAATTGGCCTCTCGCCCACAATCGCCGTCCTAATCCCCAGTCTCCTCGTGCAGACATGCGGATCGGCATTCGTATATCTCGCGCGCTCAGTAATCACAACACTCGTGCGACGCGAGGAAACAGCGCGCCTATTCACGATCATCGAAGTGCTCCAGTCCGTCGGGAACATCGTGGCCAGTTTGTTGATCACGGGCGTGTTTCAGATCGGGCTGCAACTCGGGGGGATGTGGACTGGGTTGGCATGGATGATGACTAGTGTGGCGTTTATGGGGGTTGGGGTGGCGATTTGGATGTTTCGGTTGCCTGGGGAGAAGGGGGGTGGTGATGAGGAGGGGGTGGGGAGAGAGGTTTGAATTGTTTGTTGTGTGTAGTTGTTGAGTGGTTTGTGGTGTTGTATATATAGGTTATTTTTTTTCTCATGGAGGGTTGTAAGTATAGGAGTTTAGGTTGTGCATTTAGATTGTTAATGTTAGATTTTGTAGTATAGTATATTCATAGATGGCATACAAATAAGAGTAGTTTACCAGATCTTAAGTATAAGGCAGACTGATTGACTAACTCTCGCCAACCTAGCACTTCCCTGCTCTAGGGTACTCCTGAAATCATCAAAACTATCCTTCAAAAACCCCAAACATACCCACCATAATAATAAGTAGATAACAATCAAACGTAACCCAAAACATCCCCCAACCCGGTACTCTAAGGATTCATCCCTTCAGTCCACCCAACTTGAGATGAACTCTCTCGAGCGGCCCAAAATCCGAGATCCAAACCTCTCCAGACGAAGACGCCGCGAAGGTAGACACAGACGCAGAGGGAGAGGCAGCGGCAGACGACGGAGCAGAGGAAGAGAAACTCCAACGGCTTTGCTCTCTCTCCACATCAGGCTCTTTTCTGGGGATTGAATACGGACAATCATGGTGTTCAGAATCGGAGTCGAAGTCCCGGTTGAGATCGAAACCTATGTCATCGTCGGCGACGGGCTCATGGATTTGAATAGTATCAAGGTCGGGGGATAGGTCGTAATTGGTATTCTGATGTTGGCGTCTATCTAGACCATCCGGGGAAGAAAAGGAAGAGAATGAAAGCCGACTGATCATGAACAGAACGATGGAGATCAGGATGATAACGATACTTGTAGTTTTGGTGGAGAAGTAGGCGGATCGGGATCGTGATTGGTTGGCGGTGGGAGGTATGGGGGTGAATTTCGTGAGGGAGGACATTCTTAATTTAATGCTTTGCTTGTTAGAGGAGCTATTGATATTTTGATTCGAGATTCAGGAAGTTGTTTATCCTTTTGTTTGGATCTGGAATTCCTGATAGAGAGAGAGTCTCTACGCTCTTATACAGTACCGTCTGCGGGCTAATAGAGGCGAATGTATGACTCGCATACGGGTTAAGGCTGGTAAGGACAGATTTCAGACACTTGGTTTATGTGTTGTCATCTATCTGGACACTTCTACCAATTTCATCATCTCTCGATCACTGGTCAAGATTCCACAGATAATGTTTCCATGACTCAATGTCGATCTTTCCGTGGCTTGTGACTCACGGTCCGATCAGGACAAGTATACATGTTCCTACGAACCAGCCATAGAAGACAACCACCCACCCAACTATGTAGTATACCACAAGAAATAAAAAACGACTATGCAATTTCTGCCGCAACCAACAAAAAATACGGCCTATGCCTCTCCTCCCTCCACTCTGGATGATCCCTAACGTCCTCCAGACTTGGCACCCAATCCTTCAACGCCGTCAACACGAACCCGTTCTCCAGCAACAACGAAACATACGTCTCGACAGTCCGATGGTATTTCCTCACTCCCGCTGTACCCAGCCAACTCGTTAGACGGAGCCCTTCCTCGCTGTAGTTATTGAGTGGCCAAATCTTGCGTTCCGTGTGGGTTTCATCACCAACGACGGCCCAGTCCGGAGGAGGCGAGATCGGAGCCGTGCAGATAGGATGTTCGATTGAGAAGACGAGTTTTCCTTTCCTCTTTGTCGTAGGCGTGGTGAATTCAGACAACGAGGAATCAGAAGAAGAAGTGTGCGAAGAACCGACCAGACAAGATCGAATCTCTCTCAAGAGCCTACCTAAATCTTCAATATAGTGAAAGACAAGCGAGCTGTAGACTAAATCATATTCTCCTCTTTCGTGATCGCTCGGGGCAAACGTTTCCACATCTTGAATCTGATAATCGATCACTCCGTGAGATGCATCTAGCTCTTTCGCCCGCTGAATCATCTTCTCAGAGAGATCAATCGCCCTGACGTGCATGGCACCGTGGTCTCTCGCCCACCGCGCAAACCATCCGTATCCGCATCCAATATCTAGTATACGCCGAGCTTGCATGCCAGAGGACGGGCCCGTGATCATATCTCGCAGGACAGGCCATTCTGGGGCGCCAGCGAGGCCGTGTTCAGAGCGTGGCAAGGTACTGTATGCGGCGAAGAAGGAGTGATCGTCGTAAATATTTTGCGCTGGGTTTGCAGTTGTAATTGAGGGTGAGGACGAGGACATTTTTTTAGGAATCAAGGAAGGAATTTGCGGTTTATGGATGTGGGTTTGGAAGCCGTGTTGGAACTTATGCCACGAGTTAATGAAAAATACGAGATGTAGGCTATTCCGTATGCGGTGCCCGACTTGGTACATGGCGGGATGATATCCTTCTACTGGAAGTTACGCAACTGCTTGATTTATCACTGACGGGCCAGCAGTAGAAGGAGACGGTGTCTCTTGTTTCTCTGATTTATCCTGAAATTTTAAAATTTGCTCTCTTTCTTTCTCCTCAATTTCCCACATTCTCAATGCCCTACAGAGTGTACTTGCTCCCTGAGAAACACGGAACCAGACAATTGGGCAAATCTCTCGCAATAAGACACTTGAACCGCCAGCCCGTGCAATGGCCTGCCAGCAGCACCTTTGGCTCCAGCTTTTTCAAGTCATTTATCGTAGCATTTAGTTTGGCATCGTCAGCATCTGCCAGGTGGTACCCACCCACAACGCAGTATAAAGGGCTGCCATTGCCGAGCTTGACTGCATCCTGACAAGTATTCACTACCTACTCCGGCATGAACACAACCCGTAAGCACGACCAAACCCTTGCCTGTATTATGTCAACAATCCTAGTCCAGCGAGTCACGGGGCAGTGTATTAAGCACACTCGAGGGACTGTGACATACCTTTCAGATTGCACATCACATATCGTTCTTCCATTATGAGTGTGTCTTCCTCCCACTGTTTGGCGACTTCATTGAAACGTATTCCTCCTTGGATACCATCCTCGTAACTGGTTTTATGCGGAATTTCTCCCGAGGCGAGGAAGAAATCATCCAAAACCGTATGCGGCTGGTCGCTTTTAAGGAAGGCTCCCCCCCGAAGCCTCCAGCTCTTCAAAAGATGGATCTGCTTCAAGACAGATGGGGCGATCGGCCTGCACACCTCGATAAACAGGACGGCCTGGGTGAACGTCCACGACGACACCCTTTCCTCGACAAGAGCTCTTGTTTATAAGTTCAATAGCCTTCGTCAGGCCACCTGTATTTTCCCAGATGAAAATCGTACACAAATAAGCAGTGGTTCATATAGTGATGTCAAGATATCCTCAGCACCTGCAGTTCTCGACACAGATCCCGGGTCATGGTCGTATTAGTATCGTCTACCATACTTGCACACAGCGTAACTTGTCTAGCATCCACGGGGAAAAGCTTTATAGAATGGGATTAGATTTAAAAGAAGTCTCGGATGTTTTATTGCGAATCGAAAAGTTTGAAGGAAACTCCAATCACAATCTGATTACGAACCCCGACACGTAACCTTTAGTTAATTAAACAATTATACACGAAATATTCCGGTTACTCATAATTTCAATGAAATTTCTGCGGCTATTTGAAGATGAGTTTAATCTATAAGTATCCCCTTCTATTCTTCTCCTCTATTTGTCCCTCCCACTCATCATCAAATCTCTTGTGAAGTCTGTCATCATGGATCGCTCATCTCAGCGCACAACAGGAAACTTTGATGCACGAGACGAGGACCTAGAACGCTATGTGAAGCGCAAAAACCGGCTTTTGCGCAATGCGCACGACGCGCTCGCCCAGTATTATACCAAAGAGCGGCCGGACCTATTTCGTATCGAACGTCTCTCCGGAGAGGAAGTCCCGATCGAGCAATATTTTATCGACTTGCCTCTGATCGACACGAAGTGGAATTCTGGTGGCCGAGGAGAGCACAGATTCTCAGACGAGGACCCCTTCAAGGTCGATGACCCACGCTCCTCAAACCTAGTGATATCTGTCGAAGATCTGACGAAGCCTCGCGTTCTGCCATCGAGTACTTGGGCAATGCCTAAGCGTGTCCTGATCCGTGGGCATGCGGGCGTGGGGAAAACTACCCTGTGCAGGAAGATCCTCCATTTGTTCTTCTATGGTAAGCCTTGGCAAGAGGCGTGCTTTTCCAGACTTGTTTGGTTTTCTTTGGAGAAGGCAAAGCAGTTCAGGGGGCCTATGCAGTTTCTGGCGCATGAATTCGCCGGCGATAAGGCGAAATTTGAGTCGATTAAATATGTGCTCACTGAAAACACCCTTCATGGAACCCTGGTGGTGTTTGATGGGCTTGAGCATATTGTCGATCATCTTGACCACTGGCAGTGGTTTATTAATCATCAGACGTACGTTATCGTCACCTCTCAGCCCCATGCATTTCTTCCATCGCAATTGAACAGGTTTGATGTCGAGTTTCAGGTGGTAGGATTCCGCGACGAACAGGTTGCGTTCTACATCCAAAAAATGGTTCCGCACAGCATGAAGAGATCTCGGATTATGGACTTTAATGCAAAACACCCGATCATCAAGGAAGTGCTTCACATTCCCGTTCTACTGGATATTATTTGCTCTTTTTGGGACAGACGCGGGGCAGAAGAGACTCTACCGACGATGACTGCTCTGTACGAAGAAATGGAAATGAATTTGTGGCAGAGGGATCTGGTTCGCCTGCGCAGAATGACCCGATATATGGAGTCCGTGCATCGCGATCCTAAACATCAGATCTATGGAGTGTTACGCCACGAGATTGATTTTCTGAGATCAATCGCTTTCTTCGGGACATACAATGATATCACGGAATTTGTACCCGACAACCGGTTCAAGTTTCAGTATCAGAGCTTGAATATAAGGGATGCGAGGTTGAATGCGATGTCTCTTTTATGTAGCGCGGATTCTGTCCGTAGCCAGGATGATCGTGATCATGGTCGCTGGGAACGGGACTACTACTTTCTTCATCCTTCTTTTCAGCACTACTTTGCGGCGCAGTGTGTCGTGGAGTCCTGGAAGATAGGTAAAGCGATTAAAAGCTTTGATCTGGAATCAACGCAGATCACCGTTCAACCAGAAGAGCTTTTCAGGAAAGAAAGATCTAACGTGCGGTATGATCTTATGTGGCAATTTGTCAAGGGGATGTTGGAAGGCCAGCAAGATAAACATTCGGACCGATTTTGGAAGCTGGTCCAAGAGAAGCCGTGTGGAGGGGCTAGGAAACGCTGATTGCCGAGTCGTTAGGCGTTCTTTGGATTCGATCACGGAACGTTTTTTCAAACCCCGATAGCGAGAGAGGGGGCGAGGTCAGGATATCCCGACATTTAGCCCGGTTCAATCACTTGCTCTTGACGCTGTATGATGCCCGACGGGTCGTTCAGGACTGTGACTCCCTTACACCACCATTGCTCGGGGTTTCAATCAATCTTACTAGGATCTCGAGAGTCTGAAGACATTTAAATCTTTATTTCTCTTGTTTTGATTTCTTTTAATGAACCTCTGAGAAACCCAAGAGACCCATAGCTCAATCAGTAGACTAAAAATGAGAACAAACGACTTAAGTGACATGTTTTACGACAAAATGTCTCGATCGAGGTACGTAAATGGCAGACCGAAGCCCAAAGCCGCTCCAGTGTGGGGCTTGCTGACCCCCGGACGCTTTCACTATATACTCCTCGTATTCTTTGATGTTATTCACTCCCTTGGGCATCTGACCCCCCTGGGTTAGGGCTGTCCTGAACGATGATGTAATGTCTGATGCCTCAGGCACCTATCTGGGCAGCTCCCAGAACGGCTAGCGCGAGGTGTCGACGGGACATGTGAAAGGCGTCCAGAATCCTCGTCCGTCGAGACTTTTGCATCTCCGATAAGCAATCCCATTCCTAATCCCTCCCATCGTCTGACAGCCTGTGATCGTCCCACTCGGTCTCTCTTCTACTCTCTGAACTGGACCGTATTTCGGAGACATGCCCACCTGGCAAGTTCGGTAATCCTCAACTCCCACAACCAGCTTTCACAGCATGGAAAGGTTTACTCAGTTTCGCGATCGAGGTTCGCTCTATCTTCGCCTAGTGACCCTGGTTCAGACTAACGCGCTTCCTAATGATGCAGGGTCGGGTATCGCCCCTTTTCTCCCCGTTCCCTCTGAACCGCTCGGTTTCCAGCTACCGTTCCGCATCTTTCTTTTCTTCCTCCGCCTCCCGTTCTTCATCTTCGTCTGTTTGAGCTATTTCCTCGTCCTACAATGGCTTCCGATCGGCTCCCTAGGGAAGAAGGCATCCCTGTGGTGCATTCTCGGCGTCCCCAGTATCTGGTGGATTGATTTGCAGGTGGACGGTGTGCGCAAAGGGTACGAACCAGGACCCTCAGCCTACCGTGGAGAAACGCTCATATGCTGAACTACGAACCCTGAATTTCTAGATCCCTTTCAAAGCAACACCAAGCGCGTCTGCCAGGTGGCGGATCTGTCATCGCCTCCTCGTTCACCTCGCCCATCGACGCCGTCTATCTGGCCGCGATCTTCGACCCCATCTTCACCGCCTCGTACCCCAACTCCCGCCAGGTCGAACACATCTCTCTCCTGCAGGCGATCCTGCGCGCATTCACTGCTCCGCGACCGACTCCTCCCCCGGGCACGCAGCTTGTCGATATCGCAACCCTCGTGCAAAAATACCCCAGCCGACCGATCGTCACTTTCCCCGAGTGCACGACGACCAATGGCCGGGGGATCCTACCCGTCAGTCTGGGGCTGTTGAGCGCCCCGCCCCCCACTAAGATCTTCCCGGTCAGTTTGCGATACACCCCCGTGGATGTGGTGACACCTGTTCCGGGATGTTATCTCAGTTTCCTGTGGAATCTCCTAAGCAAGCCAACGCATTGCATTCGAGTTCGGATCGCGGAAGAGGTCAAGGTTAACGGGGACTCCGCCTCGGCTTCGGGGCGCAAATCGACCTACGACGCCAACTACCTGGACACTCTAGACCAGAAGGATGGCGGATCCGAGGAAGCCGGGATCACCGGCAGCGAGCAGGCGTTGCTGGATCACGTCGCCGACTCGATGGCTCGTCTGGGACGCGTCAAGCGCGTTGGACTGGGTGTGCACGAGAAGAAAGATTTCGTGCGGATGTGGACGAAAAATCGACGGATATGGTGATGGGGAGTCGGTTTTGTATAGTTGAGGGATACAATTTGTTCGAGTAGATTCAGTTATTGGGGTTATATCTTCGAATCCGACATGTCGTGCCTGTTTCTATTTGGGAAATAGAGCGTGTTTTGCTTTCTGCTTGGATGATTTTCTGCGGGATACCTCTTTTCTTATGATTCAATCTTGCTTTTCGTCGTATCTTCTTGGACATTTATTAATGAATCTATGGACCCCAGCCCAATACAATTTGGTACACCGTTAATGAATATTTCCAATTCTACAGACGAGGAATCATTTCACTCAATCAGTGTGTGTGTGTGTGTGTGTGTGTGGTCTTAAGCTTTGTTCCAGGACATGTTTCGGGAATCAATATCAAACAGGTTGCCCTAAGCATCACGAAAACAAAACCACCTGATTAAGGGTATCACACAATGTCCAATCCATATCAATAACAAAAAAAGAACTCCCGATCAAGTAACCTCCCAGTCAATAAGACCGGGACAGTAAGAAAACGCCAACCCGGCCATCCAAAATCCCTAACCAGCTCCAGCGCTATCCAGCCAAAGTAAAACAGCAAAAAAGAATTCCATGCAAAGAACGCAACAGGTAAGCTACTGAGAAGATCCCGTAGGTGCACGTGGCTTTCCATAGTACCACTGAGCGAATGTTTCGAAAGCTGCGGCATCCTTGGTACGAAGATCATACAATTTGGTCGTACGCACCACGACAGTATGGCCGTCCATGTAGGCTTCGATGACGCGAGCATGCTGCGGGCCCATGAAAGAAAAAGCCATCACCTATCATGGCACCGAATTAGATTTCGGGTCATCTTCTTGGATTAAAAGTAAGAGGCAATTACAAGGAACACTTACTGGTGCAACCATATGATCGATGAAACGGGCCCTTCTGAGATGGGCTATCATCAGACGTAAGATCGGAAGCAGTTCTCCTTGAAGGATTTGGTCGTCATTGGCGTTCAGGTTGTTCAGGATGCAGGTCTTCATATGTGCAAATGGCCCTTCTTTGACCCCTTGATAAGACATTGTCCAAAACTCTGGATACTTATAACGATCGAGGTCCTTGTACACGCGCTTGTGGGTTCTATAAATTTATGAGAAACACACAAAAAAAAAAAACAACAAGATGATGTACTCTTACGTGATGGAAGACCACACGATCTCACCGCCCGGAGGCGTCTTGCTGTAATAATAACTCGAGGCATAACACGAGAAATGATGGTCGACCAAACGTGCACAGTCGAATGGGGACTTGTCATCTTCGGGCAATGAATCAAAATCGGGGTACTCCAGGTCTTTTTCCTTGTCAAACTCGTCATCTGGGTTCACAAAGAAGGAGGCGGGAATTGGAGAAAAATAAGTAGGCCTGTCCTTTGAGTCTTCGTCCAAGACCATGGGCAGGAATCGGATTTGATCGATCTCAGATGAATCCATTTCGATCTGATGGTCCGGCTCAAGCCCAGTGATGTGCCTCTCCAGGCTACGCAAAGGCTTGCGCATTGCCTTACGCTCAGGAGATTCAGAAGGGATAGGCATGGTTAGATGGAACTGATAGGCAGATGGACAAGATGGACAAAGGAAGGAACAGATGGCGGAGGTGCACTACCATTGACATCCGTGCGCGGATCGCAAGGATGAAACGACTTTTCCACCCCCACCTTACCCCAACAGGCGCTTTCTCGAGGTACTTTGTGGCTAGAAGATGTCGGGGAAGCGCTGACTAGGCACGAGTGAAGCAGTCGTCTATCCATCTTCATCGTACTTATATCCAGTGAATACGCTACAGTGAATAAGAACCTCGAAAGTCCCATTAAAAACAAGGCATCGGCTACCCAGCATCCTGCGTTGAGACCCATAGGCATGGTTTCAATCCATCTGACCTCACAACTTACTTGACCATCTCTCATACCTTTCATTGAACGCATCGAACTAGAATCCAGTGGATGCTTTCTATCTCAGAATGGCAGATCTACCTGGCAATTTGCCTGCTGACTACCTTGAATGGCAGCCTGCAATCGAAAAGCGCAATCTTGTTGGCAAGACGGTGCATGCGGCTGAGCTTGCGTCTACCTCTAAGATGGCTTACGCCCAATTTTTGCTCTTGCGCGTTCTCTGGAAAGTTCATCTCGGAAGTCGACTCTCGTTTGCCCCCTGTCTTGAAGCCATACCTTGTCCAGGTTAACAAGCTGCTTTCTGGAGATCATTCCTGGGCAGCCTATTGCCATAGTATCAAAAACGCGGAGATTACAGTCGGGAGCTTTGCGATTGCCGGCATTGCCAAATCAAAGTGGGTTTAAACAGGGAGCAAATGCAGCCAGCTTTGATACCCCTGTCGCCAAGAACCCGCCCACCTACCCGTGAAATTTGGAGAGGCGATTCAGGGACATACACCTTGACAAGACACCATCCAAAAGTCCCACAAAGGGACCTGATGACGATGATTCCGTTGTGCAAGAAGAGTCAGAGTCAGAGTCAGAAGTGTCATCGGAACCCGTCACCCCAGCCGCCCAGGTTCCTGAAGAACTTCACAAGCTGATGTTTCTACCTACCAAAGACGAGCAGATTGTCAACACTGCTCTTGTGGTATTTCTTAATTCCCTTCTAGTTCCTTTCGGCGTCAAGCGTTGCGACTGGACTCTGCACAGAAAGGCCTTCAGTGCCCATTTTGAAGCTGCTGGCTTCGAAGCTCGAACCGACGGATATCTCGATGATGGCAATGTAAACCCTTGGGCTCTCATCGAGGTCAACCCCGTCACCAGAAAGGATAAGAATCAAGTCCAGGTTCAGATACAAGAGAGTTCCCAGATGTCAGGCTGCATCAAAAACGATATTGATGCTCCACCAGATAAGCTGTCAGTATCCTTATCATACCCTTCATTCTTTCTTATGCTTATAGGACTTAGACGAGTTCATATGTCCCAAAATCGGCACGAGATCTTCTTTACTATCGCAAAGTACGACAGCGGGTATGTGTCCTATCTGAAAAAGAAGCCCGCGGATGACCAACCTCCATCATTCTTGACTATGCATCAATACGGACCTTGGAATACCGAAAATGCCGGGCATATGAAGAAGTTGGGTCCAATCCTACTTGCACTCGCACTCTATGCGGAGGCTGAGGTTAAGAAGGCAGAAGACCGTCGGCGTTTGAGCTCGAGTTAGTAGGTACCCAGATTGATTTGGTCAGGCATCCTCGGTACTCTGAAGGACATGAAATGATGGGATGGGTTGTTTTACTTTTTTCTATCTCAGTTCTGTGTTTCTTTTTTGTTTTTTCTGTTTCGTCTGTCTACGGCCATGACTACCATCATCTTTGTAAGTAGCCGCATCAACGTTGGAAGAGGAGATCAAATGATGACGGGAAAGCTTAGCAATACACTGAATCTTTTTACTTGTCTTCCAAGGAATTCACTAATTCACTCATTCAACGAGCAGAGGGACGAGGGAGGTCATATGACTCAGAGCGTCCCAGGTCTGGTGAATAAACATTTGTTTCAGGGATCAGAATTTTTCATCTGGGACGAATATTATGCTATCTTCACTACCGCACATTTCATAAATCCGGCCAAGGTTGCCTTGATCATCGTCTCCAATGGCAACATCACATGAGCTTTCTCCTACCGAGCTAGGAACACTGTAGAAACATCACTTCAGTGAATTTTTCTGTTCCTTCGATCGTCGCAGTGTTTCACATCTACTTCGTTTTTCTGCGTGTGTTTTCTCTTTCTATACTCGAATTCCTCTGACCGAGCCTTGGGTTTTCGTCCCTACTTCTCTTCCATAATCTGAACTCATCCATCAACTCCAGACATGGCATCTGCAAATGGTACTTGTGCAACCTGTGGAAAGCAGACTGACAACCGCTGTTCTCGGTGCAATGAATCCCCAGATACCAAGACTGGTGACACTGGCAGCATTTTCTGCTGCACCAAAGTCTGTCAAGCCGAGCACTGGTCCGTTCATAGAGCCGAGTGTAAAGTCCGGGTGCAGCGAAAGAAGCTTTTGCGCACCGCGGCAATCCTCAAAGCAGCGTTCCTCACCTACAGAGCGCTTCGATTTGATGTTGGGCTTTGGAAAATCGAGCTTCGTGGCAACACTCTGTATCTATACAATAAACAGAAGGGTCTGATGGTCGCCCCCAAGATCGGCCCTTTCCCAGAGTATCTGACAACTGATGATGAGCACCGCGAGGCTGCCCCCTCTTAGCTTCAATGTTCGATGGCCTTGCCGTTGATGTGCAGGTTACTATACAAACTCCTAGCAGGTGTGAATCCCCTCCCGTCCTGATAGACAAGTCTGGAGACTAAGGCCAATAATTACCTAGACATGCCCTATCGGCTTGAAATGCTTCAGGTCAAGGTTGGGAAAACCTTTCTAACAACCAAATGCGTCCTCGGTCCTGACTTGCCGGGTGTTGACCCTCCTGACTCTCTCCCCACACTGCATGACACTATAAGGGTTAAACTACTGTCAAACAACGAGATCTGGATAATTGACATAACAGGTGCTCAATACGGATTCAAAGATATCGTCTGTCTGTACAAAGAATACATGACCATCCATCATTGCAGCATCGCACATGGTCCAAACCTCTATTCCTGCAACGAGACATCTATAGTGCATCCCAATTTGAGAATCTTGATGGTACATGAAGTCCATTATATATAATCCTCTTTGAATCTTGTATGAGACTTCAGTACTCTCCACTGACGTACTGAATCGTCTTATAGCACTAACTATGGGCCAAATTATACCAATGGACCCAATCTATCGAGTATATGTCGAAGTTTAAGCAAAGGATACAATTACTGACACAGTCCTCTGCGCATCACGCATGGCGCTAACCCGATCCAGCAGACCACGTGAGGACCGAGGCAGTGCGAATGACCTTCTGCAAAGTGAGGCTGACGGTGTGATATAAAGAAAGCACGCCCCCCATTTGCCCTTCATCTCTCGTCCTAACGCCTTAGCGCCGGACCCATCCATGCCTTCCAATCCTGCATCCCTCCCATCGCACCATGGGATGGTTCAGCAGTTCCCGACGGCATAAGAAGTCCAAATCCGAACATGCAGTGACACCGCCTCTGCCCCCAAGGGGCCAGGTCACTACCGCCCCTGGGAAGCCGATCCCACAGGTGCGGGTGCAGCAGTCGCAGTCCCAGTCGCAAGCCCTGTACACAATACCGGCAGCGTCAGCAACCACAACGTCGGTGAAGCCTCACCACCAATCCCCGACTCATCCGTATCATCATCAGACTGCGTCTTCGGTGCACTTATCGCCCTCGCGTTCGAGTCCGTATCGGCATCGGGTCTCGTCATCGGCGCAGCTGTCATCTCCGTCTTCGCATCCGTCGACGTCCAGCAGTTCGCTCGCAAAATGGCAGTCCTACACGAGCCTCTCCGGGATGGTCTCGCAGACGGTCGGAATTGCCAATACGACCATGACCGGATTGGAGCATCAAATGAAGGAATACATGTCCTGCGGAGTCGACGCGTACGGGGTCATGTTGCGAAAACTTGATAACGTCATCACGTCCATGGACGAGGGGTTGTTTACGGGAAAAGATAAGATGGGTGAGCGCCCAGTATTCATTTACTATCCAAGACACGTAGCTCATTGTGATAGTTGCTGAATATCCCGTCCAGTCGGACGCTGCGGCACATACATCGGCGGACAAGGACAAGTCCAGCAACTCGAATGCCTTGACCTTTTTTTCCAAGGTCTATCTTTACACTAATTCCCGGCTACCTCCTCAACTACCCCCTTTGAACCTGTGAGTATTTTCCGAGAAGCATTCCGGACTCTGTTAACGTCCCAGCTATCCGGCCGGTCACGCGCTGCTGCGTCTTGCCGCCCAGTACTCCCGCAATGTCTACAAACGACCCAGCGCCGAGAACAATCCCGCCTACTTCGACGCGGACTATCGAAACGGCACCAAAGCCATGGTCATCAAGTCGCTGGCGGTCGACGACATGAAGACGGTGGTCATCGCCATCCGCGGCACGCAAAGCTTCCACGACTGGGCCGTCAACATGAAAACGGCCCCCACGGCTCCACGTGGCTTTCTCGACGACCCGTTCAATCTCTGCCACGCGGGCTTTTTATCGGTGGCGCAGAAAATGGTGCATCCAGTGGCCTCGCGACTGCGCGACCTGCTAGCCGAGGATCCCAGTCGAGCCAACTACTCGATCCTGATCACCGGACACTCGGCTGGCGGCGCCGTGGCCAGTCTCTTATACTGCCATATGTTTGCGGCAACGGGGGGATCCGAGCTGACGCATCTGCGCACGTTCTTTCGAAACGTGCACTGCGTGACGTTTGGCGCGCCACCAGTTTCATTGCGACCGTTGGCTCCGTTCGACCCTTCGTCCATCTTCTTCTCCGTCGTCAACGAGGGCGATCCCGTCCCGAGGGCCGACAAGACCTATGTTTCCTCCCTCATGAATCTGTACATGTCTCCGGCTCCAATATCACGGTTGTACGGGAGACATCGTCCGAGCAAGCCGGCTCTGTGGCGCATTCCGCCTGCTACATTGTCTGTCGCGGGCCAGGTGATCGTCCTCCGCAAGCGAGATGCTACCGGTACATATTCAGCCGTGCCCGCCGAATCCGTGGAGGCGTGCATGACGACCGACGCGGTTCTTCGACAGGCGGTATTTGGCGATCCGTTGATGCACATGATGGATCTCTACGCACGGCGAATCCACGACCTGCCTGGCAAGCAAATTAAATACTAATTCTATACACATACCTTAATACACTAATCAAAACCTGTTTATCTACCAAACGATAATCTCAATACACGATCTAGCAAAGCCAACTCTCTATTGAACATCCTCAAATCCCCCAATCACCTCGCCCCTATCCACCCACGCCCTGAGAACCCTCCCCATGACCTCAGGCTCCTCGACTGCCAACAATGACCCAACCCGGTATGCTGCACCACCCTCGACTTTCTCTCATCACCATGCTCAACATCTCTCACGTCCTCCCTTCCAACCATCCACTTCTTCAATCTCCTCGCAGTCTCAGTCGGTTTAACAATCATCCCCTCGACCAGATTCATCGAAAACAATAGAAAGGGTAGGATACACATCCACCTCGTTGCCGGGAAGAGATTGAATCCTGTCACGAAGAGACTAGATACGAGATGGGGATTGGTGGCAGCTAGGTCGTGCGCGATGTGTGCGCCCAAGCTGTAGCCGAAGATGTGTGCTTTTTGGTGGAGAGCGTGGTGTTTTATGAGGGTTTTGAGGAGGGCGGTTGTGTGTGGGAGGGTGAGGTGGTGGTGATACGAGGATGAGGAGGCGGCGGAGGAAGGCGGATGGAGAGGGAGGTAGGGGAGGAGGATGCGGTAGTGTTTGTTCCTCTTTCCCTTTTTTTTTTTAGCGAGAGGGGGGATAGTTCTGTATCTGTCTCTGAATCTGTCTCGATGGAGAAGTTTGAGAAATCGTATAGCTCTCTGTCTTGTTCCCATTCCCGTTTGGAGTCATTGATTATTTCAACGACATGGCCGGTACTTTCATTGGTACTAGTACTGATCCCGGTGCTAACGGCAATGCCATCCCTACAGATCAGATGCGGCGGAAGAAGCTATTCGACCAGAGAATCAAAGTCCCTCGGACTGCCGAATGCACCATAAATGAGTAGCAAGGTGGTCGAGCCGGCGGGATTATGCGATATGAAAGACAGACCGGGGTGAGGTGATTGATTTCTTGGTTCTTGAGGCGAGGAGGGTGACATATTGAATGACTTCGGTCAATTATTCCCTCCCTCTGCTCTGGCAGTCTATAAGAGTGTCTTTCGTCGAAGGAGGTCTGGAGGTAGATGTGCAATTCGGGGGGTGGTAAAAAGAGAAAGATCAGTTCAGGAATCCGTCAGCAGATCAGTGACCACATGCAAAACGGAAAGAAAAAGAAGATATGTAGATATGTATCAGATAGGTAGACCATCACCTCACAAGAACAATACACGCACCCCAAATCCATACATCAATCTATCGATTCCTCATCTAGCGACACTGAAGAAAGAATAAAAAAAGCCGGAAGTAGTGAAGTCCATAAGCCCTAACGCCCCAAGCCGCGTCCCCCTGCATCTTAATAAATAAAAGATCGTAGTACAGCCCAGAAGGAACCATACCAAGACGCTATAGCAGAATATGGCGTCAAAATATGAAGCAGAGTCCTAGTTCTTGAGATTCTGCTTTGTATTGTTCTTCTCTTTTCGTCGGGTTCTTTATGGATAATTCCTGTCCCGCTCGGTGGTCGTTTTCCTTAGTGACGAGTACCTAGCTCTCTTCCACCAACTTTCGTAGTCCTAGTTCATGGTGTTTTGTTCGCCTGACATAAATTGGCCATCCCACAGGCATAGGCATATATAGTCCCGATCGAGATAATTGTACATGTACCAATGCCAAGAATACCATCTGCTATCTGTAATCGGACTATATCATGTAGAGCCGTAAATAGCAACACCACCTACCGCATGCAGCATGCATAATCAACATCGTGGGTGACTGAGGCGGATGTGGCGGCTGTAAAGAAGCCGGTTTCTACAAGACTACCTACCTATTCGGACCTCCTGCTTAAGACCGAGTCGGTGTGGAATTTCGGTTGAAACTGTGCTTCGTAGCTTGCTTTACGGTGAGAGGAGGAAGGTTCGATAGATATATAGAGAGAGTGTGTGAACGAGTACTGCCTACCTGATACATATTCATGCCGCATACTACAATAGCTTGGTTTAAACTTCGTTGGGCTGAATTAGTGCCGCACCTACTCTATATATATCCCCGCTGAAATACTGTGTAAAATCAATACCACGACAACCAATCAACTGTTCACGTATGGACATAAACAAAAGCCAATGGAAGTGGGTTGACCGGTACTTGTATTACCATCTCCCACGTAGTCAGATCTAAGACATGCATAAGATCTGTCTAAAGTATGCAAGACATTCCAGTGCCTCGATTCGATCGAGGGGATTGCTGGAAGCGGTTTAGGGCATGTGTTTGGTGCTTGGCATTTTGCCGTGCTGATCTGTGTTCATGGACTGTCTACAGTACTGCATTGTCATGTGCTAGGGAGAATGGTAGCTTCACAGTGGACTATTTAGTTGGATACAGTGCTTAATAGCTGGTTAGTTTGGTCGATTTCTCTCGTGAGGTCCGTGGGCTTCAGTTAACTAGTGGTTTAGCTGGTGCTTACGGGTAAAAATGGCAAGATAAGATGAATTGATGACTGCTGATAACAATGGATGTCTCTTATCTCAATACTATCTATCGTATTGAATCTACTCTCCGATGAAACCAGTTAGATTAATGGATTTTGTTATCGTGTATATTCTATCTCTTGTTCTTGATAGAATGAAGGTCAGCGAAATGAGTGGTCTGGATTTGAGCTAGAAACCATACAGAGTACAGAAGGAAACAAGATCAAGATAAGATATGAAAAATTATTCGCTGGATATTCAAGGAGTCACATGTAACTACTGGACGGAAAAATTCTCTACTCTGTCTTGAGTCATGTACCATTATCATAAAACGAAGTTCATCGTAGGAAGGACATGCCTTATCTTCGGGATATTATCTGACAATGGTCTCGGCCGCAGAGAAGTCCGACCGGTGCAATGGACGATATAAAGAAGTGAGCCATTGGCGGGTTGCGATAGGAAGGACTCACTGACAAGATACAAGGTGACTGTTTTGTATGTGGTTAAATATCGGATTAAGAATGATAGCTGTTTCTAACAATAATACTATATTTAAATTAATGCACGCCACAATGTGATCACTATACTCGAGACGACCTAAAGGTTAGAGATACAGTAGAGAGAGTTTGATATCTATTACAGCAATATACCTACGTAGTTGCAATTTTTTAAGGAAAAAACCATAAACGCGTAAAACGTTAAACTAGCCACAAAACACAATTTCGCTTTTTATCTAAAAAAAAAGCAAAAAATAAATAAACCGAAATAAAAGAAAATAAAGACAACTGCCAGCCAATGACCGCCAGCATCCACGCAACGAGCGGTTGTGAATAAAACCGGTGGAGACGCGCAGCTCCACCCCTGGTTCTAGATCGCGGTGAAGTGGCTCCGCGCCCATTCTTCGGTTTTTGGTTTTCAGTTTGCTGTTTTATTTTTCGCACAAAGACCAGCAAATTTTGTCGGAGTGGAGTGCGTCCAAGTATTTGTTGAGGATACTGGGTTGTCTACGTGGTGGTCTTGGGTCGGGTTCAAGGAAGGGTAGTAGAAAGGGATACATCATTGCTTATCTGACAGCCAGAGGGCGAAGGAATGAATCAGCGCCTGAGCAGGATCTGGAGACTGGATTACGGGGTCAATTGATGATTCATCGTTCATCCGGAACACTGAATGGCCAGTGTTCCGGGTGTTTGTTGGGGATGACAGTCCGCGAAAGTACGGAGTAGGAAAGAAAATGATCAATCACAAGGGTAATTTCGGGTTCTTGTGCGCAAAGAAACATTCCCAACCCCTTCCGGTCGATCTGCGAATTTCCGAAATATTGACGCCAAGAACAAGCATTGAGAGACAGAAACTCGAGAAAAATTGAACGACGAATTCGATATGCGACAATTTGGTTTCCGACTGGCCTGGAATGAACATGATTAAAATGAAATTCACAATCACCTGGACACGAAATAAGAATTAACGGCGATACCGTGCCTGACTAACGACCAGGTTCCTGGGATGACAAGCCGTTGAGCCGCTAGAATTGATTAATATTCAATTACGGAGACCGAGGATTTTTCGAGCCGTCTCCGTAAAGTAGAGCCCCGTAGCGACGGTAGCGTGGAGGGGGCTACGGAGCAATATTATAATTTATCAAATTAACGAGCTCACTGTCGGTTATCCAGCTGCCAGCATCCCAGACGGGAATCTGGCTCCGTTCATATTCGAACTATTGACACCGGTAGGGATGATGCCCCTGGTTGCGAATACACCGTTGACATTGGCTGGTATGATTAACCAAACAGGTTCGCGCAGGGCGGCGCAATTAGACTATGGAGTAAGGGCAGGAACGCCAAGAGGGAGAGAAATGAGTGTCAATAAACAAAGATTTCCTGGCAAACCCAATCCAGGGTCCAGCAATTGTCCGACCCAAGAACGCGGTCGACTGGGGACTCGAGACCGTGTTTAGGGCACAGGGCAAAAAGAAAAAAAGAGAAAAGAGGAAAGGGAGAAGGGAAAGTCGAACGCAAGAACCGATCCACTCGAGTCGTTCAGGTGTCAGTGTCTTGGCGATGATCATTTATGAGGGTCTTCACTTTTCATGCGGTTCTGAAACGGCAACTGCAAAATTGGATGCTTACGTAGCGATGCGTCGATCCGCAGATGGACCCGAAGAAAATCCTAAACGCCCGAGTCAACAATCAACACTGAACAGTACAACTACTCCGTACCATTGCGTATACTGGACCAAAACCGTCCGGGACAATCGCAATCAGACCCTGTACTCGTCGATTCAGAGTAATCTCGCTCAACCCAGGCTAATGCAGATACTACGCCTAGCGTGGTCGACAAGGTGCACGGGGCGTCAAATCAATCCGGAACGAAGACAATCAAAGCAATTTCCATACACCAGTCAATTCTCTGCAAGACGAGCAATCAATTTTCCCATCGCAGTCCGTCGGAATGGACCCCAATTCCCAAACTAATTTCCAAAGGGGGGACCATCGGATGGTCGCGACTCTCAATCTCCCCGGCAATAAGCTCAAGAGGCAAGGAAGCCGCTAAGCCGGACTAGTTGGTCGCTCTACCCACTTGGACCGTCGACGGCGGTAGAGGCGGGCCTGCCACTTGTTGTATTAGCGCGGAAGGGGCAGTACGAATAATGGTCCCAAGCCCCGGCCCTGGTGCGGTGGCGAATATACTCCGTGGGTTCGTCGACCACGGGATCAGCGATGATTGCGATCTACTACTCCGTAGGGGACGAAGGATTTTTTAGTACGGAGTAGTCAAGAATAGTAGTGCTGGAGTAGTATGAGCTGCATGCAACGTTGCCGACAGGGACCTCTCTTGCTCTCTCCGGGGAAAGGTAAGGTAGTACTCGGCAATACTGGTAGTGAAGATGTACGGAGTAGGAAATGGTCAGGTGTGGGCACTGGGCAGATGAACTATCTAGTTTCCGTCGTTGGTTTGTTGAGAGGTAAGGATACTGTTAGTGCTAGTCGACGCTAACCCGGGGCTCTCGGGGATGGCAGATATGCTGATATGAACACTGAACACTGAGCAGTAAATTATGCCCACAGTCGGTATGCAAGGTGCAGCCACTACTAGGATGCGACAGTAGTCGGCGGTTAGTCCGTTAGGAATCCAGATCTCAGGATCAGAATGGTCAAACAGTCGATCTATCGATGAGTTACGGTATTCCGGACGAGTACGTACGACTGACCTGATACTTCCGAGAGTAATCAATACGAGGCGCGGACGCAAGCATCTGCCAGCATGCCGCGGTGTGAGTGGTGTAGGAGGAACGAACGAAGAGGAACAACGGGTATTACTGAATGCGGGGTAGCGCCGTGTCCTCGTGGCGACTAGTCCCTAAGCAGGACGGGGCCTATCAGCTGACTCCGCTGCGGGTTTTTTCTTTTCTTTTTCTTTTTCTCTCTTTTCTCCCTCTTTCCTTACCGGACAGACTAAAGGGACTAAGGTCATTAGTGTCGGAGGACCCAGTCTACTGACAGAGAGTCTGAGAGTCTTAGACTGCGAACACTGACTGGGACCGCCTGGCAATTTCCGTTGCAGCGTCATCACTTCCGGTATTGCTGTAACTTTTCCAAGGTATTTTCTCTCGCTGCTTTGGGTCTCAGGATGATCCCCCGTCGTCATCCATTCGTCGCGCTTTTTGCCTCTTCCCCTCTCCCATCTCCTCTCTCTTCTTTTCTTTTCTTCTTCTCTGACAACCTCCCCGTCGTCCCCTCTTTGTGTTTTCCCTTTCCTTACACCACTCAACACAGGACCTCGTGGACCCGTGCATTCGGCTTTCATCTCGTCTGCCAGCCCCATCGAGGCCTTTCCGGATTTTCGTCCCTTGGATCATTTCTAAACTTGACTTGGGACATACTAGGTTATCTCCTCAGTTCCACCCGAGGAAAAACGCTTGGACGAAATCTCCGGTCTCACCCGCCCCGGTCTAATCTAAGCTTGGATACATAACCATAGGGCTCGCGCTTTCTCTCTTTGCCCTCCTTCCCCCCGCGACAAAGAGTTCTCGCGGCGGACATCCATCCCTTTCCTTCGACTGGAACCATCAAAAGAATCGAGTTTCTTTTTTCCCCAACTCGTTCGATGGTTCTCACGGATTCCTTTCGACCGACCGATCGGTCAGGTCCCTTCGTCAGGATTCCCCCGGAGTTACACCATTTCAGCGCAACGACCGCCCCGAGTGACAATGAGACTTCCTCGTCGCATTCCGGTAGCCCGGCAGATGGGAGTCTTTACTCCCCTCCTTTGTCGACCGGACGCTGCTCCACCGATATAAAGAATGAGCCTCACCATCAATACCAGCTCGGTTCGCCACATCCTCCACCGTCGCTTCAGATTCGCACCGATCTTCCGGGCTCCGCTCATTCCAACTCGTCCAAAGAGTCCGATCCTTTCGTGCATCATAGCGTCTCATCCAGCAGTCTCCCTCACAGAACCCCCAGCTTGCGCGGCCTGTTCGCCGGCTCCCTTCCTAGCGGAACTTCCCTCTCGCCAGCTTCCGTTCTGTCGTCGCCGCAGTTGATGGCTATGGGTGACATCACTCCCCTGCCATCCCCAGTCAGCGGCACCTCGCCATGGAAGCTTCCCCGACGCAATTCACAATCGCTCTCGCGGACCCCGTCGTCCGCATCGAGAACCGGGTCGAGTCGGGGGTTGCGACTGAGTGACTCGTCGCAAATGCTGGGCGTTTCTGACGCTCGGTCGCGCAGCAAACCATACGCCCCCCTAGACAGTTCCGCCGGTGAGAAACAGCCTGACGAGGTCGGTCGGGAAGTCAAGGCTCCGAAGCATGGGCGGAACCGGAGTTTGAGTGAGTACGTCCCCCCGGGTAAAAGCGTCCCGATTAAGCCTCGTCCAGTTGTGGTCTCGGGATCCGGCGCACCCAACGGGATCTCGTCCTCCTGCAGCACCGACTCCAAGGCGAACGCCCTGCATCGCGAACAGTACTTGGCTGTGCACCGTGGCATCACCCTGCCGGCCGTCCACCCTCCATCCCCGCCGAGGAGTCGGCACGACGCCGAAAACACGCCCGTCATCACCCATCCCCAGGTGGCCGACGGACCGGATGAAGTGTACTCGGTGCGGTCGATACGCACTCAACAACCGCGACTCTATCGTAAAATGCGCCAGCTGGGTCAGGGTACTTTCAGTCAGGTCTGCCTGGCTGTGAGACTGGAAATCCCGGAGGGCGGTGAGCTCCCGCAGACTGGTTCTAGTCTTACTGGTGTGAATGCGGCGACGCAGAAACTGGTTGCAGTGAAGATCATCGACCACGGTCCGGCGGGTGGCGCGGACGAAGAGCGATTGGAGGTATCCCTCAAGCGGGAAGTCGATATTCTCAAGTCAATCAACCACCCGTCTCTCGTGCAACTGAAGGCTTTTGGGAGTGACGAAAACCGGGCGTTGCTGGTTCTGGACTATTGTCCCGGAGGAGATCTCTTCGACCTGGCGTCGTCTAGTCCCAGACCCATTTGCCCGCAGCTGATCCGGCGCATGTTCGCCGAGATGGTCGGCGCCGTGCGCTATCTGCACGAGAACTATATTGTTCATCGGGACATTAAACTTGAAAGTAAGCTCTCCCCATCTCCCTAGCAATGCGCAGTGTCACTAACTTGGCTCTTTCAGATGTTCTAGTCAACCTCCCTATCTCCGCCATGGAGAATGTTACCGACTGGCGCACGTACGATCGCGCCATCATCACCATCAGCGATCTCGGTCTCTCCCGACGGATACCTCAGCCGCCAGAAAACGCGCTGCTTCATACCCGCTGCGGAAGCGAGGATTACGCCGCACCGGAGATCCTCATGGGACAGGCATACGACGGACGGTCGACCGACGCCTGGGCCCTCGGAGTGTTGCTCTATTCCATGATGGAGAACCGACTTCCATTTGACGCACTTCCCGGCACTCGAGGGGACCCCAACAAACTTCGAGCTCGGACCCCCCACCGAATCGCACGACTCGAATGGTCGTGGTACCGCTACGCCGACGCCGACGGAGAATGGGACCCCGAGAAGGGCAAGGAACTTGAGGATGCTCGCAAATGCGTCGAGGGCCTTCTTAAGCGCAACACGAAACGCATGAGCCTGGATGAGATCGCGTCGATGGAATGGGTGCGCGATGCGATCGACGTGCCCGGGGGACTGAAGAGGGGTGATAAAGAAGTGCCGTAGAGCTGGACTCTCGATTCTTATTTACCCGGACTTTTTTTTTTTTTATAAGGTTTTGTTACGATATATGGTGATGCATAACTGCGGCTTGACGAACTTTTTTATATGGTTTTGTTATTAAGGGTCGGGCTTTGATCAGCCGGACAGATAAACCACTTTTATACCCTAGAGATTAATGGTGTTATTGATAGAGATAAACATAATGGATGTGATTGATTCGTGTGATTTGTGCTGTTTGTATGTTTGTATGTTTGTCTGTGTTTGCAGGTGTTTTGTCTGTCTGATGACGGATGACGCTGACTGCGTAAGCAGGTCACCTGATTGGCAGCTGACAATCGCCAAGCGAGGATTGGTGCCGGGGAGTCTCAGGCCGACTCCGGCCCCGACTTCGCTGCGGAGGGAAGCTCTGCCCCGGTCCACTTTTCTGCTCGCGGCCTTTATTATTGTCGTCCACGGCCAGACTCTGTGTCACTGTCAACTCTCCTCTCCTCCGTCATATCCAGTCTGGTGCCTGCCGTCGGTCGATTGCACACCTGTGAAAATGCTTCTTTCGCAAACCCGGGGCCGTATGCCCTCTGCTCTGCGGAGCCTGGCCCAGCGGTCGATGACTGCGTAAGAAATTGCCATTGCCCCTCGATCATTCATCAATTGGTTGAATGTAAAGCTGACCTGGTACCTCAATGGCAGTCGCCCTCTCTCTACCACCCTCCCTAGACATAAGGCCGCCGCCTCCGACGAGGAACTCGTCCTCAACAAGGTCTCCCGCAACATCACGCAGCCCATCTCCCAGGGTGCCTCGCAGGCTATGCTCTACGCCACGGGTCTCACGGAAGCCGACATGAACAAGGCCCAGGTCGGTATATCATCGGTCTGGTACAATGGTAACCCGTGCAACATGCATCTGCTGGATCTCAATCACAAGGTGCGCGAGGGCGTGCAGAAGGCCGGCTTGATCGGCTACCAGTTCAACACGGTTGGAGTCAGTGACGGTATCAGTATGGGTACCAAGGGTATGCGGTTCTCCCTGCAGAGTCGTGACCTGATCGCCGATTCCATCGAGACCGTCATGGGCGGCCAGTGGTACGACGCCAACATCAGCATTCCCGGCTGCGACAAGAACATGCCGGGTGTCCTGATGGCCATGGGCCGTGTCAACCGCCCCAGTCTGATGATCTACGGCGGTTCCATCAAGCCCGGTTGCGCCGCCACCCAGGACAACGCCGACATCGACATCGTCTCCGCCTTCCAGGCCTACGGACAGTTCATCACCGGCAACATCACCGAGCCCCAGCGCTTCGACATCATCCGCCACGCCTGCCCCGGCAAGGGCGCCTGCGGTGGCATGTACACGGCCAACACCATGGCTACCGCCATCGAGACCATGGGTATGACTCTGCCCGGCTCGTCGTCGTTCCCAGCCGATTCCACCGCCAAGTACATCGAGTGCCAGGCCGCCGGCGAGGCCATCAAGAACCTGCTCAAGGAGGACATCCGCCCGCGGGACATCATGACGCGCCAGGCCTTCGAGGACGCCATGATCCTGGTCAACATCACCGGTGGTTCCACCAACGCCGTGCTGCACCTGATCGCTATCGCCGACTCGGTCGGCGTGAAGCTGGACATCGAGGACTTCCAGGCCGTCTCCGACCGCACTCCCTTCCTGGCCGACCTGAAGCCCTCCGGCAAGTACGTCATGCACGACCTGCACAAGATCGGCGGTACCCCGTCGCTGCTGAAGTTCCTGATCAAGGAGGGCGTCATCAGCGGCAAGGGCATGACCGTCACTGGTCAGACCCTGGCCAAGAACCTGGAGAACGTGCCCGACTTCCCCGAGGACCAGAAGGTCATCCGTCCCTTCTCCGACCCCATCAAGGAGACCGGTCATATCCAGATTCTGCGCGGATCTCTCGCGCCCGGCGGCTCCGTCGGCAAGATCACCGGTAAGGAGGGTACCACGTTCACGGGTAAGGCTCGCGTGTTCGACGACGAGGACGACTTCATCGCTGCGCTGGAGCGCAACGAGATCAAGCAGGAGGACAAGACCGTGGTGGTCATCCGCTACACCGGACCTAAGGGAGGTCCTGGTATGCCTGGTACGTTTTGCCTTTGTCTTTCCCAATTCTCCTTTCTATACTAACAATCTCGACAGAGATGCTGAAGCCCTCCTCGGCTCTCATGGGAGCTGGTCTCGGTAACTCGTGCGCCCTGATCACCGACGGCCGATTCTCCGGCGGTTCTCACGGCTTCCTGATCGGTCACATCGTGCCTGAGGCCGCCGTTGGCGGACCCATCGGTCTCGTGAAGGACGGCGACGTCATCACCATCGACGCGGGACGCCGTGCTCTCGACCTCGAGGTCGACCAGACGACTCTGGCCGAGCGACGCAAGCAGTGGGAGGCTGACCGCGATGCCGGCAAGCTTCCTCCTACCGGTCTGACTCTGCGTGGCACTTTGGGCAAATATGCTCAGTACGTCCCCCTCCTCTATTTTCCATCCACTTGATGTGTGCTAACAATCTGATTCAACAGACTCGTCCAAGACGCCAGCCACGGCTGTATCACCGATGCCTTGCAGAAGGACAAATCCGACTAAATCAACCTAAAATAACAATACCTTTACTAACTTAATTCTGGGCGAGGATGAGTGAGTCTTGTATTACATTTTCCTTTTTTTCTGCCGTGTTATAATGAAATAGCTGGATCATATTTCTGGATTTTGACTTTGCATGTTTCATATTTCATGTCTGACAGGCGAAGTTGTTAGATGAACGAAAAGCGTGTTACTTATTTCTTTATTGAAGATATTCTTTTGGTATATTGCATTGTATCGTGATCTTGATAGTGGGTGTGGATTGAGTGGGCTGTATCCTATCGATTTCATCTAATCCTGTAGGCATGTCTCTCGAGTGCTATTCCTAGTTGTATAGATATTTCAGCTATCCATCGCATGACCTGCCTAGTTGATTTACAGTATCCCTACAAAGAAAGCATCTACAGGAGACTGATAATAGTCATCTGTTAATCCAGTGCGTTTCTTCAATTAATATTACGATCAAATGGAAGAGTCTCATGCTGGGAACCTTCAATACTTGAACATTTTCATGATACAAAATATTTTCAGTTCCAATCACTGGAATTGAGACCACAGGAACGAAGGGAAGGTGCTATTTAGTACACCGGCTCAAAAATTCCTCAGAGATTGGAGCAAAAAGCCAAACCAAAGCGTGCTTATGTCCTCAGATACAGTAGTTCCTTACCGGAGAGAAGATCCGCGGACCCAAGAGAATTCAAACAAACAAAAAAACAGAAAGTCAACAAATGACCCTAAAGCCAAGAGGCTAATATCCGACGTCCGACTACCCTACCCTCACGGACTCTTGAGACCTTCGACATCCTGCTTTGTCCTCAAATACTTCCTTACCGGAAGATCCGCAGACCCAAAAGGGTTGAACAAGACCAATACAAGATCAAAAACACAAAATCAACAAAAAGTCCAGCCAACAAACAAGAAGACGAACAAGAGCGAACAATCCAACATCCGACCAACTAACTCGGAACCTCTACACCCAACCACTATTTCCCCTCAGCATCCTGCTTCTGCTTGAACTTGCCCGACGTATCCGGATAAAACCCCTCATACTTCTCCAACTTCGGAAACCGCGACAAACCAAAGATATAACCCGGGATACTCGGATCCGGCGGATGAATCACGAGTGCAGTCTTAATGGACCTCGGATCGATCAATTCCTTGCATACCCTGAGAATCAAAACCTCCAGCGACTCGCGCTGGTCTTCAAGAGCATGGGACAGCTTTGAAGCTTTCCAGGAGCGACTTGGGTTGCTATGGTGCGGACAGCGGGCGATTTCCAGTTTCCTTAAGGTCTTGGGGAACAATAGCATTGATTTCAAGATATCAAGATTGATGAAAGGGCACTCGATTATCAAGGTCTGAGATTCGTGGTTTTCTGATGGCGTGGCAGATGCTTGAAATCCGAAATATCCAGGTGTAATGCGGTCAGGCTGATGTGTTCGACTGTTGGAATCATGAGGAATAGATGGCCATCTTGGTTGGTTCAAAGAGCCACGACACATAATTTCACTAGAATACATTGCACCATTCAGCCAACCAGTCTGAATGTCTCAAAGGAGGATCTGGAGGGGGAGGGGGTAACAAGCTAGTCATGAAGGAAGTAACTCACAAGAACGAAGATTCGGAAGAATACGCATCCCCAATGGCGTAAGCGCACTCGCATGACGAAAGATACAACAACCATTAGACATCAACCCATAGCCATCCAGTGGATATTTCAAACGATTGACAAAAGGGTGTTCATCGTGTTGCTAGAGCCTGTGATCTAGCACGTGTGCTCCGAACGAATCAACGTTCAGGGATTTGATAAGACGACTGTAATTGAAAATAATTTCAGGGACTCCCTCCATGTTCGATTTCTCTCTTTCATTGACATTATGAAGCGAGACTAAGATGTCTCGGTGAGCCCAGCGGGTAGAGAGGGTGTTGAAATCTCGGCATGTTAGGCGGAGGGTTCGGCAGTCTTTGGAGGGGCCGTGCACTAGGACGAGATCGATGAGCTCACGAGGGAGCTTAGTGAACGGAGAATCGTCCATTGTTGATTCGTAAAGGGGTGGAGAGTTAGAAGCCCTTGGGAGTCGTAGAGGCTTGTGCGGATCGGTGGTTTGATATCCTTTAGCGAAGAGCACTTGTAGTCAAACTTCAGATTCGAGGCTAATTGTGACTGAGAGGAATGGAGAAGAGGTAACAGAGGCAAGTGCATAGACCAGTCTACCAGAAAAGAATGTTTATATGATTGCAAAGACTTTTAATACAGCGCGGCCTCATGACGTGTAGACGTGCCAAACCATCGGGGGGTTCCAACATATCAACAGGCAGATCGGAGGTCTCCAGGACATCTAGACTGTCAGATATCCCCAAAGCACACTTATTTCTTCATTTAATAAATCATATCCGAATTTGATATTACCTGAAACCCACGAAAGTTAACATAAACTCACCCAAACCGATCAGTTTCGCGCTAACCATTCGAACAAAACCAAGCAAATATTATCATACAAAACGCCAATGCTAGCTTGAAAACCTCACGAATACACCTCTTTCACCAAGACCCTTACACCCTGCGACCCCAATCGAGCCTGCGGAACCGTCCAATCTCTCTGAATCTCAACATCCCCAATATCAGTCTCATACAACTCCAGCTCCACCCTAGCTGCCAACCCCGCGGCCAAAAGATACATTTCCGCCTCCGCCAAGGGTTGACCGAGACAATTGCGGGTTCCATGGCCAAACGCCACAAGATACTGTTTGAGATCATTCCGCACCGTCTCGTCCTGCGTGAGCCATCGTTCCGGAATGAAATTCTTTGCCTCTGGAAATACGTCTTCGTTATAGTGCTGGAACACAGAAATCGAACTGATAGGTGTCCCAGCGGGGATGACATATTGTTTGTATTGCAGAGGCGTGGATGCTAGACGAGGCGAGCGGCCAGAGACGCCGCTTTGGAGGCGTAAAGTTTCCAGGATACACGCTGTTAGGTATGGGAGGACCTGGAGGGTCGTGATAGAAGGAAGAGGGGTGGATGGCTCGGAGTAGACAGTTGCGAGCTCGGCGCGGAGACGAGCCAGTTTGTCGGGGTTGGAGAGAAGGTGATAAAAGAGTATGGCGTTGACTTTGGCGGGGGTTTCGCTGCCCGCGATCAGCAGGATCGAACCCTCCTCGGAGAGCCGTTGGAGAGTTTTCTCCTCCGGTGGAAGCTTGGATGTATCGCGGAGTTCTTCGAGGATGGTTTTCGGTTTGGAGTCGCGATTTGCTTCTATATAGGGGCCTCTGTAGGCGAGGACGTCTGCTACTTGATCACGGATGTGCTGGAGGATATTAGCTCCTGTTCTGGGTAGCATATTGGGGGAAAAGGGTGGAAAAGTACCTGCTTCCATTCATTCAAAACGGAGAGATCCGGCATGATGACTCTCGCCATGGACACTGGCAACACGGGAACCAGACGCGCCATGAACGGAAAGGCTCGTACAATAGGCAAAGCCTTCATGATATGGATGATAGTTTTACGCCATTTGTGCGCCTTAGCCTCGTCATCTAGCATGCCTAAGGACTCGCCGAAACTGTAGCTGGTGAAAATGTCCATGGTAGCGGCCAGCGATCCCACGGTCAAATTGAACGGTTGTTGTGTATCGCGGTAGACCCGTAGATTCGAGCAAAGCCGGTCAATACAGCTCTTGATGCGGTCTTCCAGGATCACCGTGTTACGGTAGCTGAAGAATGGGGCAAGAGCATTGCGCCGAAGTCGATGATGGGCATGCTGGACCGTGAATCCAGTCGCATTGTTGCAGTCGGGGGATCGGGTGAACTTCTCATACTTGTCGCGTTGCTCTGGCAGCGAGGCGTATATCGTGTCGAAGAAGTCAGGGTCATTGCAATGGAGCTCGTCCGGGCTGATGCGGACTATAGGTCCTGCCGAGACTTGTTAGCTTATTAGATTTTCAAGGTGCTGTGGCAGGCAGGACAAACCATATTTGGCATGCATCTTCTCGATCTCCCACATGAACATGCCGTTCTTGAACACATCATAGTAAAATTCCACCCAGAAGGTCAAAGCCACGGACTTGGGTCCTGGGAACCCGGCCAGTGGGCTCCAATATAGACGCCAAATGGCTCCATAAATAATCCATGCTGGTAGTAGCGATAGAGCTACGTACCACACGGAGGAGATCTCTAGATCACCTAACATGGCGTTTACCGCCGTTCGAGTTTGCGTGAAATCGGAGTCAACCGTCAGACAGTGGTTATGATTCAGCGAAAAAAAAAAAAAAAAAAATAAGAAATGCGAAAGGTAAGAAAACACAATTCAGCTGTATCCAAAAAGAACCAAAAGATGTGATATTTGCGGGGCGGGATGCAAGATGTGTTATGATATGATATGTCAATTAGAAAACAGAAGAAGTCTAACAGGTAAGAAGGTTGTATGATCTATACTCCAGAACCGATTAAACTTTCGGACTGTCATATATATTTCAATAAAAGTTTTCCTAAAAAAAGACACCCAAACTGTAAAACGTCAGGTCGAACATTCCCACCGTGCTGGTTGCCGAGGCGTCCACACCCCTATTCGCCCTGCTGCGCCTTGGGCGTTTGAATACGGGGGACCCGCACCCCCTATTCGGCAATCGGCAGCCCCCCCACCGCTGAGCGCGGGCATGTCATCCCGTCCGGGACCGGTATTATAGGACCAAGCCTTCAACTAAGGACTAGGGTTGGGGTTAAAATGTCAATTGGATTGTGCAAGATGATCAGCGCTGATGTCCGGATTTGGGATAAACACTAGGTATCGAATTAGTTCCGAAGAAAAGAATGAAGACTCCTACCTATTGCGTGTTAGCCCGTCGAACGGAGACCAAATCCAATTAATTATAAAGGAGTGGACAGTAGAAATCTTGTGTTTTATTCGTCTAACTGCCATTATAGTATGACTCACCTGGTTGAAGAAGATAAATAAAAATATCAAGAAACCAGAAGTCAAGAAAAATGATTCCTGAACCTTTAGGCAATCATCATAGAAAGCACCTGACCCGGGCAAAACATAGATTAAGTGGACGTGGCTGGCTGACATTTAAGGTCCCACCATCCTGCGACCTTTCTCATTTCAGACCAATAGACCAATAGACCATCTAGAATGGGAGATTTGAAGAGAAACGCAAGCCACCACCAGCAGGTGGATTCATGTTGAGCCTCCTCACGTGGTGATCGCGGCATGGACGCATAACATTGCACATAATACGTACCAGCTCAATTATTTCATTGATTGTTTGACACTCTGAAATGGTGGGTCTGAAACGCCTCGGGGGCTAGGTGGTAGGCTGGTAGCCCGGGCGCTGGCCGACAAGAAATTCATAGGCGAACAAATCCCCCGACCACACTGGGCGCATCGATTAAGGCAAATATCTCCAGGGTGAAGGGCACAGCAGTTCGATCATAGGCCAGGTTTGATCCTCCAAAGTACTGCGGGGGTTCAGAACCCCAGACGCAGCAAACAATCTTTAGCGTCTCGGAGGACACGGAATGGTTTTATCCCGTCCTCTATACATGGTGACTCACGGGTCTATAATACTGCGGTGTTATGCGTTGTGTCGTTCATTTTGTGTCATTGGGGTTGCCAAGGGGTGTTGGTTAGCCTGGCAGCCTTGCGGCCTTGCCCTGGTGAAGAGACTGAATCAGTGGCACTGATTCAGTGGTCTGTGTCGTTAGTCGTAGCCTTGCCGACACTTTGGCAGCCTGGATCATCATCGTGGATCCACTTATCCTCTATGCCCAGTTGGCTAGACTGAATTGGGAAGTTATGCAGAAACGCAGAACATACAGATTGTTCATAACTATTAATGAGTGGAGTCACATAGTTAGTTAACTAGTTAAGTTAACTGTCAAGTGAAAGGGGTCGATCTAATTTGACTTGGTCAAAAAAGCGACAAGTTAGGGTTAGGTTCATCATGTGCCAGGGGGTATGCATATTGAGGACCACTTGATTTGATGATTATTGAATGATCTCGACTCCCTGATCTTAATGTTTTGCCGATGAAAAAATATCAAAATATATACTCTCATCTGCTACATACTGTACAAATTCTGGCAAAAAGCATAGCTATACAGCAAAAAACGCAAACTACTCAATCAGAGCCCCCTCCCTGCCCAAAACCCTCTTTCTCAGCTGCACCACCGGCCCTTCATGCGTACTGGTAAACACGTCTTTCGTCTGGAAATCATTCTCCCTATCCCTTCCCCATCGTAGACCCCCCTTCCACCACTTCCCTCCTTCACCAGCATGCACCCCCGGCGCCAACCGAATATCATACGCGCGAAATAGTCGCGCCAATATCAACCCCATCTCCTGATACGCCAAGCCCTGACCGACGCAGCTAGTCCGGCCAGCGCCGAAAGGCATGTATGCGTTTGCATGTCCACCCCCAGAAGACAAGGAGGAGGCTTTACCCACCGAATCACCCAGATCAAGCCATCTCTCTGGCCGAAAGGCATGCGGGTCAGACCAGTACGCTTCCTGGCGATGAAGGGCGTAGATAGGGATCGCGACGTCCGTGCCTGCCGGGACGACGTGTTCCTTTTCGTTCGTGCGTACGATCAGACCCCCTGGAAGGACTTCTCGTGGTAAGACGGCTCCGACGGGAGGAGACAGACGCATGGATTCGTGGATACATGCGTAAAGGAAAGAGCAGCTGTCGAGGGAAGGGCCCATACGAACGGTTTCGATTTCTGCGGTATTTTCGTCTGTTTGGGAGGGGAACGCACGGTCGATTTCGTCGCGGGCGCGGGCGTATGCTTCTGCGTGATGAAGGAGGTAGAAGAGCGTCGATGTTGTGGCTGTGGCTGTGGTATCGGAGCCCGCGACGATGAGAATACCTGCTTCGGCGACGAGGTCAGACTGGGAGTAGCCGCGGCCGGTGTCGGGGTCGCGGGCGTCGATGAGGGCAGCGAAGAGGTCGCGATGAGGTAGGGAGGCCGGGTCGACGGAGATACGCCATGAGGACTGGGCTTCTGAGAGGCGGAAAAAGTCCGCGACACCACGCGTGAGCGAGGGGAAGCAGATCTTGTCGAGATTCAGCTTCAGAAGAGCGGGGACATGGCCGGCGAGATTGATGCCACAAGTGCCGAGCGTCATGAGGTCCAGGAGAGGCCGGTTAGCGGTGCTGGATTGCGTGTTCCAGTTCTTGGAGAAGGTAACGTCGCCCATGATGTCGGAGAGGAGGTATTGAATGGATTTGCTGAGGTCGACGGTCTGATTGGACCATGGTTGCGGCTGGTCCGGGGATGAGGAAGGGAGGAGGGTGAAGAAGAATCGCACGTTCTGCAGAATCAGTTCCTCGAGACCTCTGACGGCGGAGGTGCTCAGCGCCCGACTGGTTACTCGTCGCTTATACGAGTGGATCTTGCGGTCGATGGTGGTAAGACTGGCGGGGACCGCGAAGAAGTGCTTGAAGGCGCTGTAGACCTGGGATTTCTGCGTATTGGCACGCACGCCATAAATATCCGAGACAGCCTGGTCGCTACAGAATGCCAATCGATTTGGTCCAAATCGAACGACGGGGCCGTATTTTTCATGTAGACGCAGGAAGTCCAGGTGTCGATCGCCCGCGAGGCAGTGGTAGATGCTGTACAGATCTGTTACGGCCGCGATCCACGGTCCAGGGTAGTTTGTCAGGGGGTGGAATGTCAGCCGGTAGATTGGTACGGCTAGTAGCTGAGGTTCGAGTCAATTCAAACCCTACAATCAGACGGGGTGACAGGCATACCACTTCGATAGCGAAACAGGTAATCTTAGAGACAAGATTGGTGCACGCAGTGATGTACACATACCCCACGACTAGCGCCAGTGACGCAAATGAGAGGGATACCACGTGGGCTTGGTAGGACATATTCGATTGGATTGCGTGACGGTGTGTACGTTTGATGTCTTGGGACACCCCAGGATAGCGCCCAGCAGGATATATGTACGGATATTTACCAGACCCTCCCGGCTCCTCATCACATTTCTAATGACGCCTGTGACTACTCAACTTGCCGCAGCATGCATAAACTAAGACCGGGGTGTCTATATTAAGAGGGTTCAGCGTCATAATGGCTGCGGCCAGAACAACGCCAACCAACCGTCATTAGCTCGCCCAGGGCACTCCAGGCAAACCAAAGGCGGTCCAAACGATAAATCCTGTCAGAAAAAAAAACACAGCCAGTATTGACTCAACGATTCTGACGGTGGCAAAACAAAAGCAGAGCCTCATCTGCACAAGGCGGAGATCGTAATCACGATGACCAACGGGAGCAAGCCGAAAACGAGAACGGCCCCCATATCCACGATTCTCCAGCCAGGCACGGGCCAACCGATTGCCCAGTAGGATCGGCTGATGTCAGACGACCCCTCGGAGGGTGTCTTGATCTCTTACTGTTATTGGTATTTGGTCATGGCTAGTGAATGCGGGCACGGGCGAGGGTGAGAATCCTGCGTGCCCGTTTCCCCCTTCGGCGTAAATCATCCATCCTGGCCTCTTGGCAGGCAGATAGCTAATTCTTCCTACCTTGGTGGTGCTGCACTCAGCTACGCCACGGTGCAGAAGGGCAGACTACATGACTCATTTGAGAGAACAAAAGAAATATTTAGTGTATCTGGTGCAGTAATTTGTTGATTGGGGTTATTGGGGTGCCCAGGGGGCTGGTCTATCGCTATGCTAGGGTATTATTCAGTCTGAAATATCACAACGCAAACAGGAATCAGTAAAAGCAAAGGAAGCTAAAAAGATAAAAAAAGGGGGGGGGGAAGATGAGAGAGAAAAAAACACAATAATAAAAATACACAACCGTCAACGGCGTCAATCATCAATTTATCCCAAGATCGAAAACAAAACACATCCCCGTTTAAAACAACAAGTAGCCCGAAACCGCCGCAGCAGCATATCGCCAAAACCAGTCTAGGGTCTGCGTCAGAACCGCCGGGTTCTTGTAAAGAGGCAGCAAATAGATTAAAATCAACCAAACACACCACAGTTGATAGGTGATTTCATCCGCCGACACCCACCGCAGCTGCATGGTCCGATATGCAATTAGCCCGGCAGGCCCCAGCAAAATGAGGTAACCTACGATGTCCAGAGCCCAGAACGTGGGACAGAAGATGGACCAAAACAGAACGCCGACGGCCACGGAGATACGAGCAACTCGTTGGCCGTGGATGATTGGTAGTGTGAGTCGGCCCCGAGCGGCGTCACCCTCGATATCTGGGATGTCTTGAACATGGATGGTCGTTAAAACTATCAGTCCAATCACTCCCAGCCATACGTAGGCCGCTGTGTTTAGCTCATACTGAGACCCGGCTGCGATGGCGGTAGAGCCGGATCCATGACAGATGAACCCTGCGGCGTTAAGGACGTTGCGCGCAATGTAGTTCTCGTCTGCGCCAGCAAGGTCGTTGTACATCCAGGTGAGTACGAGCATGGCGACGGTCTCACGCAAACCACCAATGAAGCATGAGAAGAGAACTCCCAGCGGAATTAGAACCAACAGTAGCCGACGGGCTTCGTCCTGCGTGATCCGGCCAGCCGGAATGGGACGCCATGGCTTGTTAACAGAGTCCTCGATGACGGAGTTTGGTAACCGCTGGTTGGCGAGGTTGAACACCAGCAGATTAAACCAATTCCAGAAGGCAACGAGTGGTAAACGAGCAAGGATTAATCCCAGACTCGGCGTTGAATTCGAGGTTAACAACCCTCCAGCCAGTGCTTGGAAAATGCCCACTGCTGTTTGAGGGTAGAGAATGACTTTGAAGTCGTTTCGAGTGAACAGATAAACACTGTATAGGTGATAGACTAGAGAGCGACCCTGGCACGCGTTGTTAGAATGTTGACCTGTTTGAAATCTAGAGAGATGATAACGCACCTGGGAGGGCTGCGAGCCCAGAATGGATGTTTTCTCAGACAGCATAGTGTCGGTCACAGTCAATTCGTTAACAAGTTTCTGTTGAATGCGCATAGATGAGATGTCAAGTAAACTTTAGGAGAATGATTTGGTTGAACTGTTCAGCAGACAGCGCAGCCAGATAGGGGTATTTAAGTTCTCGATATCAAGGAAATCATTCAATGGCGTAGGCAGCCTGGGGTGCCCTGGGGCCTTTCTGCCTGACTCTATCCTTTGCCCGCGAGCCCAGGTATGGGCGCAACACTGCCTGGTGACCATGGCTGTGTCACCATTGACCATGGTATCTGTTTGGATGACACTTTTTTCAGGCCACAGATGTCAACGATGACTTTGCCCCACATTGTATCTTGAAACGGGCAACATTGGCCGTCGCAACCCATGCCTACAATGTACATTTAGCATGACACAACAGTTAGGACGTGGATCATCTCCGCAAATAGAACACCTCGTGGGAGATAATGATCAACTAAACTGGGGCCAGGGCGTAAGGAGCCCAGCTTATGCGCAATTCGGTTACACAAAAGACCCAGAATAGAGAAAAAAAGGACATTGTCCATCGTCACCCACATGGCTTTTACCCAGCTGAACCGGGGTGTTTTAGTGGGCCCACGCACGGTGAAAATGACACGGATTATTAGAGATAATGCAGTGTGAATCATAGAAGCACGCTAAGTAGACCGTTGAATCCTTCCAGTGAGTCTCATAATCCTCGATCTTGGTACTTATTCGTAGACACGGACTGAGTAAGGCGTCCAACTCAGGACCCGCTTTCGCTTCCTTCGATCTTCTGCACTGCGCTGCCTGCAGGCGACAGCTGATCCTGAGTCATTCAGGCCTACTCTCTAGATTGTTTCATGGAGTTAATGGAGTTCACTGGGTTCTGGCCGAAAATAGCCGTTGTAAAAGATGCAAAGTTGCCTATACTCTGGATCGCGCGGTTTGCCCAGTCATTCGGACGATGCATTACGTCATAGCCGGGGATGATCAGCGATCCTCCTATCGGCAGCCTCGGTCCATTTCTAAAGGTCTATCATAGTCTGCTGCATTGTGTTGACTATATGTAAAGAATGCGTGAAAGTTTGTCGCTGGCGTCGTCGGAATTATGGCACCTAGACTTTCCGGGTGGTGATGAACTTCATCAAGACTATACGAAAAGCCAGAAGCCAAATGGTAACCTTAACTGTAAGTACTCCCATAAATAAACTAAGTATACGGGTCTGTGTAATGCATAAGCTTCTACATACAACCTGCCTAAAGTAGCATCCCCTACTTTAAAGATATACTCAAATTCATTCGGAACCTTAAGGAAGTGGACCAATTCCCCAGCCTATTCCAACTCCACCAACTCGGCTACAAAATCCACAACCTTCTGCGGCGCACTCAAATACGGATGGTGGGACGCCTTTAGGCGAAGAGTACGAGATGTCCCTAACACCGAAGTCATATACTCCTGGACCGGCAAGGGGAGCATACGGTCATCCTCACACAGAATGTAAGAATTTGGAAGAGCTTTCCATGGTTCATATGTTCCACTCCCGAAGAACACGGAGAGAGAAGTATGTGTCAGGGCACTCGACTAACGAGTTTGCTCGGCTGAACACAAATCACAGAATGCCTCCGAGGCAGGGGTTGCGCAAGAAGAGCGGCTTCCCTATAATTTCATCATTTTATTTTTAGCATCGGCTATGTGCGAAAAGCTTGATAGATATGTAGACTAGGAAGGGTTGAGTTTGCATACCTCGGATCGTATCCACGGCATCATTAACCCTCCGGAAGCAGAGACCAAACTCTGTTCCTGCGCCACCACAAACGCAGCCATATATACCAGCATCATGACTCCGCCTGCTTGGCCATTCTTCTGGCGCTCATGCTTCTCGAGACCCTTGACGGCGCTAGAGCTGACAAGTCCGCCATAGGAATGGGCCACAATGATGATGTCTTCTCATGCATCGGCGATCCCGGCCAGTGCGTTATATGTAGGTTGGAGACGTCGTCGTCCAACGTCTTGTTAGGGGGCTCGGCGCCCGTTGATACGTGAGGAACTATTTTTGCATTGAGGCTTCTGGACGTAAAGTCTTCTTGGAGCTGGGAGTAGAAGAACGGCGGGCTCCAGGCTCCAGGTACAATAACAATGGTCGGCATTGTTGTGATTGATATAAATTTATTGACTTGGAGAGAAAGACAGGGAAACTGAGAGACTGTTAGCGATATTTTTCTAGTTCGGTCTTCCGGTCGTCCATGTTCTTAAGAACAAAATCAAAATACTATACCTACTATCTAGGCGGGATTTGCACCAAAGGCCGTTCCTTAGAAGTCTCAGCCATGGTGACCACCGATTCTTAAGTCCGAAGGTGAAGACTTTGCTCATCTGGCCGGGAGCAGCCAGGGATCTCGGTGTTTGGGAGTCAATCCCCGTTCTTGCGGTTGTCTCCACAACGGCTACGCTGATCGGCTTCGCTTTTGTACATTGGGGCTATAGAACATGACTCTCGAAGTGCTATCTAAAAGCCCTCTTTATGGTTTCGCGGGATGTACTGGGCGACGAAAGAGATCAAAATTTCAACAAAGGGCATAAAAGCAGCCTCTAAAAACCGCGTAAGTAGGAGTTAGGAATGCTAAAGTAGACCATGAAGAAACAAACTGTAGTAATATTACTAGAACCTAGACAGAGATAATTCTCTACCATAAATCACAGCCGGATTCTCTCGACAAGTCAGAGTCGAATGATAGAAGTTAGGGCTGGACTGGGTGGCACTGTCAAAGTAGAACACCCAGACAGAATAAAGACAAAACAGATCGAGACAAAGATCCGAAGGCAAAGAATGAACCTTCTCGAGCGATCCTGTCAATCAAAGAAACCAAGAAGGCAATTCATAACTTTTTTTCGTGGCAGGAGGTGGCGGAATGAAAAGAGCCTCACTTCTCACGAGGCCTCCCGAGCCCTAACGCCTGAGCTCTTAGGCATTGGAATTGGCGCATTCCTTCTTCTTGCCCCCATCATAAGCATCTCCGGGAAGCTCATAGGGGGAGATGTGATACGCCCTCTTCTCCTTGGCATGTTCATCCTCAGTAACCTCATCATCCTCACCAAACTCATCGCCCAGGTCTTTCACAATCACTTCCTCTTCCCCGGGCGCCAACGTTTTTACCGGCTCATGCTCCTGTTCATCCCGGCCAATATGATGCTTCTTAGAGACGCAATGGCCATGCTTACCACATTTCTTATCCTTCGCGCAATCGTTGTTAGTTTTGCACTTCTTGCCAGCACCATGCTGGTCACGACGCGACGGTTGTCCCATTCCAATCTTGTCGAGGTCGTCGACACTGAACATAAAGTCGGTATGTTTGGGGTTCGAACCCCCAGCACCATCTATGCAGATGCCTTTGAGACACGTGCCCGGCGCACAGTCGGCGTCTTTTTTGCAACGAGGATCTTTGATGTCCGCAGCTGTCATGGTAGCAGGCATTGTTTTAGTGACTGATTGTTTATGGTTAGGACATTTCCCCTAGGGTTGCTGTTGGGGAAGGGAGGGTGAATGGATGGGTGAACTTACCACGAGTCGTGAGGGTGGTGCGAATCCAGTTATTGGGATCGGCCCATTTGGGCTTGTGGCGCGTAGTGAATTTGGCGGTGGAAGTGAGGGCGAGGAAGAGGGCAAGGAAGAGAGTGAGGAGTTTCATAATGATGGAGCTTAATAAATTGATTCAAAGACGAAAAGAAAGGAGTCTGCCGGTTCAAAACCAACGAGTATAGAGGAAAACAGAAATAGTTTATCTTGTACTTCAGCACAGCCCAAGCAAGTATAGATAAGTGAAACAGAGGAAGGGCGAGAAGGTCAATCCAGATAAGAAGATATAGGAATATTTATAAAGAACTGACTCCATGGAACTACTTCTGATCTGGAAGAGCTCTGAACATCAATATAACAATCCGATTTCTGTTTGCCTCATTCGACGACTGGGACTACGTGACACGCGCCTCGATGTTCTCTGTATTGTTTATCAAATCACACGGTGGCATCGAAGTATCAAACGATCTTTGTTGTTGGGAAATCGAAACTTCTGGCCAAAGAGTACATGTCTTGACCAAGACCGATTCATTGTCGAGCTGGTATTCAAATTATTGAAGACATCAATAATGATATTCTTCAAGGGGCGGTGGTCACGCATATCCCCTGTCGATATACAACAAATGGAACATGGAAAGCTTGGGGCACGGGGATGTCTGTTCTTATTACTTCAAAGGGAATCAGGATACTTTGTCATCTAATGGTTTTCAATAGGCAATTTAGCTTGGCTGCCGAGACTTCATTTTCTCAACCATTGAGATGCCCTCATAAAAGATGACAAGGGGCTCGTTGTGAAGAAATTCGTTGGGGGTATGAGGAACAAGGGCCATTTCGACAAGATAGCCCCTCGAGCGTGTCAGGTTGAAGATAAGGGTCATGAATTGGATAATGACAGGATCACTAGCTGGTTTAATCAATAAGGAATTTCCTGGCTCCTGAAAAATGAACGTTTTGCGGGGTTGCGTGACTATAAAGAAAGAACAAAGAAATCTCTAAATAGTTGACGAAATGGGGGGTATGACAGCATGAAAGTGCACGAAAACCTTTGTTTAGGTTGATGATTTCGACAGGGTCAAGGATGATGGAAATGATATAATTGTATAGAATGTCAAGGCTGAATTCAGACGAGAGCATTAAATAACTGGGAACCAGTATTAATTTTTCGCAGAAAATTTTGTGATTGTCATTAAAGTCTAGTATTATTCTTTGCTCTGCAGTACGATGAACAGGGTTTTTGAATGATGAAAGAAAGGAACGTCGGACCTTCTGAAAAGGCTTTGCGGTTGTCAAGGACCCGGTGATTCTTGGCGCGTGGGATGCCACAGGCTCCCCGTGCGAGTGAAGGTATTCCTTGCTGCCTGTGGAATTTTGCGAATGGTCTAGCAATGGCCAGGCCAGCGGTGGCTGAGAAACTAAACCAAGCGCTCTAACTGGCGAAGAAGGCCATTGGGCTCCGCAACGCCCTGGATGGTGATGTCGTCGGCGCGAGCCTGGGAGTCGGCAACGGCGTAAATCCGGAGCTCGTCGGCATTGCCGGAAGGTCGGACGTGAGCCACATCACCGCTGGTGAAGATGATACGCACACCATCCGTGTAGTTCAGGCGAGCGATGGACGAGAATCCGGCCTGGGCGGAAAACACGGTCTGTAGTTCTTGGCGCACCTGGTCCAAATGCTGAGCCTGCGATTCAGTTACGGCAACAGGGGCTCGACCGCCGTCCTGTGCGCTGATCTTCTCAGCTTCGAAGGCAACTTCTTGCATGGCGGGGTCTTGTGGGGAAAACTTCTGGACGATCTTCAGACTCGTGGGTCGCGGGAAGTTCCGAATCAGAGCGGCCTTGCTGAAACGAGCTGGGAGCGTGCCAAAAAGCTGAGGCACGGTGATCTGGCGATTTTGGGCCGCGAACAGGACGCAGAGTAGAGGCAAAACGGCGTCACGCGTGGGAAGTGCCGGGAGCGGGTTTCCGTCGCGTTCAAGATGAGAACCAGTGAGGAATCCACCGTTGGCTTCCCATCCACAAACCCGACTCTTTCCCTTGGCGACGGCGGTCTGCATACCAGCAATCACGTATGGGCTGCCGATCTTGGTGCGAGGCTCGGTGGCCGACGCGAGAGAACCCCGATCGATGGCATCGTTGCTGCTGATGGGGACGACCACAGCATCAGCACCCAAATATTCCGCCACGATCATGCCCAACAAGTCACCGCCGAAGAAACGAAGCTGCTCTCCCTTGGGCGCGACAAGCAGCGGACGGTCACTGTCGCCATCCGTAGACACGACGGCATCGAAGCTGTCACCAGTCTGCTGGTAAAAGCCCTGGATTGTGTTGAGCTGAGCCTGGTCGATGGCCTCGGTATCAATGGGTACGAAGGTGTCACTGCGGCCGGCCGGAGTGACTTGGGCGCCAAATTGTTCCAGAATTTCGACCACGAGATCGCGACCGACGGCGGAGTGCTGGTAAACCATGATCTTCTTCCCCTTGAGCGATTGTCCCTTGAAAAAGTCCTGGTAGCGCTTGACGTAGGAGTTCTTTCCGTCGGGGACGGTAGGTACCAGGTCGGAGGGCGCATGGCGAAGCATGCCATCGGCATCGAAGAGGGATTCGGAGAACGGCTGGGACATGATTTCCTCACGCATGCGCTCGACGGCCTGGTTGATCGGCTTCTCATTCTCCTTCAACAGCTCTCCTTTCGAAGTGTTCAGTTTGTATCCGTTGCGATCGAAGGGGATATGGCTTCCGGTGACCATGATGCTGCCTTTGCCGTGCTGCAGAGCGTAGTAGGTGAGAGCGGGGGTGGGTATTGCGCCCAGATTGATGGCTCGCATGCCACCATCCTTCAAGGCCTGTTCAACCGCCTGTGAGAGGCCACCGCGGTGGTTCTCGACGTAGTGTGTAGAGCTGGGGCGAAGATCGTGGGCATAATAAAAGTCGTCGCCCTTCTGGATGCCACCGTCGGACAGCGGGAGGGATTGCAGATAGCGGATCTCGGCGAGGACATTGATGTAGATCTCCAGCTGCGTGAGATCGATCACTTGACCGCGACGACCACTGGTGCCGAATTTGAGCACCTGAGGTTGGTAAGTGAGGCTGTTGCTGAGAGACATTTTTTCGACAGGCTGCCGGGCAATTCTGGACTGATGATCGTGAGGGGATTCCGGCATCCACGTGTTGATAAGGGGCGCTGCCGGCCGCAGTTGTTCCGCTTCCGGCGGGTGCCTGGTTGCCTGATCCGGCAGGTCACCCCACCTCGCAGCCTTGGAGATCAGGCAGAACCCCCTCCAGGCACCCAGGCTCTATTCCCTCCACCTGACATCGTCACGTTCAATGTTAACCCTAATTAAGACCTCTTTTCTCTATACACAAGCAATTGAGAGTACACTGCAATTCTTCAAACTCCCATAGCAATTCGTAGTTTCGGGTTGTTATCAGCTGATACCGCCCTGCTAGACTCTGTGAAATATATATGGAATCAAGATGCCAGATTTGAACCACTACTTTGAGGGCTTCTCGAATGTTGTCCCCTCCGTTCACATAAAGTGACCTTAAAGTCCTTAGGATTACATTGAATTCCAATCCCAGGAAAACGAAGGAACGATCATCGTGATCTGCTGCCAACCACTCCATCCCGCACCTTTTTCAAAAACTGAATCAAGGGAGTTCCACCAGTTCCCCGCAAGACGCCCAATGAATCCCTTTTAGAATTCCCACCAAACCGATCCTCTCTCGAAGATGCCACATCAGCTCTTCGATTCACAGCCGATGTGTCCATATCACCAAGTGCCGTGGAAGATTGAGCAACAATATACTGGGTAACGATATGCAAATGAACATCGCGGAGCTCACGCAGTGTTTCAAGAGCGAGGTCGTAAGCCTGATTAAGCTCGTCATCTTGACCATTCCGCGTGACATGGTCCCGGATATTCCCAACAGTGGTCATCTCTTCAATGAACAGTCGATGATCCCCGGGCATGTACTGAAGCATATCTTCCATGAATCTACCAGCGGAAGGATCGTGCTCGACTCCTAGAACGATATCGAACAGCTGGATAAGCGAGCTCTGGGCGTTGCTGCCACCACTGTATTGTCGGTATTCTTGGCAGCCAGTTCCATCGTCAAATTTAACCCCCCAGGGCAATCCCTCCTGACTCATGTTCTTGGTTCCATTGAGGAATGGGCGTAGATGATGGTAGAACACGTGGGGCCGACAGCGCTCACGAATACGGGACAACACTGTGATAACTCCACTTAGGTCTTCAGTGAAGTCTCGCAGTTGAACAGTTACTGCTTCTGTATCATTATGTTCAGCTGTCCAGAGTGCTTTTAACAATTGAGAAATCATTCTTGCGCCGCGTGCCTCAATAGCTATAGAAATCAGATAGAACCATTCCTCATCTTCTGATCCGGTAAAGGTCAAGAGTGTGGCTAAGTTTTCAGGATCCTCATTTGACTTCGCAGGGTCAAGGACCTTATAGTTCCAGAGGCAGAACCCGGAATATGTTGCTGTTGGAGGAAGGTCAAATGTGCAGCGACATCTACCAGTGGGATCGAGATTGAGGGTGGAATGACCTGGTAGATGTGGGTTCAGCATGGTAACAAGGCAAAGAAGACAACTTGGTAGACATACTTACCTCTTCGGGTGTTGATTCGCCCCATAAATATGCCTGTAGCATGAATACCAACAGGACGTACGCTCTTTGCCATTCAAGCTCAGAAGTTAGCTCCTGGGTAAATAATACGGGCATACGTTTCACAGCGTTCCTGATCTTTCGTGTAGAAACAAGAGATGGTATGTTAGTAGCAATGGTCTCCCAAGGTTCAAAATAAGCATGTGGTAGAGCTTCGAGTGGTGGCTCAAGGGGAAGAAAGCCAGGGTGGATAAGAATATCGTGACCTGAGCGAGCGTAAGCGGAATGATTCATTTTTGAGGTTATAGGTCAAGGCTGTTTTTCCATGGCAACATTAAACACCAGCTTTGCGAGGGGGATATACAGTTGCTTTATAACGCATGCATATAAATACTCTTGTGCCCACTTTGACGTAAATATTATAAGTTTGCTGGTTCTTTTGACCATATGATACACTGCATCTGCTCATTTTCGGAATAGAATTCACAGGAGGAATGCGAGATTTATGCATAGATGAATCATGGTGAAATAATTCTTAAAGATGAAGACACCAAATCCGGTGACAAGAGTGCTTGCACATATCCTGGACAAAGCTTTCATTGTGAGATGTTAAAAGCTCAGTAATAGGGGGCCGTAAATTGCTGCTAGTAATCATGAATAGCACTTTGATCTGAAAAAGAACCGCCAAGAAGGAGGAACGGGACGAATTTGGTATCAGGAAATAATTAGCCAATTCCGTAAAGGCCAGAGATACCTTATGTAAAGCTTGACGACATCATCTTCCACCAATTCAGGTCTGATGAACATTTTAGACTCTCCTTAAGAGCTTTTAGGAATGAAGGGAGCGTAAAGAATTGGGTACATAATGCATGAAGGTCCGAGCTCAGATTACTGCACATAACTGGGAACTTAAAGGCAAACCAATCTGTTCACACACCGTGACCCCTTGCATATGACGTTCCAAATAGTCATTGCCGCCAGATTAGTGAAAAAAAATTCAGAACAATCAGATAGATATAGCAGGGCTGAATTATAGAGTAGGTGATCGCAACAAAGTTCTATAGAGGAAAACATAAAAACTATCTCTTGTGCTGATCCTCGAGATTCATTCTAAGGGGGAAACAACGCGTCTTCGTGTCCTCGTGAACTTGAAACCGGGGGCAATATAGAGAAGAAGACGATTGGGTCTAAAACTCTCTTAGATTACCTCTTCTGTAGTGATGGTCTATCAAGTGCCCGAAATGAAGTTGGATATCGGAGAACAAAGTAAATCAGCAAAAATTGTTGATTACAGTACTCCGAAAAAGGGTGTGCTAAGGGAGACACAAGGGCCGAGTGCGTGTGACACAAGCAGACATATTAAAAGGGAGTCACTTCTCCCTAACCCCCCAACGATAGTAAGCATCCGTCATTGCTAACTCTCAGACATTTGAGAAATTTTTGGCACTTCCTTTACCTAAGTTGGTTCTCAGTGTCCTCCACACATACAGACCTCAATATACAGACGAGCAGTCATATCATGCCGTATGTCTTCCTGGGCCAATGGAAATGGGGGGGATGAATCGACCGCAGTGCCCGTGAAAGCCATGTATTTGTTAACATCACGCAGCGAGGCTTTGACTATGGATGTGAGATCATCGGTTCTGACATATCTCCGAGAAAATGAGAACGTACATCTTACAGTCGACGATGGAGGTGCGACTTCCCATGGAATACTGGAGAAAGTGACATTGACCACTGAGGAAGCTATTTATCATGACCAGACGTTGAGGTATATGGAAATCCTGCTTTTCTCAGATACTATTATAAGAGAAAAATGCTAACAGTTGAGATCGTTAGAGCAAGATAGATCGACTTGGTACTGCGCTCGCCCTCGATTTCACTCCACACCTGCCTGACCGGTGACGATAGATCTACAGCACCTGCTGTTCCACCTCACACTTGAAGGAGAACTATTCTGCTCGCCAATCCCAGAGAAACCGAAAAGTGTTTTACACGTCGCCACAGGGGATGGAACCTGGGCACTGGATTTTGGTACGAGCATATCCTATTGTCCAAATGCCTTGAAGCTGACTATCGCCCAACGCAGCGCACAGAAATCCGACCACTTCCATCGTAGCCAGCAATTTGACGCAAAACAAGGAGAAAAGGCAAAGATACATTCCCCATTTGGTTGAATATGAGATTACTGTCTTAGTACTGATCCAAAAACCGAAATTCCAGTCCCCGAAACATCGTATTGGAAGCCGAAGATGCCAACAAAACCTGGGCATACGAGCAACAATTTGACTTCATCCACTGTCGTCAGCAGCATCGAACACTGAATGAACAGTGGTTCTTCGAGCAAAGTTGGAAGTACGTATCTAGTTCGCACCCACAAATTCCCTATCATCAGACTGGGTTCAAATAATTTTGCACTAGGTTTCTCCTCCCCGGCGGCTGGCTGGAAATGCAAGAACTCTGCAACCCACTCCGTTGTGACGATGGAACTCTCGCCGCTAACAGCGCCCTATCTCAATGGGGCCAGTTGCTCGTGGAAGCTTCTATCAAAATGGACCGACCAGCCGACAATCCAACGCGATATGCCAAATGGATGCGGTCTGCGGGTTTCACGAATGTGGAGACGGTCGTATACAAGTGGCCAATAAATCCATGGAGTGAAGACGAGAACGAGAAGCTGAAGGGACTGTGGAATCTGTACAACGTTCTGGACAGACTGCATGAGTTTACGAGTATGTTGCTTACGAAGGTGCTGGGGTGGCGCCAGAAAGACGTCGATTCCTTGTTGGTGGATGTGCGCGCTGAGTTGCAGGATCCAAATGTGCATGCCTATTGGCCGGTGTAAGTAATTTGACGTTCCGGATATGTGATTCAAAGAGATCATGGCTGATCCTCACTGGTCTAGGTATGTCGTTTACGGACAGAAACCACTACCTGAGACAGATCAGATCTAGGTTATCGCCACTCGAGGGTTATGAGACACAGGCAGACAGACAGAGAAAAGGAAGGTAGAGCAAAATAAATTGAGGAAGGGAAATTGTCTTGCGTTATCATGGGATGTTGGAGTATGCAGTAGATCCCTGCGTTAGCTGGTTGTTTTGACAACAGAAATTTTAACATCGTCATCCGGTCTATACGCTTGCCTGCTCTGTGCTTTTCCCATTTCGGTCACTGCAGCTCTGAAACAATTCAATGATCTGCGTATTTGAGTGATAGTCTCAATCTGATTTGAATGATCTATTAGGAATATTTGAGGGCGCGTAAGAGGAAGTCCGTATGCACCAATTATTAAAGAAGCAGAAATAGACCGCTCGTGCTGGTTGATTTCCAGTGAGGTACATACATGGAAAGCAGTATAACAGACAGATAAATGATATCAGATTAGACTAATGATTTGAATATTTGCAAATAAAAACTTCCGTTCCAAACCAAACCTGAAGCCAACTTAGCCCAGCCGACAAAGATCACATCAGTATCTCAAATCGCCACGCATTATCCACCAACTTGGCAATTCGCTGACAAGCCTCGAACATCTTCTCCTCCGGCAATAAACTATAACTCACCCTCAATTGACAGCTGCTACGCTGATTGGGCAGAAAGGCCACCCCTGGAATAGCTAGAATTCCATTCTCTTTACCCTGCCGGCTAAGAATTTCGAAACTATCCTGTCCCGGGGGAAGCAACAACGTTAACCAGAAAAACATTCCGGCGGAAGGAGTCTCCCAGGTAGCACGGCCGTGGAGATATTTTTCGGCAGCGGCTGCGAACACATTGCGCCGCTGGCGGTAGAAGTTTGCTGCGCGCTCGCAGTGCTGGAGGAATCCTGCGTGACCCCAATGGTTGAAGAGAGTTAGAGCGAGCATTTGGGTGGTTGAGGAGGGCTGGAGGCTATGCGGGTTGTTAACTCAATATCCAAACTAGGTCTCATTTCTTTGGGGGAAGTTAAACACACTTGATATTTTCCGTAATTCGAATGACTTTCTGCACGGCAGGCAAAGGCCCAGTTAAGATTCCCAGACGCATCCCGGAGCTTACAATCTTGCTAAGCGAATCGAATCGTAGCACGCGGCCTGTTTCACCATTGATTTCATTTTCCAAGGCGAGATAGCTGCGGGCTCTATACGAGGGCTGGTCGAAATTGAGGAACCCGTATGCGTCGTCTTCAAAAATCATGAAGTTGAATTGTTTCGCGAGTCGTAGACTACCAGGACGTGCCTCAAATATCAGTAAAAGCTCACTAGGAAATTTGAAATAGAGGGTAACTCACATCTGAGCCTTGCGAATCTCAGAGCAAGACTGGCCCGTAGGGTTTGACCCAGTTGGAACGGTATATAGCACGCGTGGACGGCGTTTCCCAGGCCACGCAGACAGGACACGTTCGAGGTCAACTGGATTGAGCCCCTTTGCGTCCGACTGAACCTCACTAAGTTGGTGTCCATCGGCTCGTAAGAAGCCAGCTACTCCTCTAGGAGGTCGTTAGTGAAGAATGAACCAGGGAAATCAACGGCTGCGTAGGCCTGACGCACGGATACGCTGGCCTGTGAAGTAATCAGCCATGATCGGGAACGATGGCGGGAGAATAGTGCAGATATACGTTTCAATGAGTACAGGATCTCCAAAATCCGTGAAGACCTGGAAAGCGCGATGAATGAGCTCCTGGCTGCCATTGCCAATGCAGCATGCCCAGCCTTGGTGGTCTCTGATACCGTGAACTCGCCGCTGAAGCTCCTCAAACCACTAAAAATCATGTCAGTCTAGCTACCAGACATACTCACGGGGCAGAAAGAACCATGATTAACTCAGGGTTGCCTCCAGGAAGGCCATATTGTAACGCCTCACTCAATTGGTCTTCTTCAAGCACGATTCGGTGCCCATCAGAGCCCTTGAGCAATATCGAGATCTCAGCAAACGGAAAAGTCTCTGGATTGGGCTTTCCTATTTTGCATCATAAGCCAACTTTCTGCTTAATTAAACAGTAAAGAAGAGGTAAGCCATACCAGCGACCAAGGAAATCATTCCCGGCAATGCCTCAAGAGGCAAAAGACTGCGAACTGACACAAGATCAACATCACCGCTTGAGAAAGAATCAAAGCGGAAAAGGTGGACAAACTCGCTCCAGGCTCATACTGTTGCACCCGTTTCGAAAATAATGTCGTCGGATCAACCGTCGTGTTGATAGCAATTGAGCCCATGACTGCTGTATGCAGTTACCCGTAGCAATATTGAAGATTCAGATCCTTAGCGTGATTGTAAATCTATGGATTTGAGGGCTTGGTCTGGATTTCGACTCTGTATATGCAAATCGACTGCCCACTGTAGTCGGGTGGTTTGGTATGCCCCTGGCTATCTAGTGGGGCTCTCATTTTGGAAGCTTTCCTCGTTTGAATCCTTTCTAACCCAGGCTCGATCCTGTTCCACATCTGAGCAAGGAGGTCTCCTCGGAAAAATTGCAGTATCTAGAGTAGGCTACAGGGATGGGAATATGTTTGAGCCCTGGAATCATGGTCTGCCTAACAACATGTCCCAGCCACCGAATGTCGCCGTTCGTGCAATGGCATGTCAGAATTCCGGCGGCGACAATGCTGAAAGACAGGGCGCACCGAGACCACCGAGACTCACTGTTCGTATCCCCACGTAAGTCCGAAACAATCAAGAGAAATGGCCATGTTGTGTCAGCCGGAATTGAAATCCGGGTAATCTGGCAGAGTCATCTTCGTCTTTTCAAGCTTAGCGAGCCTAGATCTCTGTTCCATAATGAGGGAATTTCTAGGTGAGGCAGAGTGGACGGTCTCATATCGGAGCGATTGTGCTTCTTAGGAGACGGTAGGCTCGCAGCAAACTGAATGACAGGCATGGAGACACGAGGTCTTTTGGCGAGAGTTGGGATGGGATAGATTCTCATTGAACCGACAGAGATGAGAGATATTGACGATTGGAGCGGTGATACCATAATCATAGAATACAGGGAAATTTCGCTGATGGCGTGATTTTGGACAGTATCGCTTTTTGCGGCTACCGCGCTGGGCGAACTAGGAAATCGAAGCATTGGTTGAGAAAGTGCCAGACTAGATTGAACTTGAATAAGCAGGGAAAGATGAGACTGTTCTACCAAGTAAATGTTTTTCAATTACATAAAGCAAATTAGGTAAAATGTACGAAATCCCAACAGGTTTCTCCGTAGATAGTCTTGTAAGACTATATCACCGCCAAGATGTAGTAATCCCAACCAACGTATGACGCGATGAATCATTCCCGGGCAGTCGGGACGACAACCAGCCTCTTGGAAGCGTTAGCCGAGCCCCAAACCGACTGGAGACGACTCAAAGAGGCCGTCTCCACTTCAAACGGGGGTTGCATCTGCATCATAGCGCCCACCATGTCTGGCATCTCGTCTTTGAGGTCCTGGAGGCGCACACTGCCGAGTCCCGAGCCCATAATACAAATCGGCTTGACATTGATCAAGTACGGCGGTACAAGCTGCAGCATATGAGTATCGTCGCTTGCTAGTCCGCCAACCTGAATGTACTGCAGGTTTTCTCCCGGTACCACCTCGGCACTCTGCAGCACATTTGCCGCAGCGGACCCGCCGATATAGTCGAGGATAATGTGAACCGGCCCGACCCTAGAGGGTAAAACAAATGATTCGCGTAAAACCACGCGCTCATCAAGACCCTCTACGGTGGCCAGAGTGTCCTCGCGACGAGAGAGGCCGATAATACGAGCAGCTCCTAAGAATCGGGCCACGAGGGCGGCGGCACGTCCGCTAGCACTGGTGGCACCAAGAATAAGCACTGTGCGACCCAAGCATCCACCAATAGCACGCCGGCGAAGCGCAATCCAACTACTGGACATGGGGTTGGCCAGAGCCGCCACGCCGACTGGGTCCGCGTTCGGAGCGAGCTTCACGAGGTTGTGGCGCTCGACATTGGCACGCTCGGCTAGCAGAGGGGCGGCGAGTGGGTGAATGAAGTAGAGGTCACCGGTCTCATCGTCACGTCCGACTCCATCGATGCTAGGATCGAAGGGTAAGGGGGAATCGAAGACACTGGGGTGTTTCCCCGTGGCGCGAATCTGTACAACGCGCGGGACGCCTACGGCCAGCACGCTGAGCTGCACCTGCGTAGGCGAAGGGGGCAGGAGGTCCGAGACTGTGCGACATTGCGGTGCTGTACCCCAGCTAGTCACTTGGGCGGCTTTCATGGTGAGGCTGGCTGAGCGATGGAATTTTCTGTGCTGGGAACTCGGAAAGTGGGAAGATGCCGGTATATTCAATGCAGCTCGCGGGGAATAAGACAATTGAGAAAACCGAAGAACCGGGCGTAGATGCCTCATTTTAAGTAATTTCGGAAGAATGTGAAAATGGTCAAGGAATATCAAGCTTGGTTTGATATGCGAAACGTCAAGCCTATCCCGGGCTGTAAGAAAGATCCAGAAAGTCCGTGTAGTGCCTGTCCGAGGCACGAAAGGGAAGGCAATAGGAGATTGAAGGGTAGTTAGCGGAGTGTCCCGAGCTAACGCTAGCAGGAAACAAAGAAGTCATAAGGTCCAATAGAATGACCCCATAAGCACAAGGATGTGCCATTCTACTACCACCAAACCTAGTGAAGACCAAGGTGTGAAACGGCGAGGTAGAGGCGCATTCACTTGATCCTGACTATAGTGATTCGCCTTCAGCCATGTTAAATCACCGATAATTGCGAATGATTATGTCACGCTCAGCTCAGGCCTGCAGCATCTGTCACCAATTCCTACTTCAGCCTTCTTAATCTCTCATCCATCTCATGTAAACAAAAAACGCATTCCTGGTTGTGTTTCCTTGGCTTTGTGAGAAAGGAAAATATAGCCTCGCCTCCATAGCGCAGTAGCACAAGCCCTTTTCGTGTGACCAAATCTGTGTCATCTTCATGATTCAACACCCTGTACAACGCACTTCAAAGGCCAGTGCGCTGTCAACATCCACTGACCGGGCTGAGATAAGAGACCCGCAGACCTAGCCAGGTATTACGAGTTAGATAGTCCTGTGGCTGAGTAGAAAGGAACATTGTGTTAAATTTGGACTGGATGAATCGTTCAACTTTGAGCAAATTACATCGAGTGCCAGGGCCGCCCATCCCTAGGCTGCGTCATGATCCACTACCTGAATGCGCGAAGGGAGGATCATTTCCATCCTAATGCAGACGAATCCCAAAATCCCCTGCCAGCCTCCTGTCTACCTGGTCGATGGACTTTGCAAAATACGAGGTGGTGCATACTCCTTTGGCTTTGTTATAAGTGAACGAGGCATAGGTCTGTCCGTACTCCTCAGCTCCACTGCATCGTCATTAGCACGCATAACGAGATAAATCCAGGGTGCTTACAAGAGGTTTCGCAATGTCTCGCGGTATCTACCGGTAAGACCCCAATCGTTTCCCAGCTTCTGCAGCATGAGCTCCACGTTGAGCTCAACCGCTTTGTTTGTCTCCGCGTACTGGAACACAGGGATGTAGACTTTCGTGTCGGGGAGTATTTCACCGGGAGTAATCTCAACAGTGAAAAGCAAACCTGAGTAGCCAGTCGAGTCGACGCGATCGGGCTTACACCAGCTTTCATCCATCGGCGCATCATCAGGTTCGTTTCGCAGGATAGACCAGATTGACTTAAGGGTCTCGACACGGGCTCGCGCCGTCTCGTCGTCCAAACGACCACCCAGCGTCATCACATCCCGGACCACAGCAAAGGCATTGCTGAGCGTATGAAGATAGCACTTCACTCGGGCTTCTGGGTGGGTAACTGGGTCCAGGCAATCAAATCCCAATAACATGAACTGGACGTCACTCGGGGTCGTCGCCAGGTAACTAGAGATAGTATATCAGCTTGCTGCTAAAAGCTACATACATTTATCATACTCTTCCAAGATATCCAGACCTGGCGCCAAACGCGCACCCATGGGCTCCAGGCGTCTCAGCGCCTCAAAAAAGAGATCCTTTGCTGGTCGCCCAGTGGCAATGGACTTGCGAAGAGAGGGGATGTAACATTTCATTGTACGCTGGCTGCCATCGAAGTCAAATCCTATCGACAGGGGTGGCACGGCGATATTGGGAGGCACGTTCGCCACAGCAAACTCGGTTTCCTCCGGTGAGAGTAAGAGAGCTGCCATAAGGCCCTCCATCCACTTTGTGTCGCTCCCTGTTTTCGAGGCGATGTGGAGCGCAGTTTCCCGTGAGGCATGTTCGGCAAATGGATCGGGTCCCGCTCGCTGCGCTGGTCTCACAATGTCGAAGTCGCAGCGGATCTTCGCTTTCCCCGATGAGGCCATGTTGATGCTGGGATCGAAGGGAGATCCGACGAGGGATGCTGGTGGTGTATACGGAGCATGCGGCTCCGTAGGCAAGGGCCCTAAGTTGGGTGCAACGAATTCGTCCATAAATTTAAGATGGCTCTCCTGATCAATTGGGGAGTAAGATCCGGCCGCCTGGAACAAGGGAGCCATGATAGACCGAACATATTGCGTCCAGTATTCAACAGACTGGCTCTCCTTTGCATTATGAAGTCCGTTTTCTGACGGCAAGGTTTTGGCCTGCATGATGGGCATAGGGGTGATTTTGTCAATGGCACTGAAGCTGGAGATGCTGTGATAAGAAATCCTATTTACCGCGGCCGCGCCTTATATAGAATGTTGTGCCAGTACGAAAGCCCTCTCAAGACCCTCCACGGCTTTTGCAGGAGATACCAATAGTAGGAAGACGTTTGTGTGAGCAATCCTGGCATCAGGCCTCCGTGGTATCAAAGCAAAGAGAGAATTGGTCATACTCTTCTCAAACTGAACCTAGCGTTACGAGACGTCATCATTCTGATGTCTGGAGGACACCCACATTGAATCCTTGGATGCATCGCATATTGCAAGGGCCGACAGGTAAGCAGCACATTTGTCTGCAGGAGCAATTCTTGACATCAGAACTGGTCCGTGTCGTATCAAACAGAGGGTCTTTCCCACTTCTTTCTGAAACCTAAACCTACGAGACATCGTGTCTCTAATCCTCCGAGACCTTCAGCCCTGGGCTGCGTCCCATCGTAGAAGGGCTGACTGTTATGCAGCAACTGTTACTGCCACCAATTCAACCAACTCCATTCGTCTCTTGCCACAAAATGAAGGGATAGGGAGGATTCGATCACGGGTATTGTAGCGCAATCGTCCCGAGTCAGGGCATACGTATGCATTTTGTTTTGGATGATGGCACTCGTATATGCATGTTTTAATGTGAGCGTGGTCACATTCCTCCGTCAACCTTGTCAGATTTTGCTAGCCGGGTTGATTATCGGTCTAGCGACTCGAATGCATGCAATCAATCAGCGATCAAAGTCGCTTTATCATGAGACTTGTGGGTGGCTGAAAAGCCCTTCGTGCGATGCCTCAGCTGTTCTCGACATAGTATTACGCGAGAATGCCAACTATCCGTAGCAACCCCCAGCTTCTAGGCCCATCGGCCCATTGGCTCGTTGGCCTATTGCCCTAAGGTTCTTTGTTGCACAGCAGCAGTTTCAGCATCGGAAGGACTCCTGGATCCCGTCTCCCTACCGAACTTACACGACGTGCAATCAATGACACATGGCGTACAAAGCGGCTGAGCTGAAGAGAAAATGCAGGCTGTATGTTGCAAGCCCATCTCGTATGCCAGTGAAGCTCGTTCGGGTCCAGCCTCACCTGCCTTGAAGCCCCTTTTCCAATGCTTGGGTGTAAGATGTGGACTGTGCGACTGTTAGAAAAGGAGGGTAGAGTCTCCTGGGTTGAATGATGTGTAGCCGTACTTCGACAGATGATCACACTCACAACTCCTAAACACTTCCTTTCCTCATCACTATGTTTCCATCCAGCTCGAACGGCGATGCCTCTCTCAAAGGTCCTTATGATAATATTGCGGATGCCTTGCGTTATGAAGCAAAACGCAACGCGGAGGGCATTGTGACCTATCCGCTCAACGACTTCAATGACCCATCATCGGCGCAGCATCTTTCTTACAAAGATTTGCTAAACCAAGCCGAGGACAATGCCTGTCGGCTACGACAGCGCGGGATCTCCGCGTCCGGAGTCACAGTGCTACTGCACTTTGAGACCAACCTCGACAGCATCGTCTGGTACTGGTCTGTTCTCTTGACGGGAGCAATTCCTGTTATTACTGGGCCTGGAATGTTCAGCCCAAATGCGGGAGACAGAAAAAAGCATCTCATTCATCTTTACAACACGCTTGGTGCACCGAACTGTCTCACACGGGAAACTCTAAAGGCTCCATTCGCAGAGCAAAGCGGAGACAGGCGTATTGAGTGCTTCACCATAGAAGACCTGGTTAAAGATCCAGTCACTGCCGCCTTCTCCGCGTTGCAGCCGTCTTCGTCTGATACCGCGGCTCTGATGCTCACGTCCGGCAGCAGTGGTCAGGCTAAAGCGGTGCCGCTTACCCATCGGCAGCTACTAGTGGCCTTCCGGGGAAAGTCAGCAGTGGCGAAGCTACGGTATCCTCAAAGCCCATTTCTATCATGGGTGCACATGGATCATGTCGCAAACTTGGTTCATTGTCACCTTTTCGCCATTGTGTCTGGTATTTCGCAAATTCAGGTTTCTGCTGCCGACGTACTGGTCGATCCCGTCCAGTGGCTGAATATCCTCAGCCGGCATCGCGTATCGCGCACATTTGCACCTAACTTCCTCTTTTCCAAGCTGCGGCGGCAGCTTGCTGCTGGAAGAACTGAAGGAATAGACGCAGACCTGAATCTCGAGACACTGTATCTAGACACAGGAGGCGAGGCAAATGTTATCCAGGTTTGCGTGGCGCTTCAAGAGCTTCTTAAACCATACGGAGTTCCCGAGGATGTTTTCCACCCTTCCTTTGGCATGACAGAGACTTGCGCCGGTTGCATATTCAACTCTCGCTGTCCCAGCGGTGACCGTGGGGATCATTATGAGTTCGCGTCTCTGGGTCAGCCAATGCCTGGGGTTCGAATGCGGATTACCCGTCTCGATGGGTCAGGGGAAGAAGCCGAGTCCGGGGAGCGAGGCAGCCTGGAGGTGACGGGTGAAGCTATTTTCGAGGGGTATCACAAAAATGAGACGGCTACAGCCGAGGCCTTCACTACTGACGGCTGGTTCCGGACAGGCGATCTTGCCTATATTGACTCCAAGGGCAATTTGCATCTAGACGGCCGCACGAAAGAAATGATAAATATCAACGGTGTCAAATACCTGCCTCACGAGCTGGACTCAGCACTAGAGCAGGCTGAGATTCCAGGCGCCACGCCGAGCTATTTCTGTTCCTTTAGCACCCGTGATGCCACCATGGATACTGAGGCCTTGGTGGTATTATACTTGCCGTCCTTTGACGAAGACGATGATCAGTCGAGATTTGAGACCCATAGCAGTATCGTCCGGGTGGCCAGTTTACACACTCATTCGCGGCCTCAGGTAGTACCGTTGGGTCTCCAGGACATGCCTAAGAGTACATTGGGCAAGCTATCCCGCACAAAGCTGCAAGCAGCCCTCGAGAGCGGTCAATTCAGCAAACAGCAAGCGCGTAATGATGCAGCGATCAAACGCTATCGCCAGCAAACGCGCGGTGAGGTTGAGACGACGAAGGAAGCCGTTATTCTTGATATTGTTCGAGACCAGCTGGAGGTATCTACAGACGATGACTTCGGGGTGAACGACTCTGTACTTGCCACGGGGGCGACTTCCATGGACCTGGTGGCCATCATGCAGCGCATAAACCGAAAGCTCGGTCTTTGCCCAGCATTACGTCTGACAGATGTGCTCAACCACCCCACCGTCAAAGGTCTCGCTGGTCGCATTGCCGTTACTACCGGGCAGGCACCTCACGAGTATGATCCAGTCGTCACCCTTCAGCCGTTCGGTCATAAGACGCCGCTCTGGCTGGTTCATCCGGGTGTTGGTGAAGTACTTGTGTTCGTCACGCTAGCCCACCACATAACCGACCGCCCCGTGTATGCCTTCCGAGCCAAGGGCTTCAACGCCACAGAAGGAGAGACCCCTTTCAAGTCACTGAATGAAGTGTTTGAGACGTATCGCTCGGCTATTAAAAAGCGTCAACCGCAAGGGCCCTACGCGATTGCTGGCTACTCATTCGGGGGCATGGTAGCGTTCGAAGTTACCAAATTGCTGGAGCGGGATGGTGATGAGGTGCGCTATTGCGGTAGCTGGAACTTGCCACCGCATATTAAATTCCGTATGCGCGAACTCCTGTGGGACGAGTGCGTTATCCATCTCTTCTATTTCGTCGGGCTGATGGACGAGGCCACGGCGTATACACATAAGCCTGCTCTTTGCGCCTTCGAGCGGGAGAATCGTCGATTGGACGCGATCCGCTATCTCCGTCAGCACTGTGACGCAGCCCGCTGGGATGAGCTGGGCCTGCCGGAGGAATACTACCTCCTATGGGTCGGCCTAGCCTCAAACATGCAGGGCATGGCCGTTGACTACGAGCCTGAAGGCAGTGTGCACTCTATGGATGTTTTTGTTGCCGACCCCTTAAGTCATGTGGCAAAAGACCGTAAGGACTGGGTCGAGAGTCGGCTGGCGGCGTGGAAGGACTTTGTGCGAGAGGATGTTCGCTTTCATGATGTCCAAGGGGCTCATTATACTATGTTGAACCCGGAATACGTAGCCAATTTTGCGAACACGTTGAGGGCCGTACTTAAGGAACGGGGGGTATAAGGAATGCGAGCCGTTGTATGTTTTTTTAGAGGCCCTGTATCTGATGTTAGCCACTTCATCATTTACAGCAGAATTCACTTTGGTGGTAATTTTTCTCTCGTGTTTTCCTCACACTGAACGAAAAATCCACGCGAAGACGCGTCTTTAGAGATCGACCGTGCTTCACCCGACTACCCCATCCCGGTCGAGGACCCTTCCTAGAGATCTACTCCCGGACTTAGGTTTCTCCCGGTGATCGGGTAGGAGGTCGCGGACGCGTTGGAGGGAACTTCGGACTAGCACATTGTTCATCACTGTCGCTTCAAACTAGTTCTAATTGTTATGAAATGCACAGGGGAAGGAGGGCAGAATGACACTGTATCGGCTACACGCACGTAGCCTACTAAGGAGCGAATGCCTTTTGAATGATAGGGCTCTTAATTCTCTTGCATGACGATTAATCTCTTCTTCTATAATAGATAAAGGGGTAAGTTCCTCAGGGGTTCGAGTGTGCGAGCCAAGCCGCTAGATCACGTAATCTCATAGATTCGTATCACTAACGGTCAGCATAAACAATGTAGTGCAGCTTGGTCCTGTTATTGAGTTATGTACTGCACAGTATTGATGGTTAATATCCTCGAAGTGATGAAGAGCTGTGAAATCTCTCTTGTCGTCAATGTATATAATTGCTCGGGTGGTTGCCTTGGAGGACGTGATAAATGCAGGCAATTTGTTGTTTCATTTGAACCAAATTGACTTTAGTATAGAGTGCCGATAATAATCTCGTCATCGTGAAGGAGATGAAAGAGCTTGAAGATGCTGAAAAGAAGTCAAAAAGAAAGAGGAGCGAGAGCAAGAGTTTCCAAATCGGGTAGCTGCGGGCAAAGTACCAGACAAACAAGACAAACAGGACAAACATTGCAAACAAAACAATCCAATTTCGGCAGAAGACACTAGGCTGAATATGGTTAGCTCAGTACTAGCTATTGTTAATGCCTGATAGATAAGGCGCCGGTGCCATTAGCTGTTGCTCACTGAAGCAACTAACAGATGGCCCCGGAATTTATCAACGTGGCAGAGACAATGCCTGACTCCGTTTGTTGCACCCCCCAGTACCATGGTTATGGGCAATTTTTGCCTCGTGGGGGCCGTTTTGGCCTCGCTTACGCTAAGCTCACTAGATCGTTGCCTAGTCCCTCATGTCTCATTTTCGGGGCGCTTGCGCAACACGACGATTTCTCCGAGAGAAATTGCACGGCACATTCTACAAACCTGCTGCCCACCATTACGCACTTCACACTTGGAAAACAGCAGAATACTCGCGACTTTTTAGATAGCTTGTTGTGTGGGCATAAGTCCTGTCTAGTGGAAAAATGTCGAATGGCATAATCTCCGTCGACCAAAAACTGCAAAGTGGTGGGCGATTTTCTGTGCCATCCAGTGTCGTCAAATCATCTTGCTAATGTACATCTCTGCTTAGCCTTTGTCTATGCATCTTTCGCATTTTGGTGCGTTCTCGTGACGCGCCCCTTTCGCCCAGGAATTTCATGGTTATCGAGGAGTACGTCTCCCCACCCAATACAGTTGAAGTCTTCACAGAAGAACTGACTTTTCAACACAGGCACCTGGATTATTCTAGCGGCGCTTGATGCCTTCACATTGCTTACCTGGGAGGCCGAGAATACTAGAACTAAGGTTCAGATGATCGGTGTCGGAGTTATGCTTGCGATAAGCTGCTTCATCACATATCTGATGGAACTAGTCAGCGAAGGAGACCGACAGAGAGCTACAAAGGAGGCTAAGAGAAAGGCCGTTGAGTTAGAGAAGAGCCCTTCCATACCGGCTCAGAGCTCGTGATCTTCTATTGACGGTGGCCATCTGGAGGGGATTGCATGGGAAGGTCAAAAGCAGGCAGAACTGCCATCTGAACCCACAAGAATAGACCTTGCGAAGAAAGATCTTGCACACGGCTAAAATTATAAAGTATGTCTGGGTATGGCTCAATACATGGCCTCAACTGACCTACGGAATCAGAATATGACTTGGATTATCATTCTTTTTATAGATTTGGGGTCAAAGCAACTCAATGCAGGGATCGTAGCTAGAGCTAGGGATTAACAGCTCAATAGGCACTGCAAAAAAGGCAACAGACCTATCTTGAACTTGGCAATATGGATGTAGACGAGCAGAGACAGGTGAGGTTAGATTCAAATCGGGACATGGTTGACGAACATTATTACAAGAACAATCACTACCAAATCAAGGCATCTAACCAAGAAACAGGATCAATTTACTGACTATAAAATGAACCCGAATACCCCCACAAAAACCGACCCAAGTCCTAGCATATACCCTACTCCATCGAACCTCTAGTTGAAAAAACCAAAGATACAATATCACCATGAACGAAATAATCCACGAAGCCCCACCAACCCCATCCAGCTCCTCGATCTTCTCATCCACCGACGGCCTCGGCTACACACTGCAAAACAACCACCACGCAGCCGGCCGCCTAAACCTACAACACTACCTATGGCACGAAAGCATAGGATACCACATGCACCCGAAGGTAAAGATCCCGAAATCCAATCCTGTCATCGCCGACGTGGCGACCGGAACCGCTCTTTGGCCGATTCATGTTGCACGCGAGGTGCCCTCCGCGCGAATAGACGGGATAGACATCGACATGACGCAAGCGCCGCAGCCACCATGGCTGCCCGCCAATGTTCGGCTTCGATCCTGGAACCTGTTCAGCCCCGTGCCACCTGATCTACGGGGCAAGTATGATCTCGTTCATGTGCGACTCCTTGTGCTGGTCCTATCGGGAGTTGATCCTCTGCCGGCGATCCGAAACCTCCTAGCACTGGTGAAGCCGGGCGGGTATTTGCAGTGGGATGAGCTGGACTGTATGCATATGAACTTGAGGAAGATCGACGAATCCCTGATGGCGCCCGCGTTAGAAGAGATTCGGACAACGTTGTATGCAAATGGCCGACATAATTGGGCTCTGGATCTGCCGCGCATGTTGAGGTACTGCGGGTTTGAAGATCCGCAGATCGAATACTATGGCGAGCCTCCGGAGCTGGCGCGCGCTTTCAATGATCTGACTTTGATGACTATGGAGGAGTTCGCAGGCAAGGTGGCACAGATGAGCCGGGTGGGGCCAGCGCGACGGTTCTATGAGGTTGTTCAAAGGGCTTATGGGGAGAGTGTACAGGGAGTTGCTCTATCCATTCCTCGGCTTGTGGTTGTGGCTCGAAAGCCGTCTACTTCGCCAGACAATGAGGGGTGGCCGAATAGACGACCATTAGAGTCATTATGAGTCTTATTTGGTATTTTGGACAGAAGACTGCTTTTAGTGCAACGGAGTTTCGATTATGATAGACGGAGAGGTATTTTGCCAGGGGCTAGATAACGAGATATTAAAGCGCGATTATAGGTACACAACGATGGATTAACCATTGGATGGAAACGAAAGTGAAGATAAAATTAAGTAACCCTAAAAACAAAACACCGCCTCCTAAAACAATGACGCAGCAGAACACGACAGGGGACACATGATGAAAGATAGGAGAGATAAATCCAAGCCAAGACCTAGGATGACGGCCATCCTGGTGCACCATGCGCCTTTAACGTTTTGTCCGTCCAGTTCCATAGTTTCTCAGCCAATTCAGAATCCCGCGAGAGCGGACTATCTTGCCCCGCCTTTCCAACGGGCTCGTAATACGCCCCATTCTCCACATCCTGGCTGAAGCTGCACCACAGCTGCGTCTTGGCTCCTTCCTCATTCGAAACCCCAGTCAGAGGAACAACCACGGCGAAGAGAAGCTTCACAAAGATATTGGTATTCTTCGCACCGCCCCAGACATTAGACTTGACGGTGCCCGGGTGCAAGGAAGAGGATGTGATTTGAGGGTACCGGCGGGCCAGCTCACGGCCGAAGAGAATTTTGGCTAGCATGGCTTGGGCATATAGACCGGCGCCACTGTGAGACTCCATAGGGCTTTGAAGCTGGTCGAAATGTAACCCCTCTTTGCTGGCAAAAGTCTTGTGTCCCACGGAGGACACCGACACGACCCTTACGTCAGCACCCGGGAGTCGAGCCGTAGCTAAGAGAGTCGGCATCAACAGCTGCGTGAGCAGGGCGTGGCCCAGGTAGTTTGTGCCGAATTGAAGCTCAAATCCATCCTTGGTGGTGTCGTGTGGAAGCATGGCGATGCCACCATTCAGTTGAAGAACATCTAGGCGATCAACTTCGTTGTTGACGCGGGTTGCGGCCGCTTTGACAGAGTCGAACGATGCTAGATCCAGATCTAGAATAGAGATGTCGGTCTTCGAAGCCTCGGGTGATGTAGACCGGATACGCTCCAGTGCATCTTCAGCCTTTGAGCGACTGCGAGCAGCGAGGTAGATTTTTGCTGGACGGTGCGCGGCTAATGCGGCCACTGTTGCTTCTCCCAGCCCGGAGTTGGCGCCTGTTACCAAGCAGACCTTTCCGCTGAGGTCTGGAATGTCGGTCAAATGGTTGAAGGATGGCATTATGATTAGATTGGAGGTTAAAAGACGAAGAATAGGATATTATTGCTTTCGCTTGTTCAGAGTGGAGTGATACTTCCATCTTCACGAGTCTTATGAGTTCTTTAAATATTTGATGGTGGAACAGGCTAAATCACCACTGATCGGAGATAACGCTCGAGAGCGGAGAAATGTACAAGAGTGAGTGGCAAACGGAGAATATTCAGGAGTTTTGGCCATGACTACCGGACATAAGACTATCGCATGGGAGTCCCTGGGAAATAGTCCACTTGAGTTTATTAAAAAGACTAGCTGGCCTGTGTACACTCTAGGAAAAGATGGAGAATTGTTGTCGGATCTTCGAGGCGACTGTCCGGCGCCTTCCCTATCGCGGCTAGACCAACAACGCTAAACCCAGAAAGGCAAACAATCTAGTCTTGGCAGCGACCGCTCGCTGATTGGCCCCCTGCATGAGCGTTGACGCAGCGGCATCACGTGGGCCGCATCCTTCTGAGATGTGGCAGAAATGTGGGTCTACCGAAGAAGTGATTATTCAACTGAGTTATATGATCATATTCAAATGAATGAAGGTCTTGATTCTTTCTAACTACACGATAAAGAAGCCGATATTTATGCAATTTCAGGGGCTTCATGGTCGTCATAAATGAGCGGAATTACACGATTTATCGTCATAAATCAATGCGGTTGCATGATCGATCTAGTCAAGCAAGGCGATGATATAAGCGGTTTTAGTCATCTACCGCGGCCACACACCCCCTCAGCGCCTAGCGTAGGCCATTATCTTCCTTCTTGAGCGAGAATGAGGTCTTCAATGTTGACGAGATTCAACATTTTCACGAATTTGGCGTGTTGTTGCGCGGAAAGCGCCTTCGTGAGGCCATCGGCGATCATTTGATCAGTAGGGGTCCATTTGACGTGTAGATCACCTCGCTGAGCCTCCTGGCGGAGCCACGAGCGATGAATATCAACATGGCGTAGTTTAGAGCGGTGTTCAACGTCCTCATGGTTCACTAAACGAACGGTTTGCTGATTATCGCAGGAAACGGTCAATTCATGTTGAGGATCGAATCCCATGGTATTGAAAACTCTGCGCCACCAGTATACGGCTTTGGCTGCCTCGGATAATGCAAGAAACTCTGCTTCAGTTGTAGAGGTTGTAACCGCGCGTTGTTTTCCTGATTTCCATTCAACGGGGCCGTTGTAGAGTTTCACGAGATATCCTGCCGAGCTGCGGCGGTCCGGGCGATCACCGTAGGCTGCATCCGAAGCGATTATTGCAACTTCCTGGTCTTCTTCCTTGGCGGAGAATTCGAGCGCGAAAAAGCGCGTATTGTAGAGATATTCGATAACGCGATCCGCAGCGCGAATGTGATCCTGCGAGGGGTTTTTAAGCTCTTCAGATAAGCGACTAATCATGAAGGCAATATCGGGTCTCGTGATCATCGCAGGATACTGCGCTGAGCCGATTTTCATCGAATATTCCTTCTTCTTTGATTCCGGCGCCTCGTCAGGGTTGGGATCGACGTTGATCGTGTTTGAATAAGGCGTATTCGGTTGCCTCGCGTGTTCGTGGAGGTGGAATTTCACGGCGATATTCTCGAGATAGGCATCTTGACAGAGCCAAAGCTTTCTGCGAGGTCTATCTCGAATGATTCTAACTCCTAGGAACCATCCCACTTCTCCCATATTCCGAAGCTCATATTCTTCCGCGAGAGCTTCCTTGAATCGTTTTGCGGCCTCTCGGGCCTCCGGGGTAGGCAAGTTGATCACGAGGATATCATCAACGTAGACTAGCACAATCATGTATTCATTCACGAAGAGGCATTGTTCTTCAGGCACGGGGATAAGACCAAATCTGAGCAGTGTAGTGGCGAGAGCTCGCTGCCAGAGGCGTGGAGATTTGCGCAATCCATATAGCGCTTTTCTGAGCTTCCATATCTTTCCTTTCGTGTGAAATCCTTCCGGTGTTCTTGTGTATACGGCCTCATCGAGTAGTGCATTCAAGAAGGCGTTTACGGCATCTTTCTGGTCCGTATCGAGATCGAAAGCAGCAACGAGTGCCATAACAGCTCGGAACACCCTGGCAGACGCTGTTGCAGCGAAATTATTAGCAACCTTGTCTTTCTCGAGGTCTCCTCTCACGCAGATACGGCCTTTCGCTTTGATAAAGTTGCCGTTTTCATCGAATTTGTACGTGAACACCCATTTCAATGGAAGAATCTGTGAATCGCGTGCTTCTTCTTGATCAACGAGGGTGAAGCAGTCCTTTGCCTTGAGATTTCCTATTTCAATTTGTGCAGCGCGTAAGAACTCGTCCTTAAGCGGGTGTTGCAGTATTTCTGTATACGATTTCGGCAGAGGAGGAAGCTCGTTACGGTGCCAGCGTTTCTTCTCTTTTGCTGCGAGATCGAGGGCCATTGAAAAGACGTTTTCAACGATGTAAGGATCCTCAATGTAAGGTTCAAACATCGCGTAAGATTGGTATTCTTTCATGTCCTTCCGTGGCTGCCGTACGCGTCTTCCTTGCAAGATATTCTCTTCGCGAGCGCCGTCATCGGTAGGGCCTCTTCCTCTGCCTCGGCTGCGTCTTCCGCCTCGTCCACCCCCTGATCTTGATGAGGGCGTCGAATCATGATCTTCTTGTAGCGCGGAATCGTGGTGTTGAGCAGTTGGAGGTGCTGAAGAAATACGTATTTCCTCTTCTTCAAGGATCGAATTCTGAAGCGAATCTTCGAGCATTCGAGAAGCGGCTTCATCATGCGGAATTGCATCAGGTTCTTCAAGCAGTGGATCTTCAGGGAAACCTCCCGGAATGGCCTCAGTACGGCCACGGTCCTCTTGATTGTTAGGTTCAACGTGGGGTTCAGGAGTCGATTCAGGTGTTGGTAGGGTACTTGGTTGCGCGGGATGATCAGGGTGATCAACGGTAGCCACCCCCTGACCTTCTGCAACCTTTCTATCACTTAATTTTTGCATGATTTCGTTATTTGAGGCGTCATTCGATCCGTAAGCGTTTCCTTCAATTCTCGGGACCTCTCCCGTTTCCATACGGTTAGGTTCCTCTTCTAGGAAGATCCCTTCGCCTCTTGGTAAGTCAAGCACCTCTGTAGGTGGCTCTGGTGACGTCTCGCTGATGAGGTCTTCAAGGAACGGTTGCGTAGGATCGTACATTCTCGTCTCGTCAAATAATACGTCTCTTGCCTCTTCAACACGTTGTTTTCTCGGGTTCCATATATGCCAGATGTTTGAGGCGACATAGCCGAGGAGGATACCTTTATACGCGCGAGGAGCCATTTTATCGCTTTTCTGTTGCTCCTGCCTCGTGTAGGCAACGCAACCGATTGTACGAAAGGCTGAGAGATCGGGCTTCTTTCCTGAGAGCTTCTCGTATGGCGTTTTCCATCCGAGCGCGGCAGTAGGAGAGCGATTAGCAATATTCGCTGCTCCACCGATAACCCAGGGCCAGAGATCCCGAGGCAATTTTGCTTCAATCATCATTTTCCTTGCCTTCAGGATTAGGATCGCGCCTGCTCGCTCTGCAGCGCCATTCTGATCAGGCGTATCAACCACGGAATACTCGTGAATGATTCCTTTGAGCGCTTCCTCCTCTTTGACCGCATTTCCGAGTGTTTGCTCACGGTCACTTTTGAAGAATCTGATCTTCGTTTTGGCAATATTCTGCATCTGCAGAATGTAGGTGTTGAAAGCACCTACGCAGCCGTTTTTCAACCGGTGCGAAAAGACGTTATGGAAGCGTGTATTCTCGTCATAGAAATGCGAGATCCACTGATCTCCATTCAATGCAGGCTTCATTTGAATGAGATCGAAATGCACGCGTTGAAGAGGTGCTTGAGCCGTCATCATTGAGCGCCTCGAAGTCTGCCTCGGGGCCTCCGAATGTCTGCACACCTCGCATTTAGGATCGTCATGTTGTTTTGCTCGAAAATCATCAATCTTGACGCCTTGAGCAGCCTCAGGAAGATGGCGAAGTGCATCCCAATGAAGGTGAGCCATCCTGCGATGCCACAAATCCGTGTTTCCTTTCAGGATGTGAGGTCTCGCTGATCTGCGAGAATCCTGATCATTTCTGATCATTGCGAGGCCGTAGTGAGTGCTCCCTTTCTTTTCAATAATCCACAATCCTGACGAATGCTCTTCCACGTTGAACACGACCTTTCCATTTCGTGAAATCGTGTTACGGGTCATACTGAAGTCATATCCTGCTCGCTTGATTTTCTGCGCGCTTAGGATGTTTGTATGGAGGCCTGGAACGAAGGCAACGTTTGTGAGGACAATTTCTTTATCACCTTTCTCTCCTCCGCAATTTGGCCGTATTCTGACCTTTCCAAAGCCTTGAATTTTAACAGTTGAATCACCTGCGTGAAGTTGACCACCTTTCGTTTGATCAAGCTCCTCAAATCTCGATATTTCGTTGCACACATGCGTGGAGGATCCGGTATCGATAATAAAGCAATTTGTGAGCGGGATGTCAAGCGAAGCATTGCATGAAAGGGCCATAACGTGGTAATCTTGAGGGCTTTCATCGGCTTCCTTCCAGTTCTTCCTGATCATATCTCTGATTCTCTTCGCTCGAGATGTTGGTCCTGAGGCAATTTTCTTGATTTCCTTGATAACTCGCTCATCAGGCTTCCAACCCTTTGGACGTGTTTCCGGGTAGAGATAGTTGCAGTCACGGAATCGGTGTTGTCCTCCACATGCGCAGGGGGGCCATTCTGTTCTTCCTTTCGTTTCCCCTTGAGGTTCTTGTTGATCAATAGGTGTATCGGTTTGACCATTGAGCGTAGCGTACGCGTGACTAACTACTGAGGCGTCATCTCGCCTGCTGTTGGCGAGATGAGCGCGGAAATCGCTCAGTAATACAGAATAAGTGGTCTTTCCAATACTCGAATAATGCATATTGGAATACTGCTGATCCACTTTCTCAATCGCTGTCAGAAATTCCTGTTGCACATAAAGATCTCCGCTATGAGGCAATTCGAGCCTCTTGATCGCCAGGTAAGCGTGATCAAACTCTTCTATCCAGGCGTTGATCTTTCCTTTCCGTGGAGACCTTCTGATAACCTCTTGATATTGCTTTAAGGCCTTCTGTTGCATCTCCACTTTTGACGGTTCGTATTGCATCTTCAATACCTTCAGTATTTCGAATCGTCGCTTCTCTTCGATAAGTGGTTGAACGTGTACAGCGATAGAGGATCTGATCGCATCCTCTACCTTCGCAATGTTGTTTCGCGAATCTTTATATTCTTGCAAATCGAGTTGGAATCCTCGATAAGCATTATCCGTTAGATTCTGGGGTCTTTCAGGTTTCACGGGCGTTGGAGGATGAGTGCCGTCTGCACGTTCTGGATCGAAGTGATCCCATACATCAAGCCGTTCGGCGTATTCCTTGATGTTACGGATCCATGTACGCCAGTCATCTCGACTCTTCAAGATGACTTTAACCTTCGTGGCGTTCTCCGAGTCAAATGAGGAAGTCATGTTCAGTTATGTAGTTATGGAGGGACCGGCCTCTCTGTAGTGTAACCGATCGTTTGCTTATATCGCTTCTTCGTGACACTTCACGCTGTTGCCGTATCGTGTTGCTCAAGGTAGGTTCTGAATGGCTTCAATTTGATCAAACAAGGTAATCCTGGAGCAGTTCCGGGCTCATAACTGTGGCAGAAATGTGGGTCTACCGAAGAAGTGATTATTCAACTGAGTTATATGATCATATTCAAATGAATGAAGGTCTTGATTCTTTCTAACTACACGATAAAGAAGCCGATATTTATGCAATTTCAGGGGCTTCATGGTCGTCATAAATGAGCGGAATTACACGATTTATCGTCATAAATCAATGCGGTTGCATGATCGATCTAGTCAAGCAAGGCGATGATATAAGCGGTTTTAGTCATCTACCGCGGCCACATGAGATGCTCCGAGATGACAAAATTACGATACTCCTTCATTGACGCTGACGGAGTTATCTCTTGGGTCCATCATGGCGCCTGTATCCAGGGATCGACGAGCTCTCGGGAGGCATACCTCTCATGACGCCATATATCAACCCTTCATTGTCACGACGTCACTGGGCAGGCCCAACAAAGCTACGCGCAAGCTCATTCGGAGCCATGTAATGCGCGGCAAGAATCGCGCTAAGCATGTTGAGGCTGGAGTGGTCTATGGATCGTGGATCAATAGTTCACTCCCAGCTAAGCCGGCGGGGATTTTAAAGGCGGAAGAGACGGGGTTATGGATCCCCCAGCCCCGTACGCTCTGTCGAGACCTGGAAACATTCACCTTTGCAGACCAAATTAAACCGTATATGTTGGATCTGATCTTCAAGTGTAAGTTAAAATATCCTCTTTCGTCGGAAATTTGTGCCAAGTCATTTTACCACTTTCACTCGATTGCATTGTATGAGAACATGTTCTCGTCACTTACATCACATAGTCTTTACAATATTGAAGCAGTCAGTGTACCCGATTGAATTTTGCCTAGAGTTCGATCCAAAAGCGTCAGTCTGGTATAAATATCTCTTATCTGATGCAGCCTGTCATCATTCGCTGCTATGGACCACTCAGTCGTATTTCGATTGGATACAGGGCTATTCCCTCTCCCCGAAGGCCTTGTTCCATGAAGCCAAAACCCTCGAACTCCTACAATACAGGATAAATGATCCCGCGTCTGCCCTTAATGACACTACCATTGCGGTAGTTGTTACGTTAGTTATGGTCAGCGCACTTGTTGGCCATGTGAGCGTGGTCAAGAAGCACATGCAGGGGCTCAATATGATCATCACTCTGAGGGGCGGCATGAGAGAGCTGGAAAAGAATGCTCAACTTCAGATCAAAGTGTGCCGGTATGAAAGACCTTATCTAGACGGACTGTTTGCGTTCAAGGTTTCTGATATCTCCGACTTCGCAGTGCCGACCTTTGTACCGCACTTCTAAGCGGGAGTGAGCCGTTCTTCTTTTCTGAAGAGATGACATGGCAGCCTTATTTGGCCCGACCTGCTGATATCAACGACTTTCTAGCCACGCACTTTGCTGGCTGTAATATCGATAAGAGGTTAGCTGGCGTTGCCGCTGACCTTCGACGCTTCTCCATATCAACAAACTTGGCCTTTGCTACCGGCCGTAAGATTGCTGGGGAGGTTTATCAAGAAACATTAATCTCAACTCAGTACCGACTTGCCACTTTGAAGTTCGACTCAGAAGATATAAATGAACTTCTCCGTCTAGGACTTTTGGTATTTTCCTCGAGCGTATTCCTCCAAGGTGGAGGCCTCAGAGGACGGTTTCCCTCTCTTTCAGCGCGGTTTAAACAAACTCTATCAAAAGTGGACTGGACAAACCCAGTCCCCAAGAGAATTGGTCTCTGGCTCCTGATTTCGGGACTGGTTGCCGCTGTCACTCACGAGGATGATGACGTACTTATACCATTATTGCAGGACCGGTGTCGTGAATCGGGTCAATATTCTTGGAGCGGAGTCCGAAGCATCCTAAAGAGTGTCATGTGGATTGATGCGCTGCAAGACAAGAGCGGCAGACAAGTATACGATCGAGCCATCTTGGTTGAACAAATTTGACATCCTGTAGTCGGACAAGTTTATCCTTTAAAATATTACACAGTAGAAAATTTCCATTCTACTGGCTTTTCTTCTGATCTTGACCCTTTCATGAAACCTTCTGTCTCGGTTGCAACGTTCTCCACACTTCGGTATACTCCGCGTTCCCCGCACATTCCATGAACCAAAAACACTTGGCGGCGAAATGCAGATTCTCTCTTGTCGATCATGAGTTGTCCTGTCCTATAATAGGTGGAAATCAAATGGCATGGTGGCTTGACTAATTCTTATCTGACGACATTTCCATTGGCATTGTACATATAAGTCCCCCCTCGTCATTGACTAGAGGGTTACAAACAACCGAAAAGATGAAGGCCGATCTAGCATGCCTGACTGCACTTTTTCTATTCGCGGACGCTCTCCCGTCCACTGTGCCGCGGCAAGACATTTCGCAGAAGACTGTCAACCCATCAGACTTGTTTTCGCCTACTGCAACATCGAAAATCTGGAATGTTGCGGTAAATAATATTAACCAGGTATGTATTGTACAGGTGAAAAGACATGTCCTCTTCAACTCATGCTCACTGTTCTAGCTTCCAAGTAAATTCCCCGACAATGTTCCAGGAGCGGCTTCAAATGCGGGTGCCTATATTTTTAGCGACATCTCGGCATGGACCAGTGGCTTCTTCCCTGGCTCCTTGTATACGCTCCTCGAAAGGAACATTCGATTCCCGAACCACCTGAATATAGGAAACTCGAGTCAAGTAGATATACATAACCGCCTCCTAGCTCTATCACGCCAATGGTCCGACCCACTACATGAACAGGCCAAGCGGACCGACACTCACGACATGGGCTTTTTAATCGTCCCTGCTTTGCGCAAAGATTGGGAACTGACGGGCAATACTAAGAGTCTGGATTCCGTTATTACTGCGGCACACAGTCTGGCAACTCGATATGACCCTCGAGTTCGTGCGATTCGGAGCTGGGATAATCTGGTGAACAAGCGACACGACATTCGTGGCAAGACGGCCGATTTCTTGGTTATCATTGATAGCATGTGCAGTGTGTATTTAGCCATGCAACAAAACCCATCGCAGCTAACAGACTCTTCAGACCTCGACTTGTTGTACTACGCCGGCTATCAGACAGCCAACCGAACTTTGATTGATATTGCCACTAGCCATGCCCACACTGTGATACGCAATATTATCAGAAAGGATCATTCAACATTTCATTTGGTAAATATCGACCCGCGAAATAGCAGCGTAAAATTCCAAGAGACAGTTCAAGGATACAAAGACTGGTCCACATGGAGCAGGTATGTCACCATATTCTCCTCTCCAAATTGTCTTTGCAAATACTGATAATAAATAGAGGTCAAGCCTGGGGTATCCTCGGGTACGCGCAGACCTATCAATGGACCAAAGACCTGGTCTTCCTCAAGACAGCAGAAGGTTTAGCAGACTACTTCCTCGGTCGCCTCGATAGATCCTCCCATACTCACCCCTACGTTCCGCCATGGGACTTTGACGCACCCGTCATCGATGGCAACTTACCTCCTCGCGATACCTCAGCCGGCCTGGTAGCCGCCAACGGGCTACTTCTTCTTCACCAGATCCTTGGTGGGGACTCTCCCTATCTGGAGCGTGCTTTGCGTATTGTAGGAGAGACTGTCGATTTATCGACATCTCCGCCGAGCTGGGAGTCGATCTTCATGAATGCCACTATAAATAACAACGAGTTTTCATCAGATCGATCAAAGAACACAGGCCTGGTGTATGCGGACTTCTACTTCCTCGAGTTTGGGAATCGGCTGTTGCAGATGGGGTTGGTTTAATTGGTCATTGTCAGATGGTGGTTCGATGGGTTTTTCATTGGGCGACTGAGATGCTCTGTCTGAAATCGAGGGGCCTAACCATCAAATCATTCCACAATTGCCCTAAAAATGCAATTTATCGAGCGACCTTCCGTACCTTCAACTTCTTGAAGCTGTAGCGGAGATAAATGAATCTAGAAGAGAGCTATCTGGGAGGAGAAACAGGAGCGGGTAGGCATCCTGAATGCCTAAGGTCTTCACGCCTCAACAACACTGACTGTTCAATAGAGAGTGTGATTTTAGTCTCCATTTCTATATACAACTATTGTTTCATACATCTAATAACTGCTCTCATGACCGAACTCAGTTAGCGCGCCTGTAAAGAAATACGACCTTTGCACCCACGATATTAGATCAGATCGCGAGCGCTATCGTCAGCCGAGATAATAGCTGTGCATATCGGATATCCCGACACGGAGCTCCCCCCTACAGCGGCCCGGCGGTCATGGAATTAGCGTGCAGGAGGCCCCATCTATCGGCAACTCAACCACAATCGCCGATTGCAATTTCCAGACGGTTTTCTTAAGCCGTCCCCAGAATAAGAATACTTCTCACCGAGGGGAGATCCCCCGCCCTCTGCATATATTACGAACTAGTAAACAGAATGAATGGGAATGCGGAATTGACAGATAGAAAGAGTGTATCGAAACTGTGGAAGTGAAGCAGTACATAGATCCCAAAGGAGAGATAACACTGGAAACAAGGCAAATGAGGTGCTTTAAAATAGGGCACGGGTAGACTCTTAGTGACAAGAACTGGTGATAGTGATATTAGACATTCGAAACGGTTCTAGGAGATACTCCACCTTGGCACCTTTGAATAGCAATCCATAGTTCAGGAGCTTCAATGACTAAATTATGAATAGATACTAGTGGTATTTGCAGGCATTAGGATGCGATCCTGCACACTATATACTAACTCTCCCTGTGTTGAATATGGGTCATTGTCAGATCGACAGGTTTACCAATGCAAGAGCAGAGCGGTTCAATGACTATCTATAGTACAATTATTACGGATAAGAATGACAAACACCCGACATTGGACCTATCACTCAATCAGATAAATCAATCCCCCCTGTTCACCTCCACAAAAGTCCTCTCGGGACCCTCCTCCCCCAACAGCAATTCCATATCCGGGTCACACTTGGCCATCGCCACCTGATACGCCTTTCTCTCGCCCACTCTTCCCAAAAAGGCTACAATATTAGCATACTCTCCTAAACCAAACGGTTCAAAATACCGAAAGGTCGTCAACAAAAACACCACCATCAGATCTGCCACCGTGAACTCCTCTCCGGCCAACCACACATTCCCAGCCAGTCTCTCGTCCAACGCCTCCAACGCTTTCCGCAGCCTTGTCCTCGTAATAACCATGAACTGGTTCTCCTCACTCACCCCGGCTCCCCGCATCATCATCGAGCGCGTCACACTCGGCGAGAATGTCCCGTCAGCCCAATGCCACCAATACAAGAAATCCGCATACCGATGGTGAGAAGGGGTCAGGAAGAGTTTGCCGTCGGCGTACCGATGACTGATGTATTCGATGCAAGCGCAGCTTTCGGCTAGAGTCAAGTCGCCATCTTGAATTATGGGGGCCGTGCCAGCGGGGTGGAGAGTTTTGTATTCGGGTGGTGCGAGGAGGGGCGCGCGATGGTAGGTCTTTAGCTCGTAGGGGATGTTGAGCTCTTCGCAGAGCCAGGGGAGGCGCTCGGATTGGGAGACGTGGAGGTGGTGGATTGTGAGGACCATTGATGCGAGTTGTAGATTTGGGTTCGTAGAATGAAAGAATGGGGTGAATGATCTGAGTGAGAGGTTGTCAGTCAAAGGGGGGGGTGTCTGTTATATAGTCCGCCAAATCTAGGGAGTGCCGGAAATATCGGCCCGGGCTTAAGAGTTGGAACTGTGGTTTTTGGCCCCAATTGGAACTGCCCTCAGCAAATTTCTTGTCGGACATGACGGACTATCCGCAGGAGTGAGCTACTAGCTATGTCGATTATGTAGAGAAACCTTGGCTGAGGGTGTGCCGGCTATGAAGGTCCCACAATGGCTTCCTAGTTGACTCCCATGTAGGGCATTGTCGCCGCGTATATACACTAGAAAAACCCTTACTACTAAGGGTTGACCCTTTTTAGTGTAGCGGTATTTTTCTGCCACAGGCATCGACTATCACGATGCTGGTGTTTGACCTGTTTGGATGAATGACATCATACATGAATACTGAATCGCTTCACCGCCCTGGATCATGCACGGTCTCGTGTCTGTCGCGCCAAGGCCTTCTGCCGTCACACATCAACCGACCATCTAACTACCCACTCATCGCTTCATCATCATCTTAGAGTTCGATTGAGTCCTGAATCTTGCCTAGTCTAGACGATCGTGACGATCGCCGTCCCCTCAAACCCCTCCAGATTGTAAAGATTGTCATATCATTCGATGACGTCCAGTCTCAGGGCCCTCACTGTTTATCTCCGACCCTCCGACCCTCCGACCCTCGCGCACTAGCATGGTAGGATGATCCATCCCATCCCCAATGACAATGCTTCTCCGTTTTCGACTTAGATCTGGGCTAATGTATGTCAAATCAGAGATTCTCGTTCGCTCCGTGCTACCCGTTCGGCTAAATCTACCTCCCGTACCAAACGGCCCTCCTGCAACATCCGGATTTTGCCGACATTGTCGTACAAGATATCCCCATACCGATCTGGGTGGTAACTGTACCCGATAAGGCGGTCAATCTCACAGTACAAGTCTTTTGCCAGCCACTCAGGTAGCAAAGGAAAGAAAGACGAATCAGGCTGGGGAATAGACCGGTGATGTCTTTCTCTGGCTCCCTTATACTCCTCCCAACGCGGATCCGACGGCAGATATTTCTCGAAAGCATCGGATTCGATGTTCAGAGTTAGCGTGTTGATGTAGAACCTTGGGGCTTGCTGGTCGCTCATTGCCGGCTCTGTCAAAGGACCGTGTACAACGAACCGCTCAAGCATTGCGTAAAAACACCACTCGAGACCGTCATGACCGCCGTCTCCTCTTGTGTGCCGCCAATTTTCGTAGACGATACAGTGGCCAAAAATCCGAAAGTTGACGTTCACCTCGTCAAGGTGGCTTCGCAGCACTGGAACAGAAAGCCAAGTTGGCCACAGCTCCCATTCATTGACCACCATCACATCGAGTTGATAGCTGGGTTTCCCTAATCGTCGCAAAATGTCCTTCGTTTCATCACGGATCTGTCGGTTTATCAACAAGAGGGCCTGACATCTTGTCGCCAAGCGCTGATCCAGGAGCGTGTCGTATAGGGTATACCTGGGACCGTGTGACCAGGCCTTGTATTCAATGTCTTTGAGGGGCTGGCGCTTATCTGCGCCAGTCCAGGGGTTGGTCGGGGGAGCGTAAGGTGCCAAGAGCGCGTGCTTAAGAATCATTGCACGCAATTCGTAGGGTAAGTTGAGAAAGGCTGACATGATGTGCTCGACCTTTTTTTTTGCCTGAGGCGATCACGGGCGAAAACATGATCGGTCAACTTGGGATATCAAGATCAATATCTACTTGTCCTTCGAACTCAACATTAGGTTCATACAAGCGCCGACCCCGTCGCGAAGCATGTGATTCTGACTCATCTTGACGGTGATCACCCGTGGGATTTAGGTCCAGGTAGCATTGGCAACAGCAAAGACTTCGTGAATGCTGTGAGTCAACGCGGGGACGCCTTTTAGCTTGTTGCTAACCTAGCCCGTTCGTTGCCTAGCCCGCTAGTTGGGCTTCGTAATAGTGATTAGGTCATCGAATGACATGGGTTGACTTGATGTTACCAAACTGACATCTACTAGGCCTGCTATTCGCCGGCAAAGAGCTCCGGTCCTATACATGGTCTATTTTGACTCGAAAAGCAGATGTGCGAGTTGGATTGGACGGCTTCCACCCAAGCTCCTTGCATGACAGGTAGAAAGTGGCCACAGCTTCATGGACCGGATAAGATATCCTTGCTCATTTCCTAAAACCTAACCATTCATGAAGCCTCCCGATATTGACCCGAGGACTAGAGAGCAGCGGCTGCTCTCTTACCGATGAATTACTCCAGCTATAAACTCAAATTGTGGCAAATTAGTTGCAACTCAGTACTCTCTCGTTGGTTTGCCATTCATCAGTCCCCTCTCAACCTGTGAGGAGCGTTTAAGCACCCGACAAGCGGAAGCCCGTACGGTGATGTGATTTGCAAAGGCAACTTCGTTACGAAATTTAGGTCTCCTGTGCATGATACCCAAGCCAATAAGATCTACTAGCAGAGTGTTGGAATGTGGCCGTCCCGATAGTGCTTATTCTGCAAATTGAGGGCGGTCGTCCGCCCAGTCAAAAAGCCCCTTCATGCCAAGCGTTCAAGAAATATGGAGCTACCATACTGCTTCAGTTTCCTTGTGCTGGCTCAGTTGATCGATATCCAAGGAGGAGATATCCACTGATCTACCCCGCCTTGTCAATTGATTGTCCAACGGTGTAGGCGGCTATGCCAGGCACTAATTCTGTTGCATGTTCAACCTCCCTTCCCTCGAAATCGTATACCAAGTTCTTTCGCACCGCAGTGCATCATGTTTGCCGAGTCCAAGCAGATACCTCCGACCACTGAAGAAGTTCATGCATTTTCTGGTCATATTCGGGATGATGACAATCTTGCGCAGATCGGAAAAAAGGCTGTTCTAACGGTATGAGTTAGACTTCTGTCTGTCCCGTCGACGCTAAAGCCTGTCATAGAGAAATTTTGGCATTTTGTCTATTCTCGGATTCAGCTGCACCATCATCGCAACATGGGAAGGTCTACTAGAGTGAGAATCCCTCACCCACCAAGCATTAGATACATGCTAACTTAGTAAAGCACGTTCGTCATACCACTACAGAAGTAAATATGCCCGAACACTTGCAGCAACGCCATACTAATAATGCTCAGCGGAGGCCCGGCCGGCGCGATCTACTCGTATGTTGTTGCTTGGATAGGCACGGGATGCACTTTTGCGGTCCTGGCCGAGCTGTCATCAATGTTAGCACCTCGAGAATGCCTTTGTTGAAACCGATCAGAAAGGCTAAAGGCTTTGCAGGGCACCGACGTCTGGCGGCCAGTATCATTGGTGTGCTATGCTGTCGCCACCCTCGACGATGAAATTCATGAGCTACATAACCGGTCGGTTCTAATCGCAAGCCATTCACAACTTATTTAACTCTGCCAGGCTGGGTTACATTGATCGGATGGCAAGCGGCGTTTGCGTCTGTGTCGTACTTGGCCGGTACCGAGGTTCAAGGCGCCGCCATTTTCGCGTACTCTCACTATCAACCCCAGGCATGGCATGGTACCCTGCTTCTCTGGGCGGTGGTCACAGTCGCAATGGCAGTCAACATCATCGGGGGAAAGTTCTTTCCGCGCATGGAAACTGTGATTCTATTTATGCATATCGCAGGGTTTTTGGCCATAGTAGTCGCATTGACCTCCATGGCCGACCACAAACCTGCACACGAGGTGTTTACCGACTTTCGCAACGGGGGAAATCTTCCGGCCGACGGTGTATCTTTCTTCGTCGGGATGATGGGTTGCGTTTTTGCGTTCGCTGGGGGCGACGCTGCAGTGCATGTATGTTACTCAGTTGACTCGGTCGATTTAAATGCTGATGTCTATTAGATGGCCGAAGAGTGTAATAATGCTTCTATTGCGATCCCCCGAGCTATCATGCTCAGCATCGCCATCAATGGTACCCTCGGATTCAGTATCATGGTGGCTGTCTTGTTCTGCATGGGTGATGTTCAGCAAGCACTGGAATCTCCGACGGGCTATCCATTCTTCGAAATCTTTCACCAAGCAATGGGAACGACCTCGGGCGGATTAGGACTGAGCTTGGTACTGGTCATTATGAGCATCTGCGCTGTTCTGGGTACCTTGACTGCCGTGTCCCGACAATTTTGGTCGTTTGCTAGAGATCGTGGCGTCCCGGGATGGCGGATATGGAGCCATGTGCGATATCCCTTGTTCTTCTATAAATGTTATCCGTTACTAACATGGCGTTACCAAAATGCAGGTTTCCTCCAGAACGCAGCTGCCCACTTACTCAGTCTTCCTAACCATGACCGTCGCGTGTCTTCTCGGCCTCATCAACATCGGATCCAGCGTAGCTCTGAACGGCGTTCTCTCCATGGCCGTATCCGGGCTGTATCTGTCCTACCTGATCGTCGGCGCAATGCTCCTGTACCGGCGATGCACAGGCGCTGTATTTCAATTCAGCGATGCGGACGACATGCAAAAGAACGTTCCCGGAGCAAAGCTAGTATGGGGCCCGTTTCATATCCCCGGGGGCTGGGGAATCTTGGTCAACGGATACGCAGTCATTCACATGACGATCGTGGTGTTCTTCAGTCTCTGGCCGACAGAGATCCCGGTTACTGTGACCAATATGAACTTCAGCGTTGTTGGCACGATGGGCACGATCTTTCTAGCCTTGATCTACTATGTTCTCCGAGCGAGGAAAGTCTATCAAGGACCGGTGATTGAGACGGTGGGTTGATCATGATATAGAGCGATCATAAATCCAGAGTGAATTTGATTGAACAGGTCAATGATGACATCCATATCCCAAACAAATAGCCAAACGGCCAAATACCCAAATACCCAGATACCCAAATTCCATAATCCCACTGCCCCCTCACAACACTATACAAAGCCACATCCCACATCCCCTACAACCTCGCCTTCCCCTCCCCACCAGAAACAACCCTAACCAACGCCCTCCCATTAGTCAACACCGCCTTCCCACTCCCATTCTTCGTCACAAACCTCACCTCCTCAAACCCATCCTGCGCCTCACCCGTGCGCCACATCTCCGTAACAAGCCGATCCCCAGGCTTGACCGGGGAAGCGAATCTCGCCTGAAACTCCTTGAAATTATTCGGATCACTATCTCCAAAGGCCTTGAGCACGGCATGCGCCGTCGCGTTCCAGCTGAATAGCCCGTGGATGATCACGCCGCCGAAACCCATTTTCTGACCGGGTTCGGGGGTTGCGTGGAGGGGGTTGTAGTCGCCGTTTAGGCTGGTGGAGGGTAAGTTTAGTTTGCTCTTTCTGAAAGATAAGGAGGAGAGAAGAGGCGGGAGAGGAAGGGAAAGGATAGGATGGGAGAATGAAAGGATGAACGAACCGATACAACTGCGCCGTCTCTGCCGTCGTCTGGATCGTATGCACGGCATCGGGTTTTTTGCCCTCGGGGGGTGGATAGCTAGGCGTGCTGGGTCCCTTCGGACCTCCCCAATTCCCCTGACCCACAAAAAACCCACTACTCACAACCTTCGAAAAAACCTCCCCAGATCCAGCATCCACAATCGTCTGTTCACTCTCCATGACACTTCCCGCCTTCCCCTTGTCATAAACCCCGAGGACCTTACTCCGCAGCTCGAAGCGTCGGCCAGCGCTCGTCGCAGGGAGGGGCTTCAAGACGGTGATTTTGCGCTGGCCGTCGACGGCGCGTTTGGGGTCGAAGGCGGGGATCCCCGGCACGGGGTGGGATTTTTGGCGCGCATAGAAGTCGGTGACTTCCTGGTCTGTTAATTTGAAGGCTATATGGTGTTGGCTTCGCTTAGTTCGGCGTCCGGTAAGAGGGCGGGTTTTGGGAAAAGGGGGCGGGCATACGTAGGATGATAGGGTAGGTTGGGAAAACGGCGAAGTTCGGGTGAAGTTCCTGATCGAAGTAAAGCAATTAGCGTTGGATTTAGGGACTCTGCAAGACGGGTATGTTTACGTAGAGAAAATGCAGCTCCTCGGCGGTGATGCCGATGCTGTTGGCGAAGAGTAGGACATCGCGTTTGAGCCAGGAGACTTCCTGGGCAGGGAATTCGTGGCCGACACCTGGTCCGGACATTTTGTGTATATAGAACGAGTACTTTGATTGATTTGTGATATAAAGATAGCTTACGTGGTAAGAATAATGAAAGGGGGAGAAAAAAAAAAAGGGAGAGCGGATTGAAATAGCGAGATGCGGAGATGCGGAGAGCCGAGGCTGATCGGCGTCGGTCGGTGCCGAGGATCTGCGTCATTCTTGCTTCCGATCACAAATCAATGAATTCAATCTCGATTTTATAATAAACTGCCAACTACACAACCCCTGTCTGTTGCTGAATCGAATCTCGCACCAACTCCTGCAACGTGATCGTCTCCTCGGCGCCAATGTCGCAATTGTCGCGACGTTCGTACAACGTGCCACCCTCGGTCCAGATCCTGCGCAGCGTATAAATTGTCGCGGAGGGATCTTCTTTCTCCCAAGCCTGCTTCTCCAATTGCCGCAGCTCCTCCAGGGGCGTATATTCCACCGTCCAGGAACTGCCCGTCTGTCTCTCATACTCCGCCAAGATGTCTTCCGGCGTAGTCGTGAACGAATTCAGCTTCAACGCACGGTTCCGCGCGGCATCCCAGTGCGTGAGGGTATGAACCACAAACTTGCCGACACTATCAATCCCAGGACACATTAGAATTTGCCCCAAACAGAGTAAAGGTAAAGAAAGGCCATGCGAAGGAAAAACCTACTCAGCACACCCACTCAAACTAATCTTCCCCTTGCCATCCCCCAGCAATACCGCCTTCTTCGCAACAATATCAAACGACCCAGCCCGCGGCGCATTCTTCGTTGGACCGAGATAAAACGGGAAATCAGCGTAAGGGCCGGTCACCACATACGCATACCCCAACGAGTCGCGGACCGTCTTCAACGCCGCGCGTACTTTGAGTTTCTGCTGGTGCGGCTTCTCATCTTTCGATGCGAGGCCATACTCAATGTCAGTGCCGTATTCAGAGGGCAGGAAGCACTTGATATGCGGCGTCTCATTGGCAATTTGGATGAGGGGGATTTGCGCCGCGATGGCACCACGGCCGAGGGCAGAGATGATGGTGTCGATATCTGTTGCGCGTGATAAATGTTAGTGTAAAGAAGCTACATATTGCGAGATGATCAAGGGAAATAAACACGCTGAGGAGATGTTGATAGAAGAGTTAGACGAACCAGTGTACGCTTTGCGCACATCCTCGGGGTTGCTGATATCGCCGGCAATGATCTGCACGCCTTGTTGTTTCAATTCGTCGATTATCTCCCGCTTGCTATCGAGGGTTGCCGCGCTGGTGAAGATGGAGATTTGGCCAAAAGATTGCTTGGCTTGCACGATGGCCCTGGTGATGTAGAGGCCGATATTGCCGGTAGCACCGAAGATGAGGAGGTTGGACTGCGCCATAGTGTGCCAGACGTCTCGCTTTCTGCGTCGATGGGGTTGAGTAATTGTGTATGCAATCTCTGGAATGTCGCGCGGGGTATTATACAGTCAGAATGGTGATTCAGCGTGGAAATCGCATCATCGGCGAGGTGGTGGAGATGGAGAGCATTGATTAATAAACGAGCACGAGGCCACCCCACATTTGCCCCGCTTGTCAGGAAACACCCAGTCATATTGCAGTGGAATTTCGTCTAGTCAACGGACTATCTATCTGATGCCTGTTTTTCTCTATACAGGTACATCTACTTAAGTATCATGGCCTTGCCTTCATACGCTGCGTCCTGCCATCGAGAAGTCCGCTACATTCCAGCAACCCAGCGATAGGACGAGGAGTCTACATACTTCGGTTGATACACACCACCCGCACAGTATGTATATCGCAGATGATGAAAGAATCCCTGTCTTCCTTGAGGTCGAATATACTATGGGAGGCACGGGGGTCCTTCGCTATGTTGGGTATAGCTGAACTGTTTTCTTGATTTGTGTAAAATCTTTGTTTCATGCCATCATATTACACGAATATAGAGCCAATCCGGGCCTGGAGGCAGGATGGATAGTATTCATAGCTTTGGGACGCAAACTTACCAGCGGACACATTAATCGAGATTTTATACCGATACGGAAGAGAGTAATATAGCCTTGGGCTGGCTAGACAAAAAGGATTAAAATGGCACGACAGTTTAAAGTCGCTGATTAATCTCTTCTCGAAGATATTGCGGAATGTATTATAATTTTGTCAGCGTCCAGATGTACAGACATGCTACGAGAAGCAATGACCTCCATATCACGCTGTCAAGCACAGATGAGGCTTCCAGGAGGACAACCGGCTACTGAAGATAGCAGAATCAGAAAGCCCTAAACGCATTGGTACCTACGACTACTTTCCCTAAATGAAATTAGTAGATGATCAAATTGCATTAAAATCAACATTGCTTTTAAAAGGGCGAGAGCCCCTGGAGCCAGCTGAACGATACAAGCACCACTGATAAATATCCTATGTTTGAAACTCAGAGGACATAGGTGGAGTAGCATCAGGTCAAGGGCAATGACCAAAACTGAAAACAACCCAGTGTATGTTTTCCGCTTACCCATGGATGTTCAATCACCGCAAAATAGAAACCAGTTGATCGCCGGCTTACCAACCTTGCCAAGTCTGAAATCTACGTCTTCTGGTGATATGATCTGCGTAGTCTAGAATAAGATTGAAGATAAGCACTATTTGGGCGACCCGTTGATAGCCAGTCCATCATAGTGTGAAAATCGGATGTATGTCCCACGATATAAAGGCAGATGCGTTCTCTATCTAGTCACGATCCTGGTCCCTTGACTATTCAAACCAATTTTCGATGAGTCACCAGATATGTGCAACCAGGAAATTTAAGGTGCTGTTAGGGACCAACTAGCCATGCTACTTAACACAATTATTGGTCTCATGTAGAAAGTGAAATACTTGGAAACCCTACATCATAGTCCCTGCATGTTCAATCCATTTTTGGTTTAGTTGGCAGTCAAGAATCAGCGGATCCTTTAGAGGATATCAATCGTCCAGAAAAGGAAGTTGATTGGTGTGGACGGCAAAACAGACTATTCAGGCAACGGAGGAGCCCACATTTAAGTTTGAGAAGAGAATATTTTCCATGGATCTCGGAGAATCTCCAGCACATTGAATGATCTCGAATGTCGGCAGTGGAGAACCCGCCGAGACCCACTCCGTTTACCTGCCGCGTCCGGTTTAGCGGCTTCCTATGCATTCCTCGGAGACAGGAACAGACTCCATACTCGCCACGGACTGCCCCTCCTCAGGATCAAGAACTCAAAATTGTTAACGAATCGAGATATCTTGAAGAAATTTCTGGAAAAAAATCACAATGAGTCTTAAGAAAGCGCAAAGTGGGCTTCGAGTCGCATGGACGCTATATAAACCGGACCTCGTGCCTTTCCAGTCCAGCCATTACCACACATCTTCAATCTATTACCTCGTTTCCTCTATTGTCACACATCCAAAACAGTCCTTTCCCTCGGAGATTTGTAACCATCATCGAAAATGGCCGGACCACGCACAGCTCAGCAGCTCCTGCAATCTGCGCGGGTAGCCCCAGAAATCTTTGCCCTACGCCCGGACTACCGCGCCCTCCTAATGGTCGTTGAAGGCATCCCCCCTGGTCCAAGCGACGCCTCCAGCCAAGCAATGCTCCAAGAAGCCGAAATCCACGTTAAAGAACTACTTTCCAAGTCCTCGGTGACCGAATTCCCACACATAGCCGCCTGGCGAGACGCCTATAAAGGTTTCGGAGCGAAGCCGAACAAAACCCGAAACAGCCTGGAGGCGTTAACCCGTCGAGCAGAGGCGGGTTTACCACGCGTCAACCGACTAACGGACATCTACAATGCGATTTCAGTCAAACATCAAATCCCGTTCGGAGGGGAGGATTTGGATAAATATGACGGGTCGCCTTTCCTGGTCCGCGCTACGGGTAAGGAGCCGTTCGAGACGTTCTCGGGCGGAGAACCTCAGGTGGAGCTCGCAGCTCCTGGGGAGCCGATCTGGTGTGATGATACGGGTATCACTTGTCGTCGTTGGAACTGGCGACAGGGCCCAAGAACGGCGTTGACGGATGAGACTTCGCGCGTTCTCTTCATTCTCGATGCGCTGGAGCCGCTGTCTAATGATGATCTCACCAAAGCTGCGGAGGAGCTGGCGTCGGCTTTGCAAGGCCTGTCCCCGGATGTGCAAGTATCACAGCGCATCATTGATGCTTCATCTTGATTTTTATATTTTGTTCAGGCGCTCTCAGTAAATTCTTCTTTCTATGATGTCAATAGTGCGGGTCAATGAGATAAATATAGACTTTCTATTCTTTGAAATCGCCAACAGCGAGGAATATATTCGTTGACGGCCGATAAAATTGTACATGTACCATCTCTATGGGTACATACATAGCTGTAGATTGTCTAGAGACATACCATAGCGTAAAGAATTAATAAGTAGCCAGCATGACACTCAGCCGACCACCATCCGTGATCACACAGTTGCCATTGCAATACGCTCCAGCGCGCGAAGCCAGGTATAATAGCGGGCCCATTATATCTTCGGCATCCCAGCACGCTCGGCGGGAATTTGGTCTGCAGGAAACGCCCCCTCTCCCGTTGCGTTCTTACCATCTATCAAACCTGTTGTCAGGTCGGTCGGAGATACTATCCATATCTAAGCAGCCATACAAACAGTGATCATGCAGAGCAGGGTATGCTATGCTTACATCTCGGACAAAGAATATTTGCCCTGATCTGATACGGAGCCAGGTAAGTAGCCAAGATTTTGAACATCAGAGTTGTCGCGCTCTTGCTAGTTCCGTATGCAAATCCTGCAGTGACACGCCAGTTGAAGCTTGCAATGCTACTCATCGCTATAACCTGGCTGCGACCTTGGGGATACGTGTTGTTCTGATTTCCAGCATCAAGCAACCCCAAAAAGGCAATGGCGGTATAGAATGTTGCGGTGCAGTTGACATGGAACGTATTTGTAAATTCCTGCATCGGGATTTTCAACAAAGCTTCTTGCACTTGCGCGATGTTAGCCCCAGCAGGTACGTCCAGGGATGGCCCTGCAATGCCCGAGTTGGCGATTAGAACGTTGATGTATCCGATATCCTGTTTGATAAATTGAACAGCTGCTTTCGGCTCGTCTCGATCGGTCACGTCGCATTGAACGGGAATCACATTGCCTTGTTCCTGATGTGTGTTAGAGCTGAACCAACTGTATGCACTATTTCAAGAGTACACGCACAAATTCCGATGCTGCCCGATCCAGCACGTCCTTTCTCCTTCCCAGGATATAGACATTCTTGGCGCCATTTGCCGCCAATGCTCGTGTCATGAAGAGGCCGAGACCTATATAGTTATTGTAAGTGACCTCCAAGTACCACGAGATAGAAGGACTCCACTAAAGCCCATACCACTGCCACCCCCAGTGATCACGGCGACAACACCCTTGACATCAAAAAGGCTCGTTACAGAGCTAGTAGCGTCCATGGTGTAATTAGCTGACAAGAGATTCAATTAGCTACATGTACAAAGACTGTACTTCGCAAGAGGATATTGATCCAGTATATAAACCTAGGGCTTCAATGACAAAAATTCGTATTTCGGGAACTGGATTTGACAGTAGAAGTTGCATTAGGTTAAAGTGCGGGCAGCGGCCGGAAACCCATGCCAAATTCAGCTGTACCCCAACTATGGCGAATTTACTCATCAAGGGCCTATTTTCTCAGGTGTTCATTCGCCAAATATTGGTAGGAAAGTCACATAAGAAGTTTTGGGACTTCCTGTAATACTTCCAGGTCTCGTTGCTGATACTTTTTTGAAGAGGCCTTGGGGAAGATTGACCCTTGGACTGGCTATCGAAGTAACGTAAATGATGAAAGTATACCCTTAGCTTAGCGCCTGAGAGTTTCAACTCATCAAAAAGATCCTCTATGCTAGACTTTCAGTCTCTTTCCTGTGCTTCTGGGAATCAATAATATAAAATGAATACTATAACGAAATCTAAAAGCCGATTATTTAACTAATCTTGACATGAAACAAAGAACCCAATACTAATATCACATATGAACATGTACTCAGAGAATAACATGAGTAGCAAAATTTGTACGTGTCCAGTACATCTGGTCCTCGCAAGTTACATTGCCAGGACCTATAACAGGGTATGAGAAGAGAACAGATCATCAAGACCTAGACCTTCTTGGCGGTGCTACGCCAGTCACGAGTGCTCGCGTACTTGCTCTTGGAACCGGTAGAGCCGGCCTTGAGCTTGACCGAGGGGGTGTTAATACCGCCCGTTGTCGCAAGACGCGAGATACCGCCAATGGTGCCGTTGTTCTGGGTGGCGAGAGACTGCGAGTCGAGATCGAAGCAGGTCTCTTTGTCGTTGCCCGTGCAGAATGCGTACAGCATCTTGGCCTCCATGTCGCAGAACAGTTCCTCGCCGGTGTGCGCGAAGTCAGGGCCCATCGAGGTGTCGGACTGGCACAGTCTCTTGGCCGAGTGCTGCTTCGCGTCACTGATGACGATCTCCGAGTCAGCCCACTGAGGACGGCGACGGGGCTGGCGGACACGGAGCTTGTTGCTGCGCTTCTTCTGGACGTAGTGGGTGATGGAGTTGGGATCTTCCTCATCACGGAGGCCGAAGTCGATGTCGTTGCACAGACGGGACGGGTCGGTGTCGTCTTCACTGAACTCGTCCTTGGAGAATGCCGGCCAGCGGACCTGGAAGCCCGTCTGGGGCTGGTCGCCGTCCTTGTCGATCCAGAAGCACTTGGGTTGGTACTCCTCATCAGCGTTGGGGTACATGTGGCTCTCGAACCAGGTGCCACCGCAGGCCTCGCCGTAGTCGCCGGACACGGCGTACTGGTTACCGCCGCGGTCGTCGCTCCAGGTGGTCGTCACCCACGCCACACAGATGGCGTCGTTGTTGGCCGAGAACAGCGAGTACACGCCCTGGTTCTCGTGGTCCACCTTGATCTCGCCCAGGTTGCCGTTGCTCACGGTACCGGGGTCGGCGGTCATGCCGACGAAGCTGCCGACGTCGTTCCAGACGCGACTGGAGACATATTAGCAAGACGTGTTCTGCCCTGTGGAAAGGGGGAAGGTGAAAGGGGGATCATACACGTCGGGCAGATCACCACCAGCATCGGTGGGTCCGTTGGGACCGTCCAAAGCAACGGCGACCTTGAAGGTCGATCCGGAGGTCTCACCGGAACCGAAGTTGTCCGAGGCGAAAGAGACGATGGTCAGGATACCGGAGATAACTCCGATGGCGTCGACGAAAGACATGATGCCAAATGCAGTTGAATTGGATAATCAAATTTATGAATAAACAATTGAACAAAAGAATGAATGAGAGAATGGGCTCCTCGCTAGGAGAGCTCTGAAAGAGTGAATGAAGAATGAATGAATGACTGATCTGCTTTGGTCTGGGGATAGAAAGGTCCTGGATATCAGGAGATCTGGCTGGGTTTATATGCCCGAGACGACGAGCACCTGTGTTCCTGAATCCCTCTCGTCTAACCTTCATTCCCTCAGGATTTCGTATTTCTCGTCTGCTCAGCATCGGATTCCGGTTCAATCTGTTCTCCGTTTACCCTTGTAATCGGCCCCCGAATTCATCCACGTCATGCTGTCAAGAATGGGAGGCATCTGGACCTCGAGCCTTGTCAGGAGACACTGACTGCGCCTGACTGTGTAGCCCGGGTTTTACGATTCATAGTTCAGCTTGGGGGCTTGGCCGACTGACGAAGGATGCCATTTGTGGGCCTCTCTTCACTGTCCGCTATCAGGTATATGACAGAAGCGTCAGAAGTACTGGTTCGGCCCCCAAATTAAGCATTCGACATTGGATCTAGAGGATATTAATGCTGTATGCATAGTCGCATGCTCGAACGGACCGGGGATGATCGTTTAGGATGCGAGCGTTTGCGATACAATACGGAGAACAGGGCGCTGTGTTGGCACTGTCGGGTTTAATTAACTTCAAACGCAAGGCCCTGTGCATATTCCAGAATTAGTTTGTGAAAGACACCATTTCGTTCCTTTTGCGCCCAGTCCTCTGGCTAGGTAGATGAATGATGGATTGATCGGCGATACGAAGGAATTGTCACGCTCTCAGGATTCCCAAGATTTCCGATGCTCTGGGCAAAGGTCAGCAATTGATAGCATTCGGAGATATCCCGAGCCGATCAAGTTGAAATATACGGAGTATGCTCAACCTTCCCCATAGTTTCTCGTATTCCACCTTCACCTCCATCCTCCTACTCCATACTCTGTACTATAGACCAGAATGGAGTGCTGTGGACAACGGACCCGGTTCTCCGGGCCCCGAGCAACCATGGAGTGGGTAGTTCTGGGGCATGATGGGTGACACTAACATACCTGATATGATCCTTCGACAGCCACGATCAGGAGAGACGCCAGGGAAACTAGTGACGTTTCGGATCGGAGCGTTTTGACCTACACTCACCTTCCTGATTGGGGGGACAAACTAGGACCATTGCAGAAGGGTGAATCCGTTCCTGGCAGACGCAGCAGGGACTGGAACCCAAGCGATGCAACGTTTGATGTCAGCCAAGGGCGTCCATGGTCGATCCTTTCCGGCCGGGGATGCTGGTGGGGGCCGCCTTTCAAGCCACCCGGTGCCTTCCGCCGCCAAGACTTTCCGCCACGTCTCCGCCCCCAATAGTTCAGACACCTATTGCCTGGACAGGGGTTGCCGTGGTTTCTAACGGGTTGAGGTCATGGCTGTGCCCAACGGTGGTGTCACGAAATGCTGTCACTGCCTGAGTTCCATACCGAGCCTTGCTACCTTAACACAGACATGATATGAAGCGAATTTCCGTCTAATAACCCAGCACTTTTCTTTCCCTTTGTTTTCTTTTTTTCTTTTTGCGACTTTTTATTTCTCTCCTGTTTTTAGATCCTCTTCTCTTTCTCTTCAAAATTCACTCATTACCAACTCTTATCATATCTTTCGTCAAGATGGTGCACCTTACTCCCGCAACCAGTCTCGCGCTGCTCTCTCTCTTGCTCCCCTCTGCCCTGGCAGCGGACAAACTCAGCAACAGCATTGTCGGCTGCAACGATGTTTCCTGTCCCAAAGACGGTGCCGACGACCGCTGCACCGTTGACGATCACACCTTCCTCGGTGTCGGGCTGGCCCGGATCACCGATGCCCCGTCCTCCCTCGAGGGCATCTCGCTCGTGAAGGGCGTTAACGTCTCCTCCGGCGGTGCTGGCAGCGACAACGACAAGCCCACTCGTCCCTTCACCTCCGTCTATTACCTGGGCACGCCGTCAGACGTCAAGACGGACAAGTTGTCCGGATGCGCCGTTATCTTCAACGATCCGCCATCGAGCAAGTTCGACGGCGTCGATCTGGAGGGAAACACGCGCAACAAGACCGATACTCGTGCCTCGTACGGCACCTGCCCGGATGTCGTTGACCAGAAATGTATCGACGCGCTGACCAAGCGGGCCAGCGAGGTCGCGGACGATGCGGACAGCAACCCGTGCTCTGCGCTCGAGCGTGAGCTCAAGAAAGACAACATTGACGATTGCAAGAACCTGGGCGGTGCTGACAATGGCTTCGGTAACTTCACCGTTACTTCCTTCGGTGATCTCAAAACCGTCAGCAACTCCTCGGCCTCCTGCTGGCCTATCACTCCCAAGTCGGATGGTCTGGCTGAGATTGCGGTTGAGACCTCTCACGTATGTTTTTTCTAGATTTGCCTTCCCTCACTACAAACTACTAACAGGGCATATAGTCAAACTACACCTCCGAAGCGCTCATCGACGAGGCCTACAAGATCACGCCCGTCCTGACCGTCTTCGTGTCGGGCAAAGACAGCGCCGTCGACAAGACCTCGTCCCAGCTAACCTGTCTCAAAGTCGTGACAAAGGAAAACGCCAGTGAGGCCGACTCCGGATCATCCAGCTCTGCCCCTGCGCTGGAAATCAGCAGCGGAGTGCGCACTGCAGGGATGGCTGTTTTGCTGGGGGCTGTGCTCGCGGCCCTATAAAGATTAGGCCTGTGAAAACAGCCATGGCGCAATAAGGGGACATGGATGGGAGGGTAGTCAGGCTTTTCTTTCGCTCGCTTTTCCCTCTTCTTTTCTTGCTTTATTTTGTTTTCTTTTTTACTGTGTACCTGCATGGGTACCCTAGCTAGTTTTCGAATATTGATTATTAAGCCACATTCATAGACATGCGAGGTATTTTAGGACCTATCCATTCCCCCACTACTGCGTCATATACCACTTGACAAGGATAAACGCGATTTCTTCGTCCATCGAGCGCGCCCGACTCATGTACCCCATGCGCCACAATCTCACAGCGCAGCCTTATTGAGCGTTGATCACAATTCAGGATTTGGACCCCAGCTAGCTGTGAAACCGCCAAGACCGGCGAGTGAAATTGCGGTGTCTTTTAGGAAATGCCAAGAGGTAACTCTCCGATTCGCTTTCCTTATTGGGCTGAGAGATTAATCTCTCCGGTTAGAACGAATCGCTCGTATGAAGTAAGTCTGGTTTATGGTGACATCGTCGTGTTGGAGGGCGAAGCTTATCTTTGCTTGTAAGTATGTATGTATGTCAGATCAGGAAAATAGATATCTTTGTTGCTTTGAGGCTTGGGGTGGTGGAAATGATGCCATGGATTTCGTCTCTATTTTTGTTCATTCATTGCAAGGGCTTCAAGGGTCTGTGTCTAAGCGAGTCACAGCCTCGCGGACATGCTTCCTCGATGCGACCCTACTCCGCTGTACAGTAAACATGCCACCGGGCTGATTCATGCATTAAACTTAGACCCGGGGATCAAAGACCGAATATTGAGACCCAATGAATACATTTTCAATGTTGGTAGTCAAGAGCTCTTACCTAAATATAAACACCTTACAAGGTCTATCGAATAGCAAGTGCGGTTCAAAGTCTCCGGGCACTGCTTTCGGTTCTGCGCATATCATATGATCCAACTCGTCGGGGCCTAAGTTAACCTGGAAGCAAATCAATGGTAACCAAAAACAGCATTTCCTAAGAAGATGCCCGAGAGCAGCTACATCTTCGATTGATCTGTTAGTTCAAGTTGTCATTTTGATGGTTTCATGTTTTTATGTAGTTGGAACCGGAATACACGGAGAACTGTTGTAAAATATATACCCGCACGATGTAATTATTGACAACGTGACCTGTCACGCCCTAACTACCCCTGCATTGTCTGCTTCTTTTAATGACTGTCTGCAAGTTGTACCCGTAGAAGCGTCTTATTCTAACATCAATTTAGCTTCTCGTAGTTATATTCTGCGTATACTGGAGTCTCTCCAAACCCTTTTCAGTCTACATTGCACCTTACCCGGAGAGGACTGTGGAGACAGCGCCAGCCCGGTACCCCGTAGGACAATCCTAACCGAAATGAGGCACCCCCCTAGCGCCAAAACGTCCAGTTGGGCCAATTGCGTAGCCCATTTACTCCACGATTTCGGGTAATTGGAGATCGGAGCCGAGAATTCTGCGGAGTCGTATACGGAGTACTCGGCGATACGCCCCTTGTCCGACGGATATGAAGATTCTCGAACGCGACTAGTCGATCATTATGAATTGCGATCAACTTCTGGCCATGAATTGTCAGATCCTGCTGCGGTCGATCTCGGTCAATTACCGAGTGTTGTTGGTACAAGGAAGTGTTTTAATCAAGGGAGACTGCCACCTGTGGACTCAGGATCGGGGGTTCATACGGTGTGGATATGGCAGCGTCTAGCAATGGCACAGTATATTATTGATAGGAATCAGGAAAAACCGTATAGCAGAAACATGCTATCAGAGAATCAAACCTCGCATCTTAGAAATCAAGCGATGTGGCTTACGTAGAAAAAGGTGGGGCAGGAACTTGAAATAAATTACCAACTGGTTTGTTAGAGCACCAGGATGCGGGCCACTTTCAAGTATAACATTGCCAAGAAGTCTAGATTAAAGCGCTTTTAAGACAAGCCCGGTCATTCTGAAGCCAAGAGTGAGGCTGATTCTTTGGTGCCAAGATGCTGATCACGAATTCGATATGAATTGCTCGGGAGAATTAGTGTCCTAGTAGTCACGGCTACTTGAAGATGTGTCGTGTATTTTTTGGACTATTCTAGCTTCGAGTGACAAAATTATTGGAAGGATGTTGGAAGGAAAAATGCTCTTGAAATGGCCCCAAGGAATAACCCATAGTCTTAACTCCGCTGATTGCGGGGATTTTATGCATTTATGCTTAGCATGGGTCCTCAACTTCCGGGATTTCCGCGTTGATTTTTTTCTGTCCATGATCGAGGTGTAATAAATGAAACTTATACCGTCGGGATTTTTCAAACCTCTTAACATAAATAGAAGAAGTAAACTTTACGATTGAAAGACAAAAATTAGAAAGTTCGGTGGAAGCGGGAATATATTCCATAATATTGATGTTTTAGTGAGAAGGGCTCGATAAAACCGGTTCTATTTGCTGTAATTGCTTCTCCGATTTCCCCTCTAGAGGGAAGACATACAAAACCAAACTATCCTTAATCCACCACGTGAAGGCATGGAACTGTCCAGTTTTGATTGTCAGAATCAGCATTTAACTCTTGCTAAGAGGCTAGCGAAGGGGGAAAATGCAAGTATTCGTGAAATAGTCCCTCATGAAGACACACAATAATACATTCGTCTAATTCTCTTCCAGAGAGTACTTTACTACGAGAGTCGAGACGACCTCATGAGAATACCAAAACCACCAAGAAGTGCGGAGACCCCAGTGAAAGCGATCAAGGGACCGTAACCGGACCCGTATGCCTTCGCAGCCACGCCTTTCCAGGCATTGTTCTTGAGCAAAGCTTCACTAAGCGGACCGCTGATGACGTTACCAATGCCCCTACCAGTGGACAAGAACCCAAATACGATGCTTGGATCAGCGTAGACACTCTTCTTTCGGACTTCGTTGACGATGGCTGGCCACGTGGAAGTAAATGACCCTGCAAAGAGACCGTAGAAGATACAGAAGATGTAGAGAGGCGCCATAGAGTCGGCGAATCCCCATATTAAGAATACTGCAATGGTGCTTCCAATAGTGGAGGCGAGGATGCAGGTGGTAGCATGGAAACGATCTACCATGGAACCCATGATAACGCAGCCAAATACAGAAGCAAGATTGAACAGTATAACCGTCAAAGCAGCTTGAATGCCACCTGCCCCCAAGCTGCGAGCATAGGTCGGAAGATAGATAGTTGGGAGAAAGTACCCCATGGCTTCAAGGATGTTTCCAGTCTCGTAGACCACGAAGGTCGAGTTCCACAAGAAACAGAAATCCAATGGTCGAGAACGAGAGGTCCGGGAAATAGGGAGTCGAGGTCGAACAAAGTAGAGAAGCGGGCCACCCATCACGAGAAGAGTAATGGACCAAGCTCGGAGAGCTGTTTGATGGCCGAAGCTGTCCAATAGCCACTGCAGCACGAGTGGAAGAATGACACCGGATAATCCAGTTCCAGCCTAGAGAGCACATTAACATTAATATGATTGGGAGGAAGTAGGAGAATGGGTACTTGTACGTACCCACATAACACCGAAGGCAAGTCCCTTCCTTTGCACAAACCAGTCATCCATAAAGACAATAGTAGGCGCATAGGCCAGGCTTGCACCGATTCCATACGCCACGCCCTGAGAAACAATGAGATGTGTCGTATTGCTGGCGAAGGAGCTCAGCGCTAGGGCGAGACACATGATAAGGAAACCCAGTGGGGCAGCCCACAGCTTAAGACGGGGAACTGCCTGAAGCAAAATAAAGGCGACGGGCATGAGCATGTAGGAAATACCCTTGCAAACCCATTAACTAAATGCGCGCATATATCTTCTGTAGAAATCTCACCATTGCGCAAGTGCCGACCATGGCAATGTCACCGGAGCTCTTGAAGGGCTCATGGGTGCTGTAGTAATCCTGGAAAATTCCATAAGAGAACGTGAATCCTATATGAATCTAGTTAGCCAGGGGCTCGAGTCATGGCGAATGATGCACTTACCCCAAATCAAAGCTTCTATCATGAAGCATGCCGTAAGGAAACCCCATGCGCCGCGCCCTCTGTCGACTGGAGGCAAGTTGTCTTCGTGCAGCTCGGCATTGCTGCCTTGCAAGGAAACTTCAATTTGTTCCATGGAGACAAAGTTATTATCCAGCGTATTAGAGCCAGGAAACCACGAGAAGGGCGAAAGAGGATGGCTTTAAGCGGTTTATCTCATGAAAGGGGCAAGCTTTTCCGCCTCCGCCCTTCAGTTGACATGGCGGGGCAAATGTGGAGTCGCTCTAGCGCCATTGTCCCCGCTGGCGGCTTTTATCCAACTTTTTAAGTCCTTTTCAATAATGTTTATCCTCGTCCAAACTCGCTTTATCTACTCTTTAATGTTTCTTGAAGTTTTTTATAGCTGATACGGGGATCATTTCGACGAAGAATTTGTATATTGCGGGTCTTGCTTCAGAAAATCAACAGAGACAAGATATGGATTGACGCCAATGAAAATTATAACGCAGTCGACCTTGGTAGAGGTGCTTAGTTTTTGATAGGGAAAGCGCCCTCCATATAACTAGACGATATCCTCATCCAGTTCTTCCCATTGTCCTCTAGATCTAGTTTGTACATAGTTTTCTGGCATTGTATGTATGTAGTTGACAGGCACCAAGGTATATATCGCGAAGGAGGCCGGCATCTAGTCAAACGATCTCAAGATCAGCTCCACATCTCATTGCGAGAAACATCAAATCTAAAACAATTACGCAGGAAAATCTTAATACAACGCCCGGCTACTCGAGAGTACCTCAACTTTTGGGGGTAGGGGACCTGATGCCCGTTTCCTAAGGCAGCAGATATCCAGTCACGTGGATCTGACCCGTCATATGAGTGGGGCTGTTGGGCTGGTCGCTTCCCCCTTCGATGCTAGTTTCTCTCGAACTTGTCATTCTCTCAACCGCGTAAGCGAGTCGGCCACCTTGGCCGGCTTGGCGGGCCAGCGTATAAACCTACATGATTCTTACACCAAAAATGAAGCTTTTCATATCTAAATTAAACTGTTTAGAAGCCTGGAGTTAGATAGTTGGATTCAGGCATCTTGTACGTATATGTCCAACAATATGACACCGATTACACCGCGGCGGCGCCCGCCGACGTAGCTAACTATCTAGAGGTCCTGTATCACCAGCTGCTTCCTCCGCAGCCTGCGCGTTAGCGAAGGCCTCACGGGCTTCCTGGATTGTGAATCCATCCAGACCATGCATCTGGTGTTGATTGCGCTGTTGCTTTCTTTTTCGTCGTTCAACAGTCTCACGAAGTTGAAGGTTTTCATGCTCTAAGAGAGCCGCCCGATTCAAGGCTATCTCTGCTCCCTTAAATATGTATGATAACGCAGTTTGCATGGGTGAAGCCGGAGAATCTGCTTGTTGAAGTAACTGAAAGATTGTTGACTCATGTTTCTTGAATTGCTTCAAATTCAAAAGCATCTTTGTAATAGTTGAAGTAGTTCTTTGGCTGTTTGGCCGGCTCTCCTCTCTGTAGAAGATGAGGTTATCCAGAACCTTTGTCGGGTCAAAAGGAACAATTCCGGAGGCTTTGAAAGCACTCTGGATATTGGCCTTCTTAAAGGCTTGGATGTGGGCTTCTGGATAGATATCAAGAAAGTTAACTTTATCGATATGATAATATCCTGTTCGTACAAGCCTTTCAATAAGATTGCTGTAGGCGCTTTTTAATGGTGAAAAGCAGACTATATCCAACGGTTGACAGAGATGAGAGGAATTGGCTGGCATGCAGATCGGTATAATATCATATTGACGACATATATCATCAAATTGAGGTATTAAATGGGAATCATGTCCGTCAAGGACTAAGAGGCTATATTGGCCTGTTCTCCGGTTCTTAGTATAAGGAATAAAGTGTTCCTTGAGCCAGTGTTTACCGCTATTCAATGAAAGAGCAAGAGTGGACGCCTTGGATGGAAGCATGTGGAGGTCAATTCTGTGACGGTCTACAAAGGAGCTTGGTATAAGACAAGTTTGTTTATGACTCGTAGTCAAGGAATTTTCCCATGGGGAAGAAAGGCTATCTAGAAGGGAGGATGTAGAGGCTCTATATACTGCCCGAGGCTTCGCCTCAGGCAGGAATGCCTGCAGAGCATCCAGGAAGGTTCCTGGATGCCTACCGGAGGGTCCCTAGATCCTATACTAACTAACCGGAACGTTCCTCCCGAACGTTCCTCCGCACCGAGAAGTTCCCTGGCTTCAGGATGTCACAAATTCCACCAACACTAATAATCTAGAGGATCTGGTTATGCAGATCCAAAGAAAATAGTAGAATATAGCAAATGTTCATTTGTTTCTAGTACGTACGACCACAGGGTGTGGAGAACAGGGCTTCCCGTCCGCTCAGCCGTACTTAAACCACACGCCGGCAGGTTAGTAGTTGGGTGGGTGACCACCAACGAATCCCTGCTGTTGTACGTTTTTTTTGTTTTTGTTTATTTCTATGCTTTAGGGCAATTCACTTCTTTCGTAGTTGATACGAATCCATGGGATTACGTGATTTAGCGGCTTGGCCCGCACACTCGAACCCCTGAGGAACTTCCCCCTTGATCTATCAATAGAAGAGAAGAAGAGATCAATCGTCATGCAAGAGAATTAAGAGCCCTATCATTCAGAAAGCATTCACTCCTTAGTAGGCTACGTGCGTATAGCCGATACAGTGTCATTCTGCCCTTCTTCCCCTGTGCATTTCATAACAGTAGTCATAAGCATTGTAAGTGCTCGCCCTTTTTGGTCGACCCCTTGCTAATCGATCAAGCGGTTCTTTTACGGAATTCGTGGTCGGAGTTTAGCGGTGACTTCGGCAAAACCGTTCAACGAATTAAGAGACTGTCGGCGACCATCGAAAGTGAGGTAGAACTGCGGAGAATGCGAGTCGACAATGAAAAATATCATGAGGTCCTCAACTTAATGGCGAACTTCCACACCCAGCGATCAGAGCCAACAACTACGATCAGGAATTATATTCCCTTCTCGGAATCGCAACGCTTCTGGGGGTGTGAGGATATTCTCTCTCAAGTGGACGCGACCTTCTCGGCCGACAAACAGAGTGGTTCTCTGCGCTCCTTTGCGTTGTACGGAATGGGCGGCGTTGGTAAAACCCAGATCGCACTGCGATATGCCAACTCCTCCCGTGAGAAGTTTGATGCCGTTTTTTGGGTCGCAGCGGATAATTTGATTATCATCGGACAAAGCTTTCGTGAAATCGCGAGGTCTCTTAGTCTCATCCAGTCTGATCAAGAAACTGACGATAATGCTGTCATGCTGGAGGTCAAATCCTGGTTGTCTTCTACAAGTAAGTGCTTGCACAGGGAAGAAACCTTCATGGACAGTCGGTTGTGATGCTAGCTCGGTGTTTAGAGAGTCGCTGGCTTCTAGTTTTTGATAATGCAGACGACTTGAGTGTGATCAAACAGTCTTGGCCAAGTGGCGCGAATGGTTCCATACTATTGACAAGTCGCGACTCTACTGCAGCTTTCAGTGTAGCTTCAGATGGTTGTCACGTCACACCGTTTGACACCGCTTCAGGCTCGGAGGCTTTGTTAAATTTTGTTGGTCTTGACACTAGTTTGGCTTCTAACCTAGAGACAGCCGTCATGATTACCTCGGTCTTGGGAGGGTTGCCTTTGGCTCTTACCTAAATTGGTGGATTCATACTTCAACGATGAATTCCATTAAAAGACTTTCTGGCCCTGTATAATCGAAACTCAGCCGGGGTGGATGCCAGGGGTACAACCAACATGAATTACAATCATACTCTGGCTACTGTCTGCGAAATGTCCCTGAGCAGACTCTCTGGAGATGCAAAGGTGCTTTTAAGGATCCTCGCTTTCACGGACCCAGACTGCGTCCAGGAGTCGCTCTTGACAGATGGAATCCTTCATGTGGCTAGTCCTCTGCTAAATTTTGCCCGCGACGAGATTGAGTAAGCTCATGATGTGTAACTAATGCCCATGTTTCCGTTTATCAAGGGATGACTAATATCGTTTCAGTCTTTTGGACGCCGAAGAGGTTCTACTCCAGGGCGCTCTCATAGATAAAAACAACGACAGTGGTATCATGTCTATTCGTCGACTCATTCAAACTGCTGTGATACGCCGAATGAGTGCCAAAGAACGGCGGGAAATATTTTCGATCCTCGTGGAAATACTTTTGGTAAATTTCCCAGATAGATACAGTGCCGACGTTGGGCACCAGGTTAGTTCGTGTGTTTCGTGCGAAAAAAGCCTACCGCACTTGCAAAGCCTCGTAAAACAGAAAAATGCGTATAAGATCTTCCCTAAGGATAATCAATCCTTTGCTGAGTTGCTTATACGATGCTTTTGGTGAGTATATAAGCGTTTTTGAGATCTGATACAATACTAATCTTTGAAGGTACCTGTACGAAAGAGAAAATTATAGCGTGTCGCCCAGTCTTATGTGAAGATTTCCCTGGGAATGTTCTCGGATCGAAGGTCGCTCCCATACGCTAGTGCAGTTGATTTTCAAGGTTTCATCCACCTTGGTATACGCCAACCAAAGGTGGCCCTGGAAGCCTTTGAGGAAACATACAAGCTCCGTGCAGATATCCTCGAGAGCAAAGACGTTTTTCTTGCTGCCAGCCTAGTAAAAGTTGGCCTTGATTTTACCGAAATTGGTCGGTTACCAGAAGCACATGAAAAGCTGCAGCGGTTGATCGATATACGCTTAGAGCACAATAGCGATCGCATTGGTAACTCATACAGCAATATGTCAAGTCTGTTGCTTCGCATGGGCAAGGCAGAAGAGGCTGAAGTGATACTCAAAAGATGTCCTTCATTGAAAGACTTCACCGATGAGACTTTTCTCAAAACCGGTAACCCCCAGTTCTCTGGGTAAGGAAGCTGCAGGATAGCATTGATATCATAGGACCACGTACTGACTTTTTGCAGAGATATGGTCCTTCTAGCCAGGGTTAGATTAGCTCAAGGACTACATGACGGAGCCCTCAGGTTCGCTTCGAAATCGTTGGGCTTCCGACGGCAATGCTTAGGTGAACGTCTGAAAGTTTGCGATTCGCTTTACCAAGTGGCTACTTTGCTTGAACGAGGAGATAACACCGCCCTAGCTATGTAATTACCCTCCCTAACACTGGGCGTGTGAGGTACTGTCGCTAATTAACTTCAGCCAACTCTACGAGGAATGTGTCAAGATATCGGAAGCTCTCCTGCCAATTGAGGGCCTGCGTCATCTTGCTCGTGCAAAGTACAGATTATCTACTGTTCTAGAGAAGGTCGGTAGGCGTAAGGAAGGCGAGCAATATTTAGAGGATGAACAAGCACTAAAAGTGGGGATATTGAAGGGAGATATCCGTGGCCCCGATACCGAGCCGGGCTTCGAGGATCTTGTCCCATGGATGCTTTGGTAGATAATTTCCCGGGAAACAGCGACACGGAAGCGAATTGTATCGATGAATTTTCGAGCTATCGAGATCTGGATGGCCTTCATAGCTGTGAATGATTTTATACAAACACAACATGACCACAGAATGCGTGACAACTTGCATAGTGCCAAAAATTACCCCAGGTGGCGGGCATGCCGCGCACGTTTACAAAATTTGATAGGATGTCAGAGTAAGCGGAGGGTATCTCCTGTCAGATTTTGGCGATCTTTCAGCCTCGTGTGAAAGTTTCTAATTCGGGAAAAGCTCCTGATGTGATCTTTTAGCTATGTCGACACGCTTACCGCCAACCTGGAGGAAGCGCCGAATACAGGTTTAGTAGTTGAGTTAGCCGCCGAGATGCCTATCAATTCCCGAGGAACCAAACCAAATTCTTGTCCTTGCGCCGGTGGCTGTTCTCTGCCGTGTATCTGAAATGCTATGGGATAGATAAGACAACATGACTACTTATATTATAGGAGCCAATTTTAGAGTCGGTGTCCAGGCGGGATATGTCTTTGCAATACCAAACTCCTCGCCACTCCTCAACATGACGAAACAGTTGCAAAAGATCACGTCTAACTATCGTGCCCGTTCGCATACAGAACCCCGATGACAAGTCTATGGGAATTCCCAATCCCCAGGAGACCGATACTCCCCTCCTTAATGGTCTAGGAAGCGACACCAAGATCCCTTTCCCTACATGGTACAGCGCCTGGCTGGCAGAGCAGTTCAGACAGGTGCCGAAATCATGTTTTGACATATTCCATATCAACCACGACGCCTGCGACGACAAAGCTCACTGGAAATCCTTTGTGGCTGCTTTTGCAACGATCGCTGAATGCATTTTACCATCCAACTCAGTGACTGTTGACGAGATCATCGCTCGTCTCTTTGACAAGGGTCATATGGCAGAGGACGTCCCCAGCGAAAGATCGCAAGACCACCTCCAATTAATCCGTTATTTTGTCTTCTGCGTACTAGGCTGGCAAACTATGCTAATTAAGCCCGTGCCCATAGAGTCGATATCCCAACCAATAACTCATCTAGCAATGGACGAGAGGGACGGCTGCTGCGAGTTTACTTACATGTCATTGCGACAGGACACGCGTGCTTGTGGGCGCGAGTCCCTTAGCGAGTTTTTGATGGGACATGGATTACTCCTTCTATCAAAGAATCTATGCTTGAATGACAATCAAGATGTTCAGCGCTTACTCCACCATGAGCTGGAGATCGACGTCAAAGCGTTCAACGCTTACAATCTGACATCCATAGCAGGCCTGCGCATCAAATGGGTTGACGCCCTAGCTTGCCATCTAGAGTTCAATTCAAGCAGAAAAGAGATCTCGCTGTTTCGATTTCCTTCATTCTGTGAACTCTCTCTATCAGCACATGAATCAACAGGCCAGGGAGCTATACACTCCTGCGCAACGACCAGTATGCTGCGCTGCCAATGGGCAACGGAGCAGGAGATTAACCATTTCTTGATCGAGGTTTTATCTTCCTATGGACTTCTGTTCGGACAAACGAAAAGATCGCGATCGCTTTTTTGCGCCTTAGACCCCTTCGCTCGAACTCCAAAGCCGAACCGGGACCCACTACTGCATAAATTGTGCAATATGAGGTCTTTTCCCGCTGCAGGAATACCAGAGAAAGAGACATATCATTTACCGCATTATTTTCCTATTCTCAGATATCGCATTGTTATCTTGCAGCGATACCTGACGACTTCGTCCCCTAGAACCTGGGTTCAGCTTTGGCGCGATAATCGAAATTCAGCGAACTGGCTTACTTTCTGGGCGGTTATATTTTTCGGGGCATTTGGATCACTCATGGCCCTTCTCCAAGTATTTTTACACCTTGTTCAAACGATTCAGGATGATTGAATATTGGAACTACCTGAGGTTTTAGTGTAACAGACTGTTGAACGGGTGCTTTTAGTCTCTCACGTCTACTTGGAGATGGATTGGAACCAAAGAAAAACGGACCGAATTGATGTCAAAGTATCCCCCTCTCAGCCCAACTCTGAATTACACCGCGCGCTGTGGGCTCATATTCCTTGATTGTTACAATGCCCCCGTCTAGGAAAGTATTCGCTTGACAGAATGCAAGAGGAGGATCCTTCCTGGAGATAACAACATCCCTCCATTTCAACGCCTCCTCGTCAACGTTGGAAAGGTCCTCGTACAAGGCTCGACAATTCTTGATGTCTGCAGTGCAGCGATAGACATGCAGACTCATGAGCATTCGGCCCAAAGACGGCTTACCCTTTCGAATGACGTTCGACCCGTCTATTTTAACTGTCAATTTCTTTCTCCCAGTGTCACATACGACTGTGAACAACCCGTCGCTATCTCGGAGGAGGTGTCGGAAGATTGCATAATGAGCCTATTAGGAGGTCAGAGAATTGGAAGAATGCAGTCAAAACGGAACCTACTCGACTGTGTGCCTGGCCCCATTTCTTTGACATGTTAGCCAGTTCTATCATACGTCTCAATCTTTCAACATACCTTGGTGATGGGATCATAGTTTTCCAGGCCTCGGAGTCCGTCCACTCCTAGCTGCAAATACATGTTGTAGATGACTGTCGTTAATTTATATATTAGACCCTGTTTTCACGAATGAAGAGTTTACATACCATTATCAGGCTTGACCTCACTGTTTGCCGTATACCCGAAGACCTCCAGAATCTCAGGCTCATCCATCAAGTAGGCCCCCACAAGCTCTGCTCTACATTCATCGACGGTAGTTGAAAGATCCTGGAATACCCCGGTCCATGTTTGGCCGGGACGATACCAACAACCGACAGGCTGCTGTGTAAGAGGATTGAGTGGCGGATTGTTGGGATCAAAATTGAAATTGCCTGCTGGGTCCTCTGTGAGAAAGCGACCCGTACCATGTCCGAGTATCTCATGCAGCACGACCCAGATATAGTAGGAATGAAATCGATGATTCTTGAACGTGTCTTGCTCGGACTCGTCTACCATATGCAGCCCTCTGGCACGGACACGCTCTGCAACCATGCGGTTCGAGAAAATAATGTTCTTGTAACCGACCTTTTGGCGAATGTCATTGTACTAGAGAAGATTAGCAGTTGATGTAATGGCACAAGAACCAACTCACGTTCGGAAGATTTATTCCGGGGAAGATGATAGGGAAGATGATACTGGAATTATAAGCAAGGCCTTGTATTGTTAGCTTGATCATGCATGGTAGTGTTGTCACCTTACTCTGAATGCTGGAAAAGTCGGGAGGTTCAAAGAGATCTTTCTCAAAAGCACCCTTCCTTTCGTTCTGGTCTACCCAAGGCAGTTTGTAGACGAATGCGTCGGCCTTACTTGCAAGTCCAGCAAGTATTCTTGTCTCTGCTGGGTCGGGAATCCCTACAATTCCTTCATACTCGGCACGCACTCCCAGTGGGTCTCTGTATGGCTCAACAAACCCAAGCACGGTCTCCACGGGTGGGGCTTTGTCCTTTACCCAGATTTCTTGGGCGTCTTTATATGTCTGTAGCTTACCAGATTCAAAACTCGCTATCAGAGCTTCCAGCATAGCTTGCTGTGCCTGATTCGATGCGAATTCTTTGGCTTGTTGAAGACAGTTACAAATTTGACTCAACTCGTCTCTGTGGTCACCTTTTACCAGTCTAATGCTCCGACCCACACTGGGGAGTAATTCACTCCCCTGCAAAGCATATCTGGCTTCTACAGTAGATGCCTGGAGAATATCATAGGCGAATTCATCTGTATCTCCGTTTCTTCTTAATCGTGTGTTCTCAGGCAGAATATCCGCGTCTTCCATGAATTTGGAGATAGCAGCGATATCGTCTGAAGATCCTAAGACGTCATCTCCCAGGTAGTATGTTGACTGGGTGAGCTTTCCAGGGGGGCCAAGGCTACTAGGCACTTTGGCCAGCATTGGGGCTTTGACCCTTGGTAACAGTTCGCTGGCGTACGGGGAGAAGGAAGCTAGCCTGTCAAGACAATCTGTCTTAATATCCGGTGTGAACTTTTGATCACCGGAGCCCTATCTGAATATTAGACAGTCAACTTCGCACCCGTCGAGCTCCACTCACAAAGTAGTTTCCAACGTTGGATAGAAACATTGCCGCATAATCGAGAAAGTTCTCCAACTCATGCGGCTGCACGGAGCCTCTCTCCGTTATCTGTTCCCAAACACCATCACAGTCTCGATGCAGAGCCATGATGAAATCGAATATATCATTGGCTTCGGGGGACACCTGCCGAAGGATGATTCTAGTACCACTCCATGCAGCCCTTCCCGCGAACGGTTAGCTGTCGATTCTCCAAGCGCGTGGGATCGGTCTCATGTCGTACTTGGCCATGTGATGGGCATACAGCTGATGCTGGCGGTCCAACCCGTGGAAGGCGGCCGCAACCGATAGTGTGTAGATCTGGGGTGCGGCCATGACTCAGTCAACTGATCCTTCCAACGCCCTGGTGTGAAAAAAATGAGGCTATTGCGATGCCTTTATCGTGATGTGATGTAATTAGCTCGGAGGCCGGGAACAACATTAGTCCGTCCGAGGCTCATATTTTGCAGAGGCCACAATCCTCTTCTAACACTGAAGCACTCAAGTATCTCTGTACTCTAGGCTACGTTTTAGATAGAGTATTACTTCATTCATTTTGCATTCTCCTTATGGCTTAGGCCTCGTACAGTTCGGACCGATCGAACTCTACCATTCCTCTGAGCTTAACCACTTCATATCGCTTCATCCCGGTGAAATGCCTCGCTCATGTGACCCGGCGAGGTAAACAACAGGGATTTCCAATCGTGAAAAAAGATAGATGACTCATGCTGCACTGATTGGTTGGAGATAAGGTCACGTGCAGATCTCCCAAACAGGAAATACCCGTATTTCTTTTGCCTTCCCCTCTTTCTCTCTCTTCCTCCCCAGTTCATCACTGCCATCAGCCCTTTCTATGTCAGGCTTTGATCGCCTGTCATGAGTGGTGGCCTCAATATCGCCTCGAACTCATGCTTTTTGCTACCTCGGCCCAGTAAACCCTTATGTTCGTGAACCAGCATCCCAGAACAATTGGCAACGCGACCATAGCCTGTAATCAACGTGTATCAATTCAACTGCGTCAAATCGGGCGGCGCAGGGACAGCTGCACACTTTGCTCTATCTAATCAGATGATAATACCAATACAGGACTCTGAATATTTCTCATCATTTGTGGAAATGATCAAACGGAGAAGATTCGCTCAAACAGGGGTCCAAGCCTGTGACAATATATCATCTTGAACAAAGGATATTCTGCTGGCAATGAAACCCCTTGGATTCCACGAAGAAAAGAAACCGATCAACATTATCGTTCACTCTTCCTGCCAATGGCAATCATTGTTTCATTGCAACCTGACGTTGGCTTGTGATGGCCAATGGCCACGGTGACCCTATGGGATAAGCTCCATTCAACACAGTTACAGTCTTTGTCAAATCCATCCCAGGAGACACCCCTCAATGATAGCTGTTCTATCACTCCCCCGTCTAGTCCAAATCTCCGAGGTCTGGAATGATAGAACCGACCACGCCCCCCCTCATTTACTCACTAAGGGTTGCATTCCAACCCCCGTTCGGGATGTGATGTCCTCCCCTGCAATGTGAGGATCAAGCTGTGATTGGGGGCACGGCTTATCAGGCGTGAGATCAGACTTCCGCCCAAGCTTGTTGGTCGGTTTCAAGTCACATTGCGCCTCCATTAATCTGGTCATCCTTCCGTCTAGTTGACAAAGGGGTCATCTTCCTGCCGTTAAGCCAACACAGTGTCACATGTTCCGTTGGACAAGATTTCTCTTGAAGTATAATCGCTTGGTACTAATCGTGGGAAATACATTTCTTCGTCGATTTCTCGATCGGGAAAATGCAGTTGAAGGCCAAATCCCCCCTCTTCCAAGACCGCGACCCCTGCTAGCGCCCATCCGGCTCATGTGGCTTGACCGGTAATCTCCTCACGCAATCTCCGTCGTTACATCGGTAGTTGGATTGACCCCAGGAACCAACATGCTGTCGGACCAGTCCGATTCGCTAGTGATCTGATTTTCTTCTTCACGGGAAACATCTAGCGCGAGGACTAACCTCTAGGACATGCAAAGCACATTGCATTTTGGCACATTTCCCCGATCTCCCCTGGGCGGTTACATACATACATACTTCTTTTGGATTGCCGATAGTAAATCAATGTTGCAGAGACATTGTATCTGTCGATGCGACATCCCATTTCAACTCTCCTCACCTCCACTGGTTTATTTTACCACTTGAAGCAATGGCCGACAGGCCCAAATAGGGTTCTCACATGGGTTTCCGACGGCCTATTCCCAGGTTTCACAGCATATTGACAGGAGGGTGGTGTCACCCGTGGGATCGGCACGACGAGATGGCGCATTACAGGCATCATGGTGGAATGGAACCCTGAAGTATACTGTGATTGTATCTGAAGTTATCCATGCTACCTGACCATGTGAGGTCGCCGTCGGGATCCTAAAACCCAGAGTTACAATGAACATACCCTGGCTCATCTCATGGACGAGGACATAAAAGGAGGCGTTTTTCTGCATCGGAATGCTGCTTTGTTTCTAAGACAGTCTCAAGCCACGATCACTTTACGACCGACTATCTTTCCTTGATCACCATGCGCTTCACTACTCGTGTTGTTTCTGCGCTTTCTCTCGGACTGGCATCTGCCTGGTTTGCGCAGTCTGCGGCTATTATCAAGCAGACGACTAGCAACATGGATCTGGAAGCTTCTCAGGCATCGGGGTACCGCTCCGTTGCATACTTCGTCAACTGGGTTCGTACACCAGACTCATAATTGCCTCCAGCTCTTCACTGACTGATACAGGCAATCTATGGCCGGGGTCATAACCCTCAAGATCTCCCGATCGATGAGCTCACTCATGTGCTTTATTCATTTGCTAATGTGCGCCCCGAGACCGGCGAGGTGTATCTCTCCGACACCTATGCCGACCTCGAGAAGCACTATCCGGATGACTCTTGGTCCGAAGATGGTAACAATGTCTACGGATGCGTCAAGCAAATGTATCTACAGAAGCAGAAGAACCGCAACCTCAAGGTTCTCCTATCGATCGGAGGATGGACTTACTCTCCGAACTTTGCGAAGCCTGCAAGTACTGAGGCTGGACGCAAAAAATTCGCCGACTCATCGGTGAAGCTGTTGCAAGACCTCGGATTTGACGGATTGGATATTGACTGGGAGGTAGGTGGTCATAATCTTCTACCTTTTTAAGAGACACTGAGACTAAACACATCTACGCCGGCAGTACCCTGAGAACGACGACCAGGCCAAAGATTTCGTTCTGCTTCTCAAAGCAGTGAGATCGGTATGTTACTATCCCTGATATCCGCTCGATCAAACTCAGCTGACCCGTCAGGCCCTGGATGCATATAGCAAGGAACATGCAGAGGGTCAGAAATTCCTTCTGACCGTGGCTTCTCCCGCAGGTTAGTCCACCTCCACAGTTCCCAGCTACACCTCTAGCTTCTCACTGACCTCCCTTCTCACACTTCCAGGCCCCCAAAACTACGAAAAACTGCACTTCTCCGAAATGAACGAACAGCTCGATTTCTGGAACCTGATGGCCTACGACTACGCGGGCAGTTTCTCCAACTTCACCGGCCACCAAGCGAACGGCTACAACGACACATCGAACCCCAAGAGCACACCCTTCAACACCGAGCAGGCCGTGAACGCCTACATCAAGGGCGGTGTTCCCGCCGATCGAATCGTTCTCGGCATGCCCATCTACGGTCGCGCATTCGCAGGCACAGAAGGCCTCGGCAAGACCTTTGACGGAGTCGGCGACGGAAGCTGGGAAAAGGGTATCTGGGACTACAAGGTGCTGCCGCAGGCCGGCGCAGAGGAACATGTCGACGAAGACCTCATCGCAAGCTACAGCTATGACTCTACCAAGAAGCTCCTGATCAGCTATGACACGCCCAAGGTGGCGAAGTTGAAGACCGAATATATCAAATCGAAGGGTCTGGGCGGTGGTATGTGGTGGGAGAGCAGTGGTGATAAATCTGGCAGTGATAGTTTGATCTCAACGGTATTTTATCCTTCCTTGTTTTCTGAATTCTTGACATGCTGACATAACGAATAGGTAGTAAATGCACTCGGCGGCGCCAGCGCGCTTGAAAAGGTCGAGAATGAACTGGACTATCCTGTTTCGGAATACGATAACCTGCGCAAGGGAATGGGTTCAGACTGAGTAATGGAGGGCTTTGGGATCTGGGAGACTACTCTGGAGTAGTCATTTGCCCTCGCGGGGCCGAGGAAGATCATTTTCAGTTCGCTTATTTATTTATCTGCCATGCACAGTTGTCATTTTTGTCTTCTATCTAATTCCAACTTATCTTTTTCCTCCAACAAACTGACGCGGAAAGAAATGAATAACCGTCTTCAAGGTAACTAACCAGGAGCGTGCAGTAAGACTCCCCCGAGGAAAACAGGGATGCCCATCCCTTGCAACTTGCCCAACCCAGCCAGCCCCAAATGGCTTGCCACTTCTGCACCAAAGTCTACGCCAGGCGCCAATCAGCACAGAAGCGAATATTCCTCTCACCGGTGGCGGACCACAAGATTTGTCTGCATTTGTGTTTGATCGACAAGTCATCCGCTTGGTTTTAGGGGTGGTTTGGCTCGGGTGATGGACGCCGGAAGTTAACCCCGTGCCAGAGATTGTTGGAACGAACATGTGGGACAAGTGTCTGACTATGAATATTGGTTCGTGATATATACATACAATATGTGCATATTATCATTGAACAACTTACTTGCGTAGAGTATATACGTTTCCTTTTACGGAGTATGACCCGCTCAGAATGTACCTAACTAGATGGGGTAAGGCCTCAGGCACACTGACCAATGGCGAGCAGATACTCCCCCGTCATTCCCCACTATGTACACTAGCCCGCTTGGTGCAATGGTAGCACGCCTCACTATTCTTAACCGTATTGTTACGGAGATCGGATGCCTACCGGAGGGTCCCTCGATCCTATACTAACTAACCAGAACGTTCCTCCGCACCGGGAAGTTCCCTGGTTTCAGGAGGTCACAGATATGGCCCCCAGCTTGACAACCATCACTTCCCCTATCAAAGCAGCTAACAGCTCAAGTTCCTCACATATCCGTATGATGGCTGAAGGCGCGTGCAACTTCGTATATGGGTCGGGGAAGTTGAAAACGAAGTGCATTTGTCAAAGAGGCCTTGTCCCTCAAGGTTGTGCTAATAACGAATATGCTAAGTGCGAAGAATGCGATCACATTATTAAAATTCACGAATCCGCCACAGGTCACCAGAACATCGCATCAAACCATGATCTAGGCCCACCCATCAGCAACACTATTCAGGAGCAAGGTTAGATTATATCTCTACAGTTTGCGTGCCATAGCTGAGATTTAACGACGATAGATTTTCCACCGGATCACCTCTGCCCTAGGCAGGACACAGTATCCAAACTCATCGATCTCATTGATTCATTCCCCATCATCCACGTCAGAGGAACTCCTGCTAGCGGGAAAACAGTATTGGCAATGCTACTTTGCGACGCTCTGAAAAAGCGGGGGAGACCTGTCCACCTTCTCGATGGCTGGGAGCGACCTCTCCAAAGTTTCGCAACTTCTCCATCAGACCCCTGGGGTGCATTCCGCAATATGCTCTTACAAGAATTTCCAGACGTCGCTATCTCATACAACCTCGGCAAAGAAAGTGTGCTCATTGTGGACGAGGCGCAGATGTCATACGGAGATATGATTTTCTGGAACAAAATCATCAAGGAACGAATGGATGATGGTTTGGGCTTCAAGATACGGATATGCCTCTTCTGTACCTATGGGAGTCCAAGGACCGCTGTGGAGCGCCAGGAATTTGGCTATACCCCTCGCAACTTTGGCCAAGCACAACGCGTTACACTCACCCCGCAGTTAGGCATCGACTCGCCACAAATTGGCCTTTTCTACACTAAGTCCGAGTTTAATGATGTTATATCCCGTATAATCCGATACAAGTTTATCGAGTCATTTACTCTTAATAACGATGCCAAACGCTATTTGTTTTCGCTTACGGCTGGGCAACCTGGGGGCTTAGAGTCGGTGATGTCCTACATCTACAAAGTATGTTTCATTATGTTTCCTACTTTAATAGTCGCTTGGGTCTAAGCCTGCTATAGATTGAGCTATATAGCTAATCTTGGTTTAGGAATATCGTCACGCCTTGAAGCATCGAGAGATATCTGTGATATCTGAACAGCATGTTGTCGATTGCATCGAACGTGATGAAAATTCCACTTTCCGCCATCTAATAGTTTGCTCTGTTGGTCGCTCTTTTGTCCCACGAGAAGCACTGGCCCCAGACGTTGCGCGTATACTTTCCAACATTGTAGCTGAACAAAGTATTCCATGGAATGGGGCACCAGCGTTACGGACATGTTATAGCAATGGTTGGATTTACAGGATGCTTACGAATGATGACTGCGAAGAAGTTGCCATTTTTCCATCACGCCTCCAGGCAAAGTAAGTATCTTTTATACCACATTCCTTGGTTTATGCTAAGTAAAACGTTAGATGGGTCGAACACATTATCGGGAATCAAAGGAGCCCCTTACCGCCGCGTTATACCAACTTACGTCAGCTATGCTTGGAGATTCTAATTCGGTTTTCAGTCATGAATCTCAAGCACTCCACCGAAGGCAAAAAATTGTCAAATGCAGCTCTACCTCGACCCGTCGAAGCACAGTACCAAGATGAGTTCTACAGGGTATCTTGCGATGTGGCAGGTAGGGGTGTGCCAATCTCTAGCGAGTGGTCAAGCACGAGCTCTAGTAGAGTCGATTTCTGGATACCTGAAAAGAAGTGGGCGATTGAGTTACTTAGAGACTACGATCGCGTGGAAGATCATCTTCGGCGATTTAGGAATGGAGGAAAATACTACGAATGGCTTGAGAACAGAGCGGTCGTTGATTATATCGTGATTAACTGTGCAACTACCCGGCCAACTCCTGCTCAAGGTTCGATTTTTATTGTTCCATCTTTCTTTATACTGCTAACAAATATTATAGCTAACCCCGATCCGAATCTCATACATGCTATTTTCGAAAACGACTACAAGGAAGTACAGATGTTCTGTCATGACGGGACACCCTTAGGATCTGCTATCCGTTTAACGAACTAAGAATATCCAATTTTTTCTGCCTAATTAATTCTGTAATGATAGCAGGAAGTTTGTTTTAACAGTTGCGTGGCGTTCTTCTTTCTCTTAATGCTTATTATGTTTGCTGTACCCTTAATATCTCTAGCAATAACCATATCCTTGACGTCCCGGTCGTTTCCTACCCGGCCAACACCATCCATACATACATAGGTAGAGTTCTCCAACCAGCTAGCAACCGCGCAGGTGACCGTGGGCGGCGAGTCCGGTAGCACAGAATCCGGTCAGCGTAGTGAATGACGAGGCGGCAAAGGCGGCCGTGGCGGACAGCCAAGACCGCAGGAGAAAGTAGGTCCGCACTTAGACAAATACAAGTGAAGTCACCGGTGAAATATATCCTTTTCTCCTTGCGTCTCAGTTGTCCTCATCCGTTCTCGTATTTATCCCTTTCTTGATTTGTCTAGGGCTGTCTCTCGTTCAGGGTTGTAATTTATGATAAAAGGCTTATGTTAGTTCTGCTCTGTTTTCATTGAAACACTGCTTGATCAACGAGCCAACACTCTCGTTGGACGACGAAAACAAAGGGAAATAGAAGGCCGGGAGGGAAAAAAAAACCATGGCGTATGGGAGTCCATATACCTTTGTTCAGAGAATTGGATGCGATTTCATACTTACTGTCTTACACACTCCGTGACAACTACTTTCAACAATTCACGCAATAAGTTATCTGGAGATAATCAATATAATTTAAAATATAAATACATAGACACTTCATAGAATGTCGTACATTGGAAGGTCAATTACAAGATAGAGAATAATTGTAACCAAACAGGTGTAGTTATATTTTGTTTTAAAACGGGCCTGAGTCAGCTGCATAAGGGCGCTGTACTAGGCTAAATTGGGAAAATTAAGCGAGATTTATGCTGGCATGGATAATTCATGGATATCACTTTCATGTCCATGGATATGGATATGCCGCAGTCTACCGGTAACCCATATCCCTATACCACCGAGCCGCAGCTTTGGATGGTAGCTAGGCCTCACCATAACCCGCGGGTTGACAAACAGAACAAACATGTAAGGTCTCGTGATCTGTATATTTTGTGCAATTTCAAGCTGTATTATTCGGTATTAAGTTTACATCTACAGCAATCTAGTAAGGTAAAACACCATAGTTATACTCTTATAGTATATAGAGTAGTACTGTAGAGATACAATAGATAATCGAATTAGATTCTCCTTATGAGATACAAATTTATCATTATCATAGCGGGGACGCTTTCTAATCCTTCCTGATATCCGCTGCTAAGTCTCCAGTAGAGGAAGATAATCATCATCTTCTTCTTGAGGTGTTGAAGTTTCTTGATTCTTATCTAAGTCAGATGCAGTACTCTTTTTTCTCTTGCCTCTTGAATATTCCGATGGAGCTGCTGTTGTCACGGACTGTGACCAGCCTCCGAAGACGTTCCTTCGTGATACCCTATGACCTAACTACCCGATCGAGACTAGCATCACAACCTAGCATAGTATCTTCGTTGAATGCATACCCTACATTCTCGCGATTCCTTATCGCCTGCGTAGCCGTTCGTCACACGCGGATGGCAGCAGCAGCCAGGGACTATCTAGCGATTCCTGCCCCTGAAGTTGCTGTTGAGAGAGTCTTTAGTACAGCGAAAGACGTGCTAAACATCCGGAGATATTCTTTGAAAGGAGATACCATAAGAATGCTGATATTGATTCGCGATGGGTATAAGTGGTAGCAGTCAAGGGATTTGATTAAATTATGCTATCGCGATAGTCCGGCACTAGAGTTTTAAATTGTTATCTAAATCTGTTGTTCGATAAAAGTCTGTCCGCTCTCTAGATAATTAATTCTAAAGAAAAAATGTACCGATGCCGATACGATATGACGATATCGTATCGTCAATATCGGTATATCGGCAATATCGTCAACAGCCCTAATACCCATCTTCCCTTCATCCAAACATTTGTCCCATTCGGATAAACGAAATTATGACCGGATGAGCCGACTAACTTAAACATCGTACGAGGTCCTTCGAGAGCGTATAGCATCATAAGCGGGTCCTAGGATACGATAGAACGGTTATAGCCACTAGAAAGACGTTTCACGTTAATATATCTTCGAGCAGAGGAGTAGTTACAGAGAAGGGGCCAGGCATACCTATACCACTCATATGCTGTCCTAACGGGATCGCTAGCATTTCCTTGAGTGGTGAACTTGGCTCCGGAAAAGACATCCCGGCCGAGCTCGGACCCCGAGAAGACTATCTTACTAGGCCAGTCGAGAACAACCTTTGCTGCTGCGCCTGGACTGCGACGGGAATTGTCCTCTAGGCCGCTAGGGTACTCTCCTCCCATGATGACAAGGTCATTGACTTTCTGACGAACGAGCTCATAACCCGTCATATTGGAAATTCTATCTCCAGGGGAATCAAGAAGATCAGCCAGCTGAAATCAGTTACCCTTGTTACTATTCTTCTCCTTCCTTCCAACCATACACAAAAATATAGTATAGAGTTAACATACATTGTCCAAGAGTCCAATACTGGCAATCTTCACCCCGTGAGGCTTTGCTCGAGCCAAAGACTGCCGATACAGCCGAACAGGATCGTAAAAAATCCAGTCCTCACCACGTTGAAAGAGTGGAGACCGGTACCCTTTCCAATGGTGCATGATCTTTGACGCATATTCCCCGTGCTCAAAGGTGGTAGTATCGAGATAGGTCAAATTCGACCGCGGGTTACGAATCCCAACAGGGACCTGAGGTAAGTTGTTGTAACCCAACATGTTTAAAACTGCAATGGCGGAAAAGACTGATGGTTGGTTAATGTTGACGGCGAGGATATTAGTATTGTTGTTCGTGCTGCATACCAAAAGAAGAGCACCGGCATCGCTTCGATTTATGTTAGCTGGGCACATCCGTTGATGATATAGATGGATGGGAGGCGGCTCTTACCCGACATCGCTGAACATATCTGTGTCGATGATAAGACCCTCTCGGCGAGAGTGTGGAAAGTACACGACAAACACTTGAAGCATAAGCAATATTGATACCAGCCAGAAGGTTATTTTTGCTAGAGAAAAGATGCTAAAGTTCATGTTGAGTAGATGCGACGATAGCTGGTGGACAGTTGATGAAGGCGGTACCTTGGCCATGACGACCCTCGGAAACCATGAACATTGACAGTCTAGATATAAACATGTGTAATATCAACTAAAATGTACGATTAGGAAGGTTCCAGAGCATGTGCAGGCTCTTGAGCCATATCCTTGGACTCATCCAGATGATATCAGAGATCCCAAGATACGTTGAGTAGCAGGCTCCGTGGCTGCCATGGCGATTCTCGCCAGAGTAGGATTAACCCATCGAAGCATAACCGGCCTCCAGTCTAGCTGCGGCAATTTCTAATAAATCCTTTCGTCTATCAGTACTCCATACTACACACTTACTCGAATCTTGTTCAAATACAGGCCTGCTCTTTGCAGGAGGCTAGAGATATAAATCTCACACGGGGAATCGATTTGGAACGCACGTGTTGTATGGGTAAGTTCATAATGACCCGAGTGGAGTAACCCTAGAGAGCAAAAGCTATCACATCCAACCAGGTTGCAGTAGGATACTTTTTATCAGACGGCAAATTGAGTCTAAGGAGGCATCGCTCCCAAAACAAATGGCTCCGTGCTAGCAGCAAGGGATAGACAGCAGGGCACCCTTAGATGGGAATAAGTTCCTTAAATCCCTAGGTGTCGTAAGACTTTTCATTTGTCTTGATCACCTGATAGAAAGTGTCGAAGGTGCTCAGTGGAAGTCTATCTTGGTTCGTTGAAATTGATTCATACTGGGATTTCGTGAGTCCGGTTGGCAGCCACCCTGATTAAAACGCACCCTCCAAAAGCAAGATGGAAAGAAATTTTGTTTCAACTGACCAAGGAGCATGGAGCATTTACCCCTTGATTTCAATGCGCTGGCAATACACCGCCAATCTCCGCTCCATGTAAGGACGACTTAAGACTGCACTATTAAGCTTCAAGGGTGGCATACACCCGCCCCAATTGGCTCAGAGTCAGAAATTCGATCGTTACTTCCTCCGCGGCATACTGGAGCTAAACTAGAAAAGACATTGTAAACCACGCAGGGTGAGCTCTAGCAGCACGCCTCACTTCCGATTGCGTTGCTCACTTATCTTTTTACATTGGGGGTCCACTGTCAAGCCGTACTCTTTATTCCAACACGCACGGTCGGTGAGAATTCACTGGTGAGGACGATCACTGCAGTCTTTGCAGATCAAGTGAATTAAGAACGATGGTGCCCCACGGACAGGAAGTAGCCAGATCTTTAAGCATAAACACACACATTATCGTGGGGGCGCAAATGGTCACCATCGCTCTTCAAACTTCCAAAAACGCGTCGTGCCATTTGTTTCGGAATGGCTTTGACACCAGAGACTTCGGATTCAGCCGCGACCATGGAATCTAACGGGTTTATACAAGAGCCGATCGCAGTCGTCGGAATGGCCTGCAGGCTCCCAGGTCGCAGCGACTCACCCCGGAAGCTATGGGAATTCCTGATGCGGAACGGAGTGGCGGATACAGATGTACCAGCTGATAGATTCAATTTCAAGGGGTTTTACGACGGTTCGGATAGGCCTCAGACGTTGCGCTCACCGGGGGCCATGTTCATGGAATCGGTAAACCCAGCAGAGTTCGACGCTTCATTCTTCAATATACCCCCACAGGAAGCGATATCGATGGACCCACAGCAGCGAATATTGTTGGAGGTTATTTATGAAGGACTCGAAGAAGCCGGAATACCGATGGAATCCCTGGCTGGAGAGAAGTATGGATGCTTCGTGGGGGCGCACACAGGAGGTAGGGCACCATACGTGAAATCTGGAGGGCAACCTATTCACATCAAGAATAGACTACTGGGATATCTTCGCGCGTGATCCGGATTCGCGACCCCCAAATGCTGGGATAGGCGGCTCGGCAACCATGCTGAGCAACCGCGTCAGCCACTTTCTGGACATCAAGGGCCCGAGGTATGTACATTTTCTTCACGGCCAAGTGCACCGTACTGATATTTGGTTAGTATGCCAATCGACACGGCGTGTTCCAGCTCGTTAGTTGCTCTAGACACGGCATGCAAATCCCTGCACATCGGAGAGATAAACGGCGCAATCGTGGCAGCTGCCGGATTGATCTTGAAGTAAGCAAGTCAACAGATATCGGACAATAGAGGATGCTAACTGCACCAGCCCAGATTATGGATGCGACGGTATTCCAATCACCTTCCCGCTACCACTCGGTTGTGCTAACTCAGCCCAGCCGGATCAATCAAAAACACACATTCGCCGACTGGACGATGTCACGCTTTTGACGCCAAGGCAGACGGATACATTAAGGCGGAAGGCATTAATGTTGTCATTTTGAAACGGCTTGATGACGCCATCCAAGACAGGGACCCAATTCGCGCCGTGATCCGAGGATCAGCTAATAACCACAACGGCCGTACGGCTGGTATTGCTTCTCCGAACGCTGACATCCAGGCTTCCGCGGTGCGGCAGGCGTACGTCAATGCCAATATCACCGACTATTCTCTTACTGCGTATTTGGAGTGTCACGGAACTGGAACGATAGCGGGAGACCCGGTAGAAGCAACAGGCATTGCGTCGGTATTCGCCTCATCGCGGGCCATTGACCGACCGCTACGCATTGGATCCGTATGGAAGAAGCACTAGCTCGAAGTTCCACAGGTCGCTGACATTTGCATGCAGATAAAAAGCAATATTGGACATAGTGAGTCCGCCGCGGGTTTGTCTGGCCTGATGAAAGGAGTCATGATTCTCGAGAATGGACTGATCCCTGGGAATCCCACATTTGAAACTCCAAATCCTGAAAGTCAGTACCTCACTATGTGGATTTTCTTTTCGATTTTGTTAACATCAACCAGTTGATTTCCACAACCTTAAGTTGGATATCCGGCAAGAGTACACTCCATTCCCAGATATGCCGTTCCGCCGGGTAAGTGTCAATTGCTTTGGCTTCGGGGGATCCAATGCGCACGTCATTCTCGATGAACCGAACGCTTTGATCTCAGATTATACTCCGGCATACATCAGCTCATATCAACCGCGAGCCGCAGCTGCCGATAAGGGTGGAAATTTCAAGAAGTCGCGACCATACCTTCTATGTGTTTCCGCAAACAAGCAAGGATCGCTCCGAGAGTCAATCGACAAACTAGCGCATCACTTGCACGATCCAGAAGTCAACATAAGCGCTCGCGACCTCGCCTATACACTTGGTGTGCGGAGGAGTCATCTGTTTCATCGAGGGTATCTGATCACGAACCAGCTGGGGGACATAGATGCCACATCAGCTGTTTGTGGGAAGAAAAGTGTCCACCCGCCCAAGATCGGGTTGGTATTCACAGGGCAGGGAGCTCAATGGCCACAGATGGGACATGACTTGCTCAAATCATTTCAAGCAGCGAGAGACATGATCGACCACCTCGACGCCGTTCTTCTGCGTTTGCCAGATCCGCCCAACTGGACTCTATTGGATGAGTTAACATCCCCGCGCGACCCTGAGCGTACAAGACAACCTGAATTCAGCCAGCCTCTTGTCACTGCTCTGCAGTTGGCGCTACTGGCAACTCTGAAGGTCTGGGGTGTTTTACCGCACAGTGTCGTAGGACATTCATCGGGTGAAATTGCGGCGGCATGCGCAGCCGGGTATATTTCTGATGAGCAGGCCATTAGTCTGGCGTATCGTCGTGGAAAGGTTTGCCAAAACACACGTGATGAGAACGACACTCGCTTGGGAATGTTAGCGGTCGGTCTTGGAACTGAAGATGTGTCGAAGTATCTGGATGAGTCCAAGGAGGTACAGATTGCATGCTTCAACAGTCCTTCGAGCACGACTCTCTCTGGTCCCGTCACCAAATTAGAGCGCTTAAAAGAACAACTTACGGAGAATGGAGAATTTGCACGAATGTTGCAGGTAGACCAAGCATATCACTCCAGGTATATGGAGAAGACCGGAGAAGCATACCAGAAAGCTGTGTGCAATGACCTACCTCTACTCTCCTCATCCCTTCAAGTTCCTGGCTCTGTGCCAATGTTCTCATCTGTATCTGGTCAGCAACAAGCCGAAATCCCGGATGTCGAATACTGGAAGACGAACATGGTATCGCCTGTACGCTTCGAAGACGCTGTTCATGAGATGCTAACGGCCAAAGAAGCACCTAACTACCTAATTGAAATCGGTCCTAGTGGGGCTCTCAAAGGACCTCTCGCGCAGATTCAAAATAGTTTTGACGGCCCGCCAAAGGCCAAATACCTTTCGGCGTTACATCGCGGGCCAGAATCAATCCAATCCACTCTTTCCATTGCTGGTGAATTGTTCCTGGCAGGCTCTCCAATATCCATGCAAGTCGTGAATGAAGATCAAGGGCAATCCTCTCCTTTGGTCGTCACTGATCTGCCAGGGTACAGCTGGGACCACTCGACCAAATACTGGTTCGAGTCAAAATCCAGCAAAGACTGGCGGTTTAAACCATTTCCGCATCACGACCTTCTCGGCAGCAAGACAATTGGGACATCTTGGCGCAATCCAACATTTAAGAAGACAATCAGTTTATCTCACTTACCATGGCTGCGAGATCATCAGATTGGATCTGATGCCATTTTCCCCGGGTCCGGGTACATTGCGATGGCTGTGGAGGCTTTGTATCAGGTAACGTGCGTTCGTCAACCAGACACTGCCGTTTCATCACCGGGTCAGCTAGGTTATCGCTTGCGAAACGTGCGCTTTGACATGGCGCTTATCCTGGAAGATGGGGTTGAGCCGGACGTCTATCTCACTATGAGTCCGTTTGGGGCCTCAGAAGACACCTGGTATGAATTTACAGTATTTTCGACGCGGCAAGATATCACGACATATCATTCCAGCGGCATGATCCGTGTCCAGGACATTGTTATTGATCCAGCATCTGAAGCCGACATAGTACCTCTAGAGCACGCTTGGCCGGGTCAAATGTGGACAAAGGCCTTTGCAGAGATCGGCTTCAACTATGGTCCAGCATTCCGGCTGCTCCGAGAAGTAGAGACCCGCGCTGGATCGAGGAGAAGTCGATGTACCATCACATTAGCCGATCCCTGTTCAGACCAAGCGCAGTCGTCCTATCCTTTCCATCCTGCCGCCCTAGATGGGGTCCTCCGGGCTACTGTCCCGGCCTCTGTTGCCGGAACACGGGGAGGTACTCGAGAAACATTGATCCCTGCTGTGATTGATGATTTCATCATCAATCCCAATTCCAGCCGTCCGGATGTTGGCATGGCGATATCTTCGAGCTACTATTCCGGTCGAGGAAGGTCTGATGCCGCAAAGAGCTATCTAGGTGACACTTCTGTATACGACCCAGACACAGGAGAGCTTCTCATCCGAATGACGAAGCTTGCCAGCCACAAGGTTGATCTAGGTACCGACCCATTAGCTTCACACGTACTAACCCATGAAGTCTGGAAGCCGGACATCACCACACTGACCACAAATTCTCTTCGGACTCTATGTGATCAAGATGCAGATATAGTTCCGGCTATACTGGACTCGGCGATCCATAAGAAACCCGATCTAGATGTTCTTGAAATCGACCTAGACACCGGAGATCTCAGCAGCCCGTGGTTGGACTGGCATCGGGAGGCCGAACAACGCAGTGGTCGAAGCTACCGCTTCATGGCACTCGATCCGGCCAGCGTTTCTGATATCCAAAGCCAATATGAAAATTATACAGATTTATCAGTCAATGTACTGGATCCCAGGAATAGCCGACTGGGTCTTCAAGAGGACGACTCGTTCGACCTTATCATCTTGAAATGTGTTTCGCCTTTGTCGGACAAAATGACTTCTGTCGTGGAGGCTGTGAAAACGCTGGTATCCGCAGAGGGTCTTATATTGGCTATTGACTTTCAAGCCACGGGTCGTCAGATTACTCCCAAACGCTCTCTCCATAGCAATTTGGAAAAATCTAAGTCCTTTCGTGTCCTTTCCATTACCGAAAAGACGAGGAGCCTAATATTGTGTTCACTCTATCCAGAACTCGAGCCGGAAATATTGGCACGCGATTTGTACACTGTTTCTTTTGAAGATATCTTTCAATTCCCAGCTGTTCTCGGAAACCATCTCCAGAACGCAGGATGGAGAATTCATGAGTCGCAAGGCGTGTCTGAAAACATCCCAGAGGGAGCTACTGTACTCGTTATTGATGAGCTATTCTCTTCCCTCTTCACAGGAATTTCAGAGCCACAATGGTGTTATCTACGTCAGCTAGTGACAACCGGGTGCAAAATACTTTGGGTGACGCAAGGGTCTCAGCTCGCCGTCTTTCAGCCGGACAATGCTCTTGCCGCAGGCCTTTTCCGGTCTATTCGCTCTGAGGATCCGAACGCAACAATCATGACCCTGGACGTTGGATCCAGCGACATTGAGCAGGCAGCGCCGCATATTGTGGAGGTGTTGAGGCAGCTTGAGCGACCACATGCCCGATGGATTACTGATAGCGAGTATGTGGAGCGAAACGGGGTCCTTCACATACCTCGAATCGTTCCATATGAGAAATTAGACCGTGAGGTAAACGCACACATCGGAAAACCAACCACGAAGGTTTTATCGGAAAACAAAGAAATCGCACAGCTCAGAGCAGAGCAAGTGGGTACCTTGGACGGACTTCAGTTCGTTGAAGTTGCCACAACGCCCCCTGCACAGGGTCATGTCGAAATCGAGATCTCTGCTGTGGGCCTGAACTTCAAAGATGTAGCTGTCACCATGGGAATTGTTCCAGAGAACGAACATTTGCTGGGGCTAGAAGGGTCAGGTGTTGTCCGCAGCGTTGGAGCGGGAGTTTCGAGAGCTTTGTTCCCTGGCATGCGTGTTGTGTTTATGGCAAAGGGAGCACTCGCCAATCGTATCCAAGTGCCCGCAGAATTCGTCCTTCCCATCTCCAATGCATTGTCGCACCAGGACGCAGCAACCATACCCGTGGTGTTCTGCACGGCTCTTTTCGCCATGTTTGACACCGGAAATCTCCAGTCGGGGCAAACAGTGCTCATCCATTCAGCTGCGGGGGGTGTTGGAATGGCTTGTATCCAGTTGGCTCAAGACATAGGAGCAGATATCTATGTGACAGTAGGAACAGAGGAGAAGCGTTCCTGCCTCCACGAGAAGTTCGGCATTCCCTTCGACCACATGTTCTCATCACGATCCACAAACTTCGCATCCGAAATCATGAAGGCGACGAAGGGACAGGGCATCGATGTAATTGTGAACTCCCTGACAGGTGATTTGCTAGATGCAACCTGGCGCATCTGTGCGGACGGTGGAACAATGGTGGAAATTGGCAAGCGAGATATTGTAGAACGCAACTATCTTGCTATGGACCCATTCGATCGGGGGTGTTCATACCGCGCCATCGACCTATCGCACCCCAAGTTGATGCTCAAACTGCCTAGGTATGTTTACTGGTTCGAAAGTAAGGAAACTGACTAATCGATCTTTCTAGTCTTCTCAGTCGTATCTTCAAAATTCAAGAGAATGGGCATATCTCTCCGATCACTCCCATCACCACCTTCCCTTTCAAAGAGATCCCTGAGGCATTTGCATTCCTTCGCAGCGGTCGCCATATTGGAAAGGTCGTTATATGCGACAATCCTAGTCAACCATCTGAGGTTTCCATACGACCCATGCAGCGCGACCTAAACCTTCCCACAGATCTGGCGTATTTAATAGTTGGAGGGCTCAAGGGTCTTTGCGGTAGTCTAGCCCTGCACCTCGCAGAACAAGGGGCTCGGCACCTGGTTGTCATGTCTCGCAGTGGTTGCGCCGACCCTCGATCACAAAGGGTAATCACAAACTGTCGTTCACTGGGATGCGAGATCTATTTCTGCCGCGGTGATGTTTTACGCGTCTTAGATGTGCGACGAGCCTTTATGAAGGCACCGCTACCCATTGGCGGCATTGTGCAGGGCGTCATGCTCCTTCGCGACCGGCCGTTTGAGACAATGACAGTGGATGAATACCACGAAAGCATTGAAGGCAAACTACAGGGAACCTGGAATTTGCACCATGTCTCCTTAGAGCACGGTCTCTCGTTGGATTTCTTCCTCATGTTGTCCAGCATTTCAAGCGTAGTAGGCAGCCCAGGTCAGGCCAACTACGCTGCGGCCAACAGTTTTCTGGACTCGTTTGCTGCACACCGTCGGTCGATGGGACTAGTTGCCCAGACAATCAACCTTGGAGTGGTCGAGGATGTAGGGGTAGTCGCCGAATCCGATGCCCTGTCTAAGCGCCATCAGAAGTCTACGGAATTGATCAACATCCCGGAAGGGGTCCTGCACGACATCATCGATTGTTCGCTTCGGCAACAGTTCATGTCCAAGGCCTCGCCATCGGGTGCTGAAACCCCGAGCCGGTTGATCACAGGTCTCGCGGTACCACAAGACCCGAAACAATCAGCCCTGCGATTCGATCCGCGATTCAGGGGATTATTCGTGGCGCGGTCAAGTGCATTCGAGTCTGGGACGGCTGCAAATGAAAATGACCCCGTTGGCAGTGCAGTCTATGCTTTCCACGGACTCGTCCGGGCAGGCAGTTCCGCCGAAGAGCTTCTTGAGCCGTGTGTGCAGGTTCTGGCGGCTCGGCTGGGACAAATGCTCCGATGGAGGGACGAGCAGCAGATTGAGTCGGAGCGACCGCTGTCGGTGTACGGACTAGACTCGCTGTCTACGGTGGAGCTCCGAAACTGGATCAAGGCCGAGTTGGGGGCGGAATTGGCCACGTTTGATATTGTTCATGCAAACAGCCTGATCATGTTGGCGGAAAGGTTAGTCAATAAGATACGAAGGGAATAAGAAGGATCCGAGGTTGTGGCAAATTTTGTGCTAGGGATGAATGGATGGATGGATGGATGGAGCGAGCGAGAGGAAACAAGGGCAGGCGCGACGCGATCCCGGGTCACGGGGAGTTGGTGGCCTAAGGCGGAAGTATATTCCTAAGGCATCACGGAGTAGACTTGATAATATGACATCTCCATTCACATTCAGCATTGATTCATTGAGTTTCCGGGAGAATAATATTGTTGCCTGGGCTTATATTAAGCTGTAAGCCCTATATCTTTATTATTCGCTCAATCACATGTAGTAAACAGTGTCTCATTCTGGTAGGGCCTGGAAAAATAACTCTCTGTGGACAAGGTGAAAAAGAACTATGCAAGTATTCTTACATTAAAGTAACTTTTGTCGTCTTGTATCCCTCTGCTACCTGTATGTCAGTTTGTATATGCATAGAATGCTAACAGAAGCCTACATGGCCTGTCGTAGTGACTATGTACTCCGGATGTCCCTCGTCCGGGGCATGGCAGGCTGGTCTCGGCTTGCCTCCGGACGCTAACCTCAATCCGGTCCCCGCGTTCTAATCATAAAACAAAATACTCTCTCCATCACAAAGGACGAACCCTCAATCAATTCCCACGATCCCACAAATATACACATCACAATGACTACCTTACAACCCTATTCCTTCGAACCTTTCGCCATCCAAACACCCAGACTCATAATAATCCCCACCCCAATCGCCATCTCCTCGAAATCATACAGAGCACTATACGCAGAGTTACACGCCAACGAAAGATTCTGCCAAATAGCCTTCGGCGAGCACTTCAAAGCCAGGAGATGGAGCGACGACGAAACCCGCGGAGTGATCGAGACTCGCGACATTGCACGCTGTTGGAAACCACGCGGCCTAGGCGATTTCGCACTGGGGCTACGCGAATCCATTTCTCCAGAGGATGTTCCATGTCTCTCCGGGATCTCCGTTCTGAGGACCAGTGAATTCGAAATATTAGCGGGAACGAAAGGAGAGCGTCTGGATCAGGTCAAATGGGTTGGATATGCCGGTGTTCGCGATGCAACGACGACTTCTCTCCCACCTCGAGAAGTAGACGATCCAAGTCTCCCACCGTGGGATGAGATGGTTGAATTACGCTATGGCCTAGCACCGGACTTTTGGGGCAGAGGAATTGCAAAGGAAGCCGCAGAAGCGATCATGCAGTGGGCTGTGAATGAGCGAGGCGTGAAGAGATTCATTGCTGAGACAGAAAGGGGAAATGTACAAAGTGCGAGGCTGCTGCAGAAGTTGGGATTTGTTGAGAGTGGAACCGAGTACTGGAAAGAGCCAAGCGAGGTAGAATGGGCAATGGTTATGAGATGATCCCTAAAATTGAAGATATAGAAGCCCAATTAGTCTAAAGAGTACATAGGTATACAGTGATTAACAGGGATGACTGCAATATCCTCGATTACACATTTCCTATATCTCCAAGGAGCCTAGTAAGACATTTTTATTTCTGACACATAGTCAAGCAACTTTCCCATGGGAAACGAAAGGAACCATCTAGGAGGAGAATCTAGGGCCCTTGGTAAATTGCTTTGCCGGGTGGCCACTATAGTCCGCCCTAGACTAGTCCATGGTCGTACAGGAAAGTCCATTATCATTCAACAAGTCATGTCATGGTAGATGTATACCTCCGAGCATTCCCCGACCGGGAGATGTTCTTCTCCCCCGATATCATGATCCGTTACTGGAGTATAGTCCTATATGTCCGGAGCTGATCGGATATTCCAGATTGTCGCCGAGGTCAGCGTGCTGCAGTGTAGCCGTCAGATGAAAGCCAAACGCCAGAAAGAGCGTGCTAACCCGAGAACTCGCTGAGTGAGCGTGACGAGAGTTGTGTAGCCTTTCTTGGATGGACACGGAATGGAAGTAATGTCACGTTGCTGTAGATTTCATTCTTTAAATTGAAGTCATCGCACCAACCTCATAGCACTGAGCTTTTTCATCGCCTTCTAATTGACCATTCTACGACACTACAAACACCACAGCGGTCATCAAAATGGCCTTCCAATTTGACACTAACGATGTGTACGTGATCGCTTTAGCATCTGACCATCGTATTGTGCTTAAAGCGAATGGTGAAGTTATTCATTTCCGGCAATATCAAGAAAGGGCCAAATCCCAACATTTTGCGCCTGTTTTCCATTGCGAGGAATATGGATTACGAAACGTGAGCACGGGGAAATTTCTTGGAGTCAATGACCACAATCAAATCTCCTGCAAATCTAGCAACTTGAACGAATGGGAAAACCTTGTATTCCACGCCCGTGACAATGGCTACTGTGTTACTGTGCATAAGGATGGCCATACCGGAGTCTTCGCGCGGTCAGAAAACGGGGACTATTTGGATTACAAATGGGAGTGGGAGAAGCGCGTGATCCTTCATGCACTCAAAGTCTCACTACCCAGAACAGACACGTTGGAGAAGGAAGACAGTAAGTTTCCAGACTCTTAAGGATTCGTTGTATTAGCAGGGTGAAGTTTTGCTGCGGTGTTAAGGTTTCTACCCCCATGGTATGGGCTTTTGTCTACGCGAGTAGTTTTCCCCATATTGTCATGCAAATGCAAGGGATCCAATGTTGGTTGATTGTGGTCTATCAAAACCTCTGCTTGGACAAATGATTGTTTATTACCCTGAAGTAGAGTCGACCAGGTTGAAATACTCTTTCGGTGTGGAGATCTGCCGTGGAGTATATGCTGGTAGACGCATCGACCGGGGGAGATGACGTCGAGCTTAGAAATGAACAGCAGGGGGTAACATACCCCGACGCCGACGTGTTTCTCTGACATCCCTACGGCCCGGACATCCCCCCAGATCGATTTCCCGGACCTTACCGAGCACGAGGTGCTCCGCTGTATCAGGCGGGCGCCTCCCGATAAAGCA